CTCCAGTGGTTAGTGACATGCTTCTCGCTTGTGCGAGACAATATTTACCATTGGGGGCCCAGTGCTCGTATAACGTCAAACCACCCATACGCTTTCGCAGCTCCTTCAAATCCTTGTCGGTGGTTTCCTTAATATCTTCCTCCGTGAATGTTCGGACTCCGGGTTGCGCACCACGGACGAGGCCCTTAAACCCGTCCACACCAGCGAGATACTTCTTGCCCTCGACTGCAATATCGCCGAGCTTTAGGTCTCCATTTACTCTCGACCTTTTAGCCTTTGCCTCCGCTGCGTTATGTTCGGCTTCGACAGCTAGTTTTCGCTTTAAGGTGTCATTGTCTGCATCGAGACCAGCGAGTCGTGAGGACTGCCGGGTCGGCATTGCAGGTTCCCGTTTCGCAGGAGTCCGGGTCTTCGATCGGGTTGGCGTTGACTTCTTCTGGGGTGTCGGCATGACTTTCTTAGCGACTACGGCGACATCGGCTAGAATCTTCTGGTTTGACGCCATGTTCTCTTGTCGCCTGCGCTCGAAGGCGCTCATGGGCGAGTCGACGCCCTTCTTAGGAGGCATGGTGACAGTGGATGAGGCGCACGAATGGCGAATTTGATCAAAGGATTGTCAAGCAAAGGTGGAAACTAAGGCGTAGTAAGAGCCTCCCCAGAACAAAAAATTCGAGTGGTTGTGCTGGTTTGCGCAATCAGCAAAAGTGACAGGATCGTGAATGGTGACGTGAAGGGCGCAAACCAAAGCGCGACTCATTAATTGAATTTGGCGCGAAGTCACGCGCTGGTGCCTACGCGCTCTGCATCCGACATTCAGCCGACCACTGTTTTGAACCGGTATCAATTTTCAGCGTCTGAAAATCTCATGTGAAAATTAAAGGTTTCAACAAATCCTTGAGCACAACAAAAAAAATGTCCCGAAATCTTTTACCGTTCTTGTATCAAACAAGGACACTACAACTGGTTTGTAGGCGCCCTGCCAGCATTATTTTCACTCAAAGAGCTGGAGTGGCGACTTCGACAAGACGACTTAGAAAAGTAGACAATTCTGAAATTCCTTTCGAGTTTGACGAGGAGGAGACAACAAGTGCAAACGAAACCGAGATTGAACGACAAGGAACGTTGACGCCGACGGAAACGGAAATTTTTAAAGGAATTTTCGATGATATTGCTCAGGGCCGTTTAGCCAAAAACAAAAAGCCTTCTCAGTTTGGCCAAACTCAACCTACAAGTTCAGCATCAAACCAAGAACAACCAGACGCGGCGCGTGGAGGAAATACACTTGTGGAAAAAGCTCATAATTCGGATTTCAGCGACGACTTCCTCAAGCGTTATCCAGCATCTCTTCGAAGAGCTGCCGAGAACGCTCTGGGCAAATTCGAACTTGCACCAAAGCGCCCTAATCTTTACAGCTTGGCTGAGCTTGACCAGGCGGAGAAGAAGCAGATGCGTGAGTGGGCAAAGTATGAGCAGATCAGGGAGAAAGAAAAGATGAGAGTGCAGAATCTCATGAAGGCTTGCAAGACAGACATTGAGCTTTGGAATGTCATGGAGGAAGAGGTATTCTCCTTACCTGGAAAGCTAGGTATTGTCGAGAAAGACACGACAGTAAAGAGGGGTCGGAAATCCAAAGAGCAACTTGCGAAGGAGGAAGCTGAAAAGTTGAAGGCTGAGGAAGCAGAGAAAACAGAAGGGGAGAAGCCTGTTATGGATATCCACGGACATCTGTACCCTCAGTATCTCATCTACGGGCTTGAACTCTTCGACACTGCATTTGCGAGATCATCTATCCTTGCATTTAATATCCTCCCACGAGTCAAGGAACTCGGGCTTTCCTCCTACGTTCTTGGCGTCTCAACCACCTTTTTCATCAAACTCGCCGAAATCCACTGGAAGCGTTACGGTGATGCTACATCCGCGTTTGACGCCCTTGACGAGATGAAGCCAGTCGGGTTGTTCCCGAACGAACAGCTCGGCGATCTCGAGGAATTGGTTGAGCAGATCTCAGATCACTTGCACAGCTGCACCTGGGGTGCTCAGGGACCTTTTGTTATGGCTATGATGCAGGCCCCGCCCTACGATGCCAGCCTTATGAGCCGCTTGGGACGCATGAGGGGCTTAATTGCGAAGAAGCACTTTTATAATGAGAGAGAAGGTCGATTCGAGGACCGCACAGATCAATCTAGGCTTTGAGTATGGAGAGTCTGAGTGATGGGTAAATGATTGTAAGATTATAACGTTGGATATGTATAAAATTGTATTTTTGTGGCTCAACAGCTATCATGTATCAATAGTGAAAAGTAATAGAATTATCCTTTCTAGTCAACAGACTTTACTTTCTCACATCACAAGTCGCTGGAAGGTTTTGACTCCCTCTTTTTGCTTTTAGCTGCAAAGCTAGATGTCCCAATGACTGACTCCGAAGGTATATAAATAAGTGCCTGCCTGCTGCATTGCTGGAGTAAAACACAGAACTCTCCCTCTTCTCAATTCCGGATCATAAAAAGCCAAGCACCACCACCAATCCATGACCTACGATCTACACTTGACACTATACACTTCACGTTACGGACTTAGCTCCTCGGTGCGCTCTATTAATTCAATCTGAGGCAAAAAACATTGAACAACCGCCCTCATACACCACGCCTGGTATAAGAATCCTCGACTACTGCTTGCCATTTTCTTGCAAGTCATCGCTATCAGACTCTGGTGGCTCGCTATCTTCCCCAACGACCCGGTGTATTTTAAGTGGGTGACCATTGATCACCACACCCTTTCAACCATGCCTGGATTTTGGGATTGTTGCGAGTATCTTTTTTTATTTCTCAGCCTTAAACATGCAGGACCTGTAAGGTTTGGTGGGATATTTGAATACGTGCCTATACGTCCTGCTCCCGAAAGCTGCAGTTATGCCGCCGTTGTCTGGTACTACCTCTCACATAGGCAATGTTTCAATCAGTTCTTGGGTATACTGGGCCTTCTGGCCTGTGCGATGGGACAGATGTGGATGAACAGGAGACATGGGTTCGGGCCGTCTCGGGTGGTATTCAATATGCTGGAAAGCTGGAACTGGCGGGAATTACTGCCACTCGTCCTCCTAACCTCATATCTGGCAAGCGGCCTCTTGACAGCCTGGCACGCTATTCATTTGAAAGAGGACTAAGGGTTGGTCTAATCACTGCAGCCGATTGAAGCCTCAAACAGAGTGGACGTCTAAAACGAAGCCTTTAGCCTCGAGACTCGGCAGGGAAAGGTTATGTATCAGCTTCGATGATAGCTATGGAATCTAGAGATACGTGTGAGGCGCGTGATGTGAGCATCAGTGGCGGTTTCTATTAACTTAAAATAACACTCTTATTAAATCAGTTCAGGCAGTATACCGACTGCCTAACACAATTGCCTAAGATAAGCTTTTTAGCCTATCTGATGATCACGTCTGACGCATAAAGAGAACTTAAATACATTTACCAAGGGATAAAAAGGCTGCCCCAGTCACTCTCATCGTAGGTCTTTAACTCAATATTGGAAACGGTGGCTGTGTTGTTGGAGGAAAGGTTAAACTGCCTGGTCAAGGTTGGGGAATATTGAGTCACAAGGTGGCGAAAGATCGGTCATAACAAAGTTATTTTAACACAATAGAATCTAGAGATACATACCGTCAAAAGTACAGATGTTTCTTATAAACTATGTTCTCATATGCCTTATCCAAAACGTAGGTTACTGTGAGTTGGCGAGTATTCCCTCAGTGTGGCCAATTCATGAAGTAATCTGCATACCTCAATAATTAAAACATGTGCTGTCGGGAAGCCGCTGACGAGTATGTTACTGAGACTGCATCAAGAGGACACCCTTTTCTAATTCCCCGTGTCTTGATCCTGTCATAGTCATATGACATGTTTCCAACTAGTGTTATACAGCGCTAGCCATTTGCCTCCAGTGACCACCGCATCACTCAAAATCGGAGGATATAGGTTTTTCGGCGGCTGGTTTCAAGAGATATTCTCCAAATCACGCGTAGAATAACATCGGCATTTGGTTCCAGCTTCCTAGGCAGCGCTCGGAAGGCTATTATCTGGAGAGATCTTGCGTTCAATAGGGCTTAGACCTAAAGCGAATTTTCGACCACCCCTTGAAGAACACAACAGTAGAACCGAGAGGAACTTTGTTTAGCCGTCATGACTGACAATTTGAAGGCTCTGATGAGGTCTGCATGCGTGGTTGTACACCCAGCGCGATATCGTGGTGAGGGTATCCTCCTTTGGGATTATGTCGTTGACCAAAGACACCTAGACGTCTGGCATGCCAGAGAGGGCAGTGCGGGTGAGATGGATGCCGTTTATGGGAACAAATCTGCTAGAGGAGCAGAGGAGGGATCCCAAGAGGAGGTGTGGGTATTGACTTGACTGGTAATGATTTATGAGAAGGCTGATTTGCCCCAAGAGTTGTGAGTGTTGAGGATCTTTTGCTCTAGGAGTATCGGATAGCAAAAAGGAACCTCGAACCTGCGCTGTTCTAAATATGCAGTCTCTCGACCGCCTACGATAGAGATGCAGGATCACGGTGTAGGGGTTGGCCAACAGGTGTTTCTAGGTAAAGGTGGCAGCTGTTGTATATATTTTATGATATCATTCGCCACAGCATGACAACGTGGCCGAGTGGTTAAGGCGAATCTCTTCCGAGACATCATAGGCATTGTCGCACGCGTAGGTTCGAATCCTGCCGTTGTCGATGTTCTTTTTGCTTTTATCTTGGACTTGATTATATCTTTTAGTCTTGCTTACTTCTCGGGATCGATGAATTCTTCTTTGCTGGTGGTAGATGATTGAGGTCGCTGGATGGGAGCGTTGAGGGACGAACCAATCAGCGACTCAGAAATGTGGATCACTGTTTAAATTGTTCAGGTTTAAATGCTGACAACTTCGACGCGCCTGAAGGACTCCTTTTTATTTGCAATAATTCTCCAGGTCAAGTTGCATTTATTTACGACTCCTATTCAAGCCATGGGCTCGTTTTTGTCTCGTGACGAGTTCCCTATTGAGGGCAGAGTATGTCGTTGCATTGCCTCAGTACAGCTTGCCCCGCCTGCTAACATTTTGCAGACAGTTCTAATTACAGGCGGTTCCAGAGGTCTCGGCTTAGCCGCAGCGCGCCAACTCTCTTCCAAAGGCGCAAACGTCGGTATAGTCGCCCGTGACCCAACCGTCTTGAAAGAAGCTCTCACTCAAGTCGAAGCATCTGCCCAATCTTCATCTCAGCGCTTCTTCTCACTCACAGCCGACGTTACCCAAGCTTCCGAATGCTCTCGTGTAATCGCAGAAGTCACTGCCTGGAATGATGACAGCCCGCCGGGTGTTGTCTGGTGTTGTAGTGGAAGCGCGCACCCGACTTTGTTCGTTGATACACCGGTTGAGCAGCTTCAGACTATGATGGATAGCAATTATTTCTCAAGTGCGTATATGGCTCATGCTACGCTCAATGTGTGGCTGAAGCCTGCTATCGATGGTACCACGAAGAAGACCACAGAAGCCAAGTCACCGGCGTCCCGTCACATCATCTTCACGGGATCTTTTGTTTCGTTATACAGTTTTGCAGGTTTCACGCCCTACTAACCCTCCAAAGCTGCCATCCGATCACTATCAGACTCTCTATCACAGGAGATGAACCTATACGCAGGCGCCCATTCCAATGAGCCTCGTGTGCGCATACATACCGTCTTCCCAGCCACGATGCCAACCAAGTCACTTGATGACGAGAACAAGGTCAAGACAGATGTTACAAAAGCGCTTGAGGAGGGTGGCCAGATCCTCACACCGGATGAATGTGCACGTCGTGCAATTGTGGGGTTGGAGAGGGGGGAAGAACTCATTGCGACGAGCACTATTATTAGACTCGTCATGACTACTGTTATGGGGGGTGCCATACGTGGTGGATTCTGGACCGGCTTGGCAAATACATTGCTGAGTTGGGTTGTGATGATTGTTATGGTATTTATTCGGTGGGATATGGATGTCAAGGTCCGCAATTGGGGTAAGAAGCATGGGCCGAGCGGTATGGCGACCAAGGATAAGTGAGGAAAACGTCAAGCTGTTATTTCGCAAGCATGCGTAACCGAACGAGTAAAGAAGAACATACAAGGTTCAACAAGATACGAAAACGAATGGTGCCTCGTTGTGGTCTCTCATTTCCCCCATCGATGAGACTTCGCAAAGTTGTTTGTCATAGTGAGAACATGATACATGTGGCGCGTTGCACGAACTAAGCCCTGTCTCACTCCATGGCCTGAAAGGTCCCTGAGAGTTGCACATTAAGGAGTGAGCCTCGAATCAAGCCAGAGAGTCGTCGACACAGACACTGAAATTGAAACATTTGTAGTAAAGACGATCTGTCACTTCCTTCTTCACTAAGCACACACGGTCGATTGGCAGGTTGCTATAGAACGGATCACGGCATCTTCCATCCATAATGCCTTGAAAGGCTATCTTGCTGTTTTCTCTTTTCCCAGTGAAAACTGTTTCAATCTGTAACTGTAAGTACCCAATCCTCAGGGTCAAGAAACTTAGACCTAAATATACAGTATTAAACATAAACTTAGCAAAAGATATCCTAAACTTATCCTAAATTACCTAAATCTTTTTATCATTTAGGATCAAGGTCCTGAGATTTCTTCTCTCCCCTAGCCAATTGAGCGAGGCATATCCATGTTTGCTAGGCGCTGGGTTAGGCTAACAGCTAACTGCAGGCAGTCTTACATGCATGATGCAAGGCAGGGTACACGACCTCTAGAGGCAGCCGTAAGGCAATCCACAACCAAGTTTAGCCCTCAAAAGCCTTTGATCTAAGTCTACAGTCTCAATTCAGTTTCCTTTATTTCTTCTCTCAATTGTGCAATAGTTGAACAGCAATTGCTCGCTATGGACCCTCTCTCAATTATAGCCAGTATCGCTGGCATAGCGTCAGCCGGTGCTCAACTCTCAAACACTCTTTTCAAGCTTTACAAGACAGTAAAGAACGCGCCCAAGGAGATCCAATCAGTCGCTATTGAGATGTCTGGCTTGACTTCCACTCTTGAGCACTTACGCGACATCATCAAATCCGGACAATCATATGCAAAACCGCAGTTTTGCCAAGCTGTTCGGCATGTTGTCAAGAATTTCCAAATGACGCAACAAGAAATTGACAAGATGGCGGCTGACGAGAGTATGTTGCGAAGAGTCAAATGGCTCAAGGCTGCAAGGTTGTTGTCAGATATTGAAAAACATAAGGTCACATTGACTTTGCAGATTGCCATTCTTTCAGCGGCTATTCTGGTCAAAACCGCCAACAGGTAAGCACCCATTTGGTAACTATGAACAGTTATCCTGACCCTTTCAGCCGTCTAGCCATACACGAGAAAGTGGAAAACAGATTCAAGGCTCAAGCCGAGAGTCTTGTCCTGGCTGGTCAAGCTTCATTTCAAAATGATGAATCGGAGCCGATTCCAGATCCTCCTCAAGAAAGAGCACCGAGTCCACCAGTTCGCACAAGCAAAAGACTACCAAGTCCCGTGCGCGAGTCTGAGATTCCTGGACACGTGCGGACTGAGGAGCTCTACGGTCAAAATAAGAATCCTGAAGACAACGCATTTCTTGCTGCAAGTGAGAAAGAAGAGGTCCATTCAGCACTTGCGTTAAGTGTAAAGGACCCAGTACGCTCAGAAAGACGATATACGGTTCCTGCAATCGATGATAAAGATGAGGAAGGCATCTCTTCCGTGGACGAAGAAAGGGTATCCCGACACCGCAGAAGGTCGGGGTTTGATCCACTGTCTGGTCATAGCATTGCGCAGTTTGGGCCTGATTTCCACCGACGCGGCGATGCAGCTACGTTTCTATACAACCTTGTATTTCTCAACGAGATACCAGTGAGAGAAGCACAAGGTGAGAGCTCACATCTCAGAGGCACTGGAAGCGACGACCAGGCAGAAGAGCGGTACCAACATCGACTTTCGGATGATTTGCATAATGAATACCATGACTATGAAAACAATGCGGCCCCTCGGGACAGAGTTAGATTTAAAGACCCCAAGCCTCAAGAACCGGGAAGGATTGTCAATCGCCTTCTTTTGGCTTGGACGTCACTGAGCGAAAGCGAGGTTGAAAAGGGGAAACCGGATAATCAGCCTGATAAAAGTAGGGCATTTGGAGAAAGTGACAGCTCTGACAGTGAAGAGTCGCTCTACGGGCCTGAGGACCCAGAGAGAAACTGGAGAAGAGTAAGTATATCCACAAGTACTGATCGTGCATAGATATGCTAAGGCTTGGATAGGAAGCAAGAGCAGCTCGCAATAGGCTCCTAAGAGAAGAGACCAGGTACAATGACAAGCCTGAGTTTGATCCTCGTGGTCGCAGGATACTCAGACCGACACAGAATCGGGATCGTCCTTTTGGATATACAAATGCGCCCCCTCAAAATAATATCCCTTCACCGGTATCAGCAGAACCAAGTATGCCTCACCCAAATGGTGGCTACGGCCAACCATACGGTCAGGCTCGAAATCCTTATGCACCGTCTTACGGATATTCGGGCTACGCAAACTGGATGCCTGGTGCACCGAACTCCTCTCATCGTTATCCTTTCTCACTACCAGACGAAGAGACGTATTCGCCGCCACCAACCCAGTCACACAACCCAGCCACAGAGACAAAACCAGTGAGGTTAAAGTTCCAGAAACCTGCTTTTGTTGTTCTGCCACAAACAGACTCTGCAGACTATGAGGCTGAGCCAATCAATCCCGGGCTTGACCTTGTGTCTGTTAGCTTAGGTATCATGAGGCAAGGAGATGAGCCAATCTGGGACTGCGATGCGTTCATGTCTGAAAAGGGTTATCCAGGGAAAGCGATTATGGGTGCACTTATTGGCGATAAATCCGCTAGAAATCCTCACGGACTAGATCTGGCACATACGCTGATGAAAGGAAGAAGTTTGAAGCTGGTGTACATCCGAGGAAATGGTGCGTGACAAAGAGAGCCTTGATAGCTACAATTGCTAACAAATCAGATATCGGTGAAACTTGGTTCATGAATGAACAGCCCGTCTTCTTGCAGTTCCTTCATTCTGGGTACTTGCCTCAGTTCTACCCAGCAAAGGAGGCCGACGAGAGAGCTATGAAGCAAGAGTACGTGGCTATCGGGGAAGAATGGGCCAGCTTCGAAGCTTTACAACAACTTGGCTTCGCTGTCAAGAGACGAGAAGAAGGGCGTGTCCTATTGGACCCTAGCACAACATGGGTAAGCGATCTCCTCAAGTGTTACGGACGTATTGCTAACTAGGGAAGTCAATGATTAAGGAGCTTGCTACTACGACACTTCAGCTGAGGAGCATGCGGCAAAGACGCACCTTCACGTCAACATTTTATAACTCCGCATCTATATTTCGACAGAAACACGGGCTGGAAGCGCCCTCACCTGCTGAGACTACAGACTCTGACACTAGAACGCCTCCTGTCCCAGATAGACGTGCCAGAGTCGAAGACGAAAGTGAAGTCGACATTATCGACTTACCGATTAGAGAAGAACCAAAAAAGACACCAGAACAAACCATAGAGACCCAAAGCAAGACAAATCCCGTCGCACTTCAACCACAAATTTCTATCACCCCACCAGTGACACCACAGCAGTCTTCGCCTGACACTTTGGATACAAGTGAGGTAGCATCATCTGTTTCTTCAGGGTCGCGATTGTCGAAATTTGTCAAGCGCTACAAAGCGGGAGGGAAAAAGAACCTGTCTTTGCCTCTGCATCAACAAAGTTCAAAGACTAGCGGGCATGGAAGTGAGAGTACCGAGCGGCAGGATGATGATAAAGGTCCCCTGACACCGACGGACTCTGGTATTGGAAGCTCTATTGTCTCAGGGTGACAATTATTTGAGCCCAGGCTAAGTCATATGTTCTGCTATCAATAATCATTCATCATCTCAGGCTACATTCATATATCCCAGCTTGTGTTCGTAGTTTGTTAAGTACATCTATAACTAACGTCTACTCCTTTTTGTAAAAAGGATAATCCGTATACCCAACAGCATTATTCTCAAAAGGTCCATAAAATGTCTTTCGATCATATGCCTGCAATTGCCATCCATTCCTCAGCCTCTCCACCAAGTCAGGGTTACTGATAAAATACCTTCCATACAACAGACCATCATACTTCCCACTCTCGACAACACCCCATGAGTTAACGTCATTGAATCCGCCAGCGGAAAAGAATGGCGTATCCCCAAAAATGGAGCGGAATAGCGACAGATCGGCAGTAGGTAAACCCCAAGATCCTAGGAACTTCTGCTTCTCTGCCTCCGAGAAGATCTGCTCGTATCGTGGCTCAACGAAACTAACATATGAAAGCTTCGGCAAGCGGGACTTCAGTTCACGACAGAGGTGGCTCCACGTCTCAACACGCTTCTCGCCACGAGCCTGATTAAACAGACCAAAAGGGGTGAGACGAATAGCCAAGTTCTCTTGACCAATCGCCTTAGCTAGTTCCTCCATAAGTTCAAGTGCAAAGTTGCATCTCTTCTCCTCGGAGCCGCCGTAGTTATCTGTCCGTCTGTTGATGTTTGAGGAGAGGAATTGCTCGACAAGGTATCCGTTTCCACCGTGGACTTCTACGCCGTCGAAACCAGCTTCGATGGCATTCTTTGCAGCATTGACGTAGTCACGGATAGTACTCTTGATCTTATCCACGGTCATCTCGATGGGTGGATAGTCCGCGATTTTGACAGGAGTGGTGCTGTGGGGTGGGAGATATGCAAAGGTCTCGTTAGGGTCATCCCATGGTGTAGCCGAGGGAGCCAGAATAGGAGTTCCAGTTAATTGAGGGATGTTGGCGCGGCCGGAGTGCCACAGCTGGGCATATATATAGCCTCCTTTGGAATGAACAGCAGAAACGACCTTCTTCCAACCTTCTACCTGTTCAGGGAGGAAGATGCCTGGAACGCCTGGCATTCCATTACCCTCAAGTGAAGGAGGAAGGCCCTCAGAAATGATAAGGCCGCCATTGGTTGCTCGCTGAGAATAGTATTCAGTCATTAGGTCATTGGGAACCCAGAGTCTGTTGGGCTTCTCAAGCGTAGACTCGGGATTGAACGGAGTTCCTCGATTCCTAGTCAAAGGTGCATGGATAATGCGGTGCTTGAGGTGGACTTTGCCATTTCCAATGTCAAGAGGGGTGAAGAGCTTGGAAGAAGCTCCGGTATCGATGATATCACCCATTGTGCAGTATAACACGAAGTTCGGAAGGCATGCCTTGTGTCTTCAGGGGTCTGCGAGATCTCAGATACTTAAACAATTGGAAATCAACGAACGACCGATATCAGAGTCTGATATGTCATCCTATACAGGGTTCCAAGAAACCGGAACGGTCTGTAAAGACCAATACCAGCCTTGATCTATCGTTTTGGCTCCGTAGATGACACCTACGCCACCTCGGCATTCTCCACAAACATGGACCATAATCTCTAGTCTGTGGAAATCTTGGCGAATATTGTGGACTGATCCCGATTTTAGGCGCAGGATTGAGCTGATGTAATGTTTTGACAAATGGACAGGCTTGCAGCACGAGAAACCCGGTCCTTGGTACCGACGTCAATTCTGGACGATGTAACGGCGGTCCACTCCAAATGGAGATAAGGATGGGGATGAGTATTTGATACGCTGTGATAAGGTCATAGTAGGGTCTAGAAACTACGCTAGATCTGGGAAATGGAGCGTTATCTTGATTATCTCCACGGGCTTACAAATTCAGATCGACCGGAGTGAGTTTCTGGTATGATTGAAACAAAAGAGCTTTTTCTCAGCAAGGGATGGAGGACATATTGACTTAGAGCGTGAGTTGGATACATTTCTGCGGCCTTCATAATCTTTGGACCGTCTAATGGACGTGATGGGTCGACAAATGAGTTCAACAACGAGTACTGGCTTATCACCTGAAATAAACGAAGTTCACTCGCCTTGGCAACTCTCATGGAAATCGACCCTTCATAAAACTGGATTGAGGAGTAATCTGACAAGTTACGGTGATAGCTGTGAGTTTATTCTCCCTGGAAATTTATAACTTGTTGAATAGAAGCTGTTTAAACTGTTTTCACCAGTTTTTTAGGATCCAATCTTCTCGTCGTCTTCAAACCTACTCGAACTTTATAGAAGCTTAACTTCTTCAGAAGCACTTCGAAGAAGTTTCCTTGTTGCTGCATCTCAGCTTTACCATCCCAGAGCTGCCTTGATAGAGGCCTCCAGAAGTGCACCGCCCTGGGCCTGCGTAGCAGCATTTGGGTGATAGTCACATCCTGAATCAGAACCCTGAGTGGGCCAATCAACTAGATGAGTCTTGATACCAGTCAGCTGCTGCATAGCATCCTTAAGTACTTTGACATCTGTGGACTTCTGCGCATCAGCAGCGGTAGGGTAGTAATCGCTGAGGAGCGGAGAAGACACAAAGAAGAACTGAGCCTTCGGATAGTGTGGCTGTATGCTCTTCACCAACTTGACCAGAGCTTGAGTCAGGTCTGCAGGGTTGACTGGCTGGCGCACGTTGAGGTAGCTAAAGTCATTTGTGCCCAGATTGATCACCACAGCGTCAGGGACCCATGAGCTGGGGAACGTGAAACTGTTGTCGGCGTCGTTGGCTCCGTAGCGCGTATAGAGGACCGGCATCGTTGGTGAAGTGTCGGGAGGGTTCTGAGCATAGTTGCGAGTAAGACCCTTGCCACTCCAAGCGACGACACTGTAATCCGCCTTCAAACCTCTCGCCGCCACAGCGCCGTATGTCTTGCCGTTGTCCTGCAGAACAGCTGAGTCGACACAAGGATTGACGCCATCAAGACCGTATCCAACAGTGATGGAGTCGCCAATAATCTCAATCTTGCGCTTTGGTGCTACGTTCTCGACCAGCTGGCCATCCGTGTTAACACCTGTAACTCGGAAGACACCGAAAGATGCTTCGGATCGCTTGCGAAGTTCAACGGTATGGGTACCCTTTGTGAGCTTCGGGGTCGAGATCGATGTTCCCTCTACATTTTTAATGAGAATCGGACTGCCACCGTCGATGATCAGATCTGCGCTTGATGTTCCAGTGATACCGTCAATCTTGATACTCGCGGTAGTTCCCTTGAAGGTGAAAGCCACTCCGGTACTCGGCCATGTGAGCTGCTTGGTCGCCGGGTTGACTCTTCCGACAAACCTATAGCTCTGCACCCGCAGATTAGTAAGGTCTACGGTTGTTGACGATGAGACTTACAGGGAGGGAGGCAGCCGACACAGCGGTCATAAAAAAGGTCAACACAGCCACCTTCATCTTGACCGTGCCTTATATCTAAACAGACAACGAGATAATCAATAATTGGTAAGGCATTCGATGAAATGAAGGAAATTTCATCATCTTATATACTCTCTAATCTCCTGATCAATCCTAGAGACTTCGGCAGAGCCTATCCGAATTGCCTAAATAGGCAAAGTACGGCTGTTTACAAGGTTTCTGTTTCATAAATCATCCACCACTTACAACGTGCCCTATTCTATTTAGTTGAGACGATCCAGCTGTTTCTGTATTTGTCCGCGGCCCTTCGTATAGGTCCCGGACCGAAACCAGAGCTTTAGATCCGGAGCTCTCGGAGTAACCTAGAGTGGAGTTCATCTTTAGTTAATAATAGGTATAGGGATAATTGTACTTTTTGATATCACCGCTGCTTATGAACGGAGTTTATCAGCAGTTAATCCATTAAGAATAAATCACTATCTAAGCACCGTTTGGTTGGTATGGATCTGAGGATAAGCTTGAATGACAGGATCCAGACCCAACTGACGGCGAAAGATATACGCAAGAGGATGACGATGGAACAGGACAAAGACGCCCTCGGAAACGCAATTTGCGAGCCAGATGGTAGGCAAAAGCCATCAAGGCATATCAGAGTTCCTTATGTATATCCCCAGGGGCAAAACCACAGTTCGTGTGATCAACCTTGGTAGCCTTTACCTCAATCTTTCCAAGCTCTTCGCCCTTGCCACTCGCGAGCCAGTTTAAGGTATCAAGAGTCGATACGAAGCCCTCCTTTGCACTATCTAGGATAAGCACAGGTCTAGAGGTTTCGCCGTATGTAAGAATCCAGCAGGAACCGCAGAGTGGAGAATCAGGTCCATCAACCTGTTCAAGACCAGTGATTGAATGCGGGATGTCACCGACGGTTTTCCATGATGGGTACCCATCCAGTATAAGACCGTTCTTGTAGCATGCTAGCTGACTAACAGGTATCGAGTCGTTGTCATATAGTTTGCTGTATGTGACTATGTCCTGAGTTAATATTCCATTGGAGGGAGGTTGAATCATGGTGAACTCTTACGTGAGACAGCAGATACTGAAGTCAGCTGTAGACCAACAATTATGGACTTTGAAGCGAACATCATGGATGGAAAATAAAGCGACAAAAAGCCTTAGCTTGCCGTTAAACAAAAGAGCAAGGTTTGGTATTTTGAAAGGATGGACAACAGCGGGGTGGCCACGAGCCAGGCTAAGATGAATATATCCGATTTCACGGGTTTTCCGATATCCTCGTTATCAGAATGTCAGTTACTATGTCCCAAAGCGGCGTTGTTGACTGTTGGTTGTTGGTTGTAATCAAGTTCTCATGATCATATCATGCTGGTTGATACCTCACTTCCAATTGGTCGCACATTGCATTTCTGAGCTATGATTTGTTCAGAAGGTTTCGTTCCCCCTCTGCATTTTGCCTAAAAGCTTATTCGCTGTCAACAGAGTGAGACAGATGCGATCCAGACCGTCTTGGCCCACCAGGGTCATTCGCTTACAGAGGCTCATTACTCGTATATTTCGATCATTCTAGACTGGCAAGCCTGAATAGGCAACTCGTGGATGTATAGATGATCCGGTTTGCGCGATAATATTCGCGGCGATTACTCCTTTTACTACAGATATGATAAGCAGCTAAGCCACCATACAACTTTAGCCTTGGCATACATCTTGTTTCTGAAAGCCCGGTGCGGATTGCTCCTTTGATCTTATGGTATGTTTGCTAGTTTGATGAACTCCGTGTAGCAATGATCTTTTCTATAGCTCCTAATTCTTTGTAGGCTACTACCGGCGACGAGACTAGCAAAAATCTGTCAAAGCGTTGGCCTCTTGTTCAACAATGAACATACACCATCATTTATCATATCAGGGATGCATGGGCCCCTGAACCTTACTGTAAGTGACGCTCGGTTGCGGGGCCTCATGGCCCCCAACAACAACTTCAACGGGGCTTCTCATGGTTCTTGTACTGCCTCAAATTGATATTGACGAGCGGATATCAGAGCCCTGAACCCCCGGAAGAGAGGTCTCTGCAATAAGTATAAGTAGATCCTGATAATCCTCAGTCTGTTGGTCACTTCATCCACAACAGCTCCTGTTCAAGCATCTCCTTTCTCACTACTCAATCTCCTTCTATCTTCAATTTCGATCATTATTCGCGATGAAGTTCAACAGCGCGATTCTTGTTCTCGCCTACTCAACCTTGATTTCTGCTGGAACATCCACTATCTCGGGTGCCGAAGCTGTCTGTGGAGATCTCGGAATTCTTCAGGTCACTCCCGGAAATCTCCCTGATGGCGTAGAGCCCTCTGATCTTCGCCTTTGCGCCGATCATCCACTCGGCCGCAACCGTACCCTTGATCCTGCCAAGGGCGCATCCCTAGCGCCCGTCGAGGAAGGCGATGTCCCTGATACAACCCCAACGGGTGCCTCCAGACTCTTCCACAAGAGACGCTGCTATTACGGGGCACCGTACGGTTGTTCAGACAAGTACTGCTGGAAGAGCTGCGGTGCGAGCGGGAGCGGCCAATGGTGCTGGACCGCTACGGCTGGGGGAGTTGGGCCGTGGGCCAAATGCAAGTCGTGGGAGGACTGCGGAACAAACGGACTCCAATATGGCTGTGGAAAGAACTGTGTTCTGCCTGGTGTGTGTGGATGTAGCTGTTAGAAGGCAGGATTACGAAGGAGATCCATGACTCTGACTTCTGAGAAAGTTGCGGTTTATAACTATGGTCGCTAGCCATCATGTTATACTTGGGGCTACGAAGTTTTACAGACTGAAATTCAAGATAGAAAGTATTAGATAGGATTGGGATATCTTGAAAGCATTTTAATCAAGCTTGCGTAGGATTCATTGGGGGAGTCATGCCATTCTTGGAGTCATATGTGATCTGCTGTCATAGTTCATGACATTCTTGGAGTATCTTATGAAAAAAGTAGCCCAACATTTCATTTTCTTACGCAAGAGTAGATTTTGGGTCTTTTGGGAGCTAAGAATAGACCCAGTCGCTCCTCTCCAGTGATGCTCCAAATTTCCTATGACAACCTCCATACCTTTGTCAGCTCTCACATTTACCTCATGACCTGAAAAGAAAGTCCATTCGAGCTTCAATTTAGATCTCAGATTGCCGCCAAAGGGGCGAAGAAGGCGTTATGTTTTTGATCCTCTCTGTAGCCGCGGCATATTCATCATCATTGACGTACGGCTCGCCTTGGGGGTTAGAAAGTCCTCCCAAGAGAAGAAGTCGACGATCGTCCAGTTCTGGCCAGTCCATCCCGTCCTCAACGCAGCTTGGCTGTGGCGGGTTTGGCGGGAGTCGCCTCTCATAGTTATCGCGGAAGATGTGATAGTACGCAAATGCGTGATATGGATGCCATCGTGGCCTGTTAACGCTTGCTCCATGTATAGGAAAGGGATATGTGAAGTTTTCTTCGAATGGAGTAGTGAGGAACTTGATCAAGGCGTCGAATTGTTCCTGGGTCGGTGGATAGAGCGTTCTTGGGCCTCTGGTCAAGTCGCCGTGAATCCACATGGCATTGCACTGTGCCAGGCAAAGTGGTCGTCAGCTCTGGATTTCTATGGTGAAGAACCAAGATATCATACCTCTTGTTCGGTCTCGCCGCGGTCGAATACAACGACGCCGCCGAGAATCTTGGACTCAGCCCAATAGCCAGCAACATCAGCCATACCTTTTGGATATTGCTCGGGATATCGATATGCTCGATGACAAAAGGCGATGGGAGGAGGATCGTAGTATCGCCTTGACTCAACTCCAAGTTCCTTTTCTTCTAGGACACTTTGTCTCCAATCTTCATATACTTTGTGCTTGTGAGCACCATCATCAAGATTGAAGAGATAAGCACCGATCTGATGACAAGCCACGGCAACGACTTCGATCAGTCGAAGGCTGGACTCTTTTGAGCCAGGCACTGTATCGGAGAAGGCTTTGATTGTCTGAACAAACGTAAGCTTTACATGCCAATGTTTCCCTGGTCAAGACGTACCTTCAAGTCTAATTGTAGTTGAGATAGGTCAAACTGGTTTCTGAACTCGCGGGCTTTGTCTACATATCCGGGGCAAGTCTCAGTGTGCCGAAGGCTATGAACGGGGTGATCTTTGACATAGTCGGAACTGTCTCTCAAAGACTTTTCAGTAGGAAGTCCATCGAGAATCTGGGCATATACAAGCTCGGCTACCTCCGTGCTCAGGACATTCCTCACAGCTCTTTCGAGCATATTCCGATGTTCATTGTCCAGTACTTCGAAAAAAGCCGGTCCTTGTGAAGCTGGACTTAGACTGGATGCCATTGTAAAGTTAAGTGCTACGGAGTAGAGACATCAACATTACTGGCTGGCATGGGGTGGTAAAAGTGCTCACCAAGTCACATGGAAGTGCGGGGCTTTACATTTGAGATCATTCGAAACCGCACAATATCAAAATCACGCGAACATCATGTTATAACTACAATCCTAATACGAGCACGATTTGAACGCACGCACGCATTCCATCAATATTCCTGGCGAGTGCTTGATCTACCAACGAGCAGGCTAGGAATTGCTGGCGATTTACACGTCGCTTGGGATACAGTTGCTTTGAGACTTTGAGAGTAGTTCTTATCTTCGAATTTGTATATGTTCCTTACTTGGTTTATATCTGATAGCTCTGTTGGTGGGTGCACTGAAATCTAGTGCTTGGGTGAGAAACACAGAACAGCATGGACATCTGTCAAGAACAGTCATCCCCTGCCGTTTCTCGATGCGAGTAACATCATTCTTGAAAGGTGAGTATTATAATACGGTGTGAATAGACCCAGGATGACCACATTTGGAGTATATTAATAAGCAGTAATGCTTAACGGCGATGAGCGATGACATTCCTGGTATTTGCGAGGACCTACCAAGTCGATAAATCTTGGCAAAATAAAAGCTAAATGTTCTTAAAGGATACTTATTTTGTATTTTTTTTTAAAGAGCTTAAGTTCTTTCTATTATTGTTTATTTCTTGTAGTCGTGTTGAATCAAGACTTGGGTGGATATCGTGGAGACGGCAAAAATTAGTTCCAGCACGAGAAAACATACAACACCGGGGATTCGCTGGTCGTCACCGACCCAACTACTAATCCAGCGCTTCGCAGCTTGACTATGGGAGAGCAGACGGGATCCCGTATTTTCTACGAGCTATGGTCGTATGTGACAGAGGGTCAAGCACATTCACCTTAAGTCAACAGATGCTGCGCCTCAGACCACCCTAGAATTGCAACAGCTTCAAGACAGTTGGAGCTAGAGGTCCGAGAAGGGGATGCAATCGGTCATCTCCGCCTTTTTCTCTGACCGGACTTGCATGTGACTGAAATGGCAGCCTGAAAGCGTTGCGTGTTCGATGTCTAGGAACACTGGGAACCTGGTTGAGATGATAGTCATTTAAGGGAGCCTGGAGTCAAACCCATCTTTATAAGGATATTGAATGGCAAACCTAGCTTGGTTCTTGGTTCTAAAGGACATGCTAAGACAATAAAGTCCTGCTTGTTCCCTGTTGCTCAATCATCCACAAACCTCTTAGCCACAATACGGATAGATTGGAAGGTGGGAGCGAGTTCAGTCTATCACAATCGAAACGTATTTTGTTGCTGTAATTATTTCTCCTCCTTAGTGCAGTAGTTTAGGGTATCAAGCATCGAGATCAGAGTTCATGATATTGACAGTTCATGGGGGAACGCACGACGCAGGTTAAACCTTTCAGACTGAAACCGAGACTCAGGATAGCTACAAGCTCTCAGAGCCATTGCCAGCACAATTAGACAGTTTTCCAGACAGTGCTCTTCATCATGTACTGTAGGTTCATAGCCCAATATCATGGTACGTCTGTGGCTGGCTGCTTACTCATCCTGGGCAAACATGAAGCTGTTGGTTCACGACACGGAAAAGCAAACATTGCCCTATCGAATTGAAGCTTTCTGGTTCTGGTTTGTGTTTCAAAATACCCCGCCTTGATTCATCCTACACGCAAGTCATCTTTCGTCACGCGACATTTATTCCCATCGTGTCCCCGTGCCGCCCCCTAGAACATGTCCTGGAGATCGCTGAGCCTACGAGGCAATCGGGGGGCTGGTAAGAAGATTCTTATCGCGTGCCTCATTTATATGGTATGTTTGTTATCTCTATGGCTGAAAGTCGGCTGACTTCAGTAGTGCGGACTTGAGCTGTCACGATTGGAGGAATTAGAACGGAAAGGAATTCAGCATGGAGACATTGTGCCATTTTTCGAGGAGAGAGGACAGCCTCTATGTTTCCATGCTCCGTCGGGCCTTTTCAAGGTTGAAGGTATGAAATCGAGCTCATCTTTATGCTTGGATTATCACTAAAGAGTTCTGTCCAGAGAGTCAAACGCCTGACGTTGCCATCTGGGTTGTTGATGGCTCAGATCGGTTAACCTGGGCCACATCAGCACAGAAACTGGCAGTTAAGCTGTCAAGTGGCGAGCTTCAACCACACGAGAGTTCGATCATTGTGGTTAACAAATTGTAAGTGGATAAACTGTTAAATACTCGATGCATTGGCTCATGATTGATCGACAGGGACTCGGTCAGCTGGTCTGAGAAGACATTCAAGGATGTAGTCGACGTATTCAGCGTTCTCAGTTTGAACAAGCGGTAAGATAAGCAAATCACAATACAAGGATGCCAACTTAACCGCTTTTAGTACTTTCATCATTCCAGTTTCCGCGTTCAAAGGGCAGAACGTACTTCCAGACTCGAAGGAGCCTTCGTGGGCAACCGGTCTATCTTCACAACAGTTTGGGGGATCAATCGCGGTGTCGAGTGATTGCTTGACAAGTCTACTCGGATAAAAATAGCGTCACTACTTCTTCGTCCATTCCGATATCTTCTACAGCAGTATTTTTAGAAATGAATCAGGGGATTCTTGTATAACCGAGAAGAAACATGAAGCCTTCTGATCTACTGCAAGATCTTATCAAGTCTATCAAAGTTGACTAGACTCAGACAACCCGCGACTCAAGATAGCTGGAGCGAGCCACCAATTTTGTGATTGGGAGTCGGATATGACATGCTGCGAGGTCATATATGAATGACGGGTTACAAGTGTGATGCTTGAATGTCCGTGAGGCTGAGTCCCGACGGCCAAGATGGCACTAAACTTAGAACGAGTACAGAGCTACTGCACACGAATTCATCCTTGAGTATGACAGGGGAATTCAGGTGCCATTAGTACCTGCTGATGTTTTAAATTTCTGGTTCTTCATCCATGCAGCCATCGAATGCTGACAACACGTCAAGCCCGCCTGTCCAACTCAGAACTGTCCTTATGCTGAGAAAGGACTTTGGTCACTGCCACCACGCATATGCCGTGCATCACAGAGAGACAATCCCATTGGGTCAAAGGCTTTGTGTTCTTAGGCCTGATGCTAATAATATGGGGGCCGTGCCACTTACCCAGAATTGTCAATTCCATGCGATGCTGTCCCAGCATGACCGCCACGTTCTGAACTTTGGTACTTGAGTGAGTGTCCTGGGATTTTATTTTCATTTGGGGTAAATTTTGGCTTACTGAGCATCGGGGGCAACCAAGAACTTAGCGCTCTGAAGGCAAGGATACCGCTGAGTGAGATTATTATGCCCGACGGTATAGGAAGCTTTGACGGTTATAGCGCCGGATGTCGTCAGAGCCGAAGCGGCCGAACCTGTTCAATCAGTGTATTTTCCAATTTTAATCTAATTCCCTGCCAGAGGAGAAAAAGCATGGGATTCGGGTAGTCGGCAATACAGGCATCACCATGCAAAGTAAGCTTCCCCGACTTAACAAGTACCAGCATCGCACAAACAAATCCCATGGCTTGAAACATAAGCAGCCTGTCAAAAAAGCACTTCCATGCTCCGACCAATAGAAAAGCTCTTACTCAGATAAAAATAAGAATCTCATCATCCATTCCACGTTGAGGCGCAGTGTTTGGGGGCTAGTGTAGACCACGCTTACAGCTCACTAAATGCCGAGAAACAGTCAGCTCCCCTCAGCCATGCTAGAAACAGATTTTGACCAATGAGGATAGAGAGGATCCTAGATTGACAGGTCTCGGAGGAGAGCTCTTCCGGAGATGGCTGAGTTGGACAGCTCGTTGCTATTCCCAGCTGAGGCGGTGGCACAGAGAGATGAGTTACACTGCGATGATGATGATGATGGCTTTGCGGAATTTGAAATAGATTGCTGAGAGAGTCAATTGTCTATATAATGAATGAGATATCCGGTCTACTGGCAATATTCTCATCATCATCACAACAATACTAACAATCAAACAACTTACACTCTCACACTACTCAACAACTTCAACTTTCACTTCAACTTCAACTCCAATTTCATTACTCAAAATCATCAAAATGTTCTCCAAGATCGTCTCTGCCACTCTTCTTCTCGCCGCCACTGTCTCCGCGGCACCCGCCTCCAAGACTGTCCGCTCAACACCCGACAAGACCGTCACTCTCACTGGAGTAACACACTCCGTCAACGCCGGGCTCGGTGGTCTCCGCTTCGACCCCGACAACGTCGTCGCTGAAGTCGGTGACGTTGTTGAGTGGCACTTCCTCCCCAAGAACCACACCGTCGCCCAGTCCAGCTTCGGCGAGCCCTGCCAGCCTCTCGCCGACGGCAGCGGTTTCTTCGCCGGCTTCAACTTCCCTACCCAGGAGGGCCAGGCTCCTGATGTCTTCCAGATTGTGGTTGAAGACTCCAAGCCCATCTGGTACTACTGTGCCCAGCAGATGGGAAACCATTGCCAGAACGGCATGGTTGGTGTGATCAACCAGAACTTCGATAACCAGGACTTCAGCCTCCGAAGACACAAGGAGCTTGCTGCTGAGACCGTCAAGTCGGTCATTCCCCCTGTTCAGCAGGGCGGAATGGTCATTCCTAACCCCAACCCCAACGGTGGCTTCTAAGCGACTTAGTATATGAGGTGTCAGGCACTGGCACAATGTCTTTTCACAGAATTGGCTTCACATTGGCGAAGAGGTGCTGGTGGGTTATAGGATAGAATATGGTTCGGGTTGAGATTGCACTTACATCTCCTACATTCCTTTCTAGATATATATATATTCAGACTTCAATAGATTGTTCTCTTATTCATACAAGATGCGTTGAATTTGACATTTTGCTACGGCATCATGTAATGACTGTACTATCTGATGACGAGAGCTTACATGGTAGCCTTCGGCTTCCATAAATTGGTAAGTCATTGATCGATAGACCTGTAAAGCCTATGGCGTCTGTCTCAACTGACAACGAGACATATTAAGCCAACATACTAGAAAATCCCATAACGCCATAATTTCTTTACTATTCAGCACCCCTCAGCGTCAGTGTATGCTATCAGAAGCCTGTCACATGATGAATGAAGCTGTACACAAACAGGTCGTGAAGAACTCTAGTAATATATACACCGTTGAATGCTAAAACCCCAGGCCATGCAGATTATGGATGCTAAATTGTATGATACAATTGAAATATGTGCTAATAGAAATCATTACAAGTCTTACGCCCTGCACATGCGACCATCATTGGCCACGGTCCAAGCCTCGCTTCCAACACCCTTGAAGTTATAAAACAAGGAGTTAGGATCCCACTTCCTCTTGATGGTGTTCAGACGGTTCCAGTTTGTCCCGTAGAAGACGTTCTTCCAATCAGGCTCGTTGAAGTCAGCCTCGTTCATGTAGGTGCCACTACCGGGAGTAACAGCCTTAAGCTGAGGCATGTAGACCTCGGTGATCTTCTTCTGATCAGCGATCATGTCGGACCAGCGAGTTGAGTCCCAAAGGGTTCCAAACTGCAGGGAAATAGCGGCCTTACGCCAGTATGAGGGGACACCGTTGGAGACGCCAGGGTAGGCCTCAAACTTGCCGCTGCTACCAGCGACGAGAACACCAGCGGCACCAAAGTTGCGCAGGACCTTGTTGAAATTGGCGTTATCAGTCTCAAGAACAGATCTGGGAATAAGACGACCGCCGAACTGGAACTGAGAGGCCTCCAGATGGCCACCGGGCAGAGGGCCGTTATAAAGCTCGTAGTGGTCACGGAAGCTCAGGGTGGTGTATGAGACGGTGGGCGTGAGGCCAGCCTTGGAGAGGTAGGCTGTGAAAGGAGCGAGAACCTCATCACGGACGTAGTCGCCAGTGGAGTTGGCGATGGTGACAGGCTTAATGGAGAGATAAGCGCTGGTGAGGATGTAGGTGACTGTAGCGTCGTGATCAATCATGGCGGGCAGAAGCTCGTGGAACTTGGTCACAGCATTGTAGAAGACATCCTTGTCGCTTCCAGCAACGAGGGTAAGAGTGGCACCACCAATGGTAGTGGTCTTGTGAGCTCGAACAGTCATAGAAGTGACGATACCAAAACTGGCACCACCACCGCCACTGAGAGCCCAGTAAAGGTCACTGTTCTCAGTGGCAGAGGCACGGACAATACGGCCAGCAGCAGTGACAACCTCAAACTCGAGGGTGTTGTCAGCACCAAGACCGTAGCTGGAGCTGAGAGGAGAGTGGCCACCGCCCAGAGTGAAGCCAGCAAGGCCTACAGTAGGGCATTCACCAGGGACACTGGTAAGTCCCTGGGAGTCGGCATACTCAACACTGTCAAAGCCCTGGATACCAGCACCAAGCTTAAAAGCAGGGCCGTTGTAAGTCTTGTCGGCCCATTGAACGACCTCAGTGTTCTTAAGATGATGAGTCCAGATAGCGAGGCCGCCAGCACCGGTAGATCGACCAAAGTAGCTAAGAGGAATAAAGTTAATAAGGTTATCGAACTTAAATCCGGGGTTGAAACGTACTCATGCGCCGTGTTTCGGACGACTAGCCGGATGTTGTAGTAATTTGCGAATTGAACGGCGGCAGCTACTTGGCGAGCATTCGAGACATTTACGGCGTAGCTAACGTAGTTTCCAAGGGTGCAGGGTTTCTCCTCCGCAGTGAAAGCGTCACAGCTCTGATTGGCGAACCAATTCTGCATCACCGACGATGAAGTCTCGATGCTAGTTAGGGTTAATTGGTGGCGTTCAGCGCTAGAAAGTCCGGAAAACCTACTGTGTCATGGGCCACTTCCATGCATCCTGGACGGCAGCGCAAGCCGCCTCGTCGTAGTTGGGGTCGTGGCATGGTGAGCCAAGGGGGACAGTCTTGATGAGAGCGCCATTGACGGTGGTGTTGAACTTGGCCCAGACGCTATCGGCAGGCCAGCACTTGTCGCTGGGAAGACAACGACAGCTAGCGCTTGTGGCGCTGGAGCTATCGATGAGAAGTGCTAGAGGCAGAAGCGCCAAGGAGAGGAGGGACTTCATTTTGAGGGTAGTTTGGAGCGGAATGAGTGACAAAGTGGCGTAGTTAGGCGGGACAGAATGAGTATTTATTCACGAGAATTTAGCATTTACAAGCCCCCTATTTCTGCAATCTAATCTGTCTACGGATGCAGTCCACGAAGTGCGTGCAGGCCTTGGATCCTTCAGCTCTCACCGCGCACTAGCAAGCTTCGTTGATTGTTGGTTCATCTTTGACTCTGCAATGCCATGCTGCCCTCCCGCGCGAATAACCATTCTTGGCAGGTCCCTCATGGGAGATGTGCATTAAGATGCCAGGGGGCCCTATATGGGGTTCTGATAGCCGAGTTACCCGAGGTATAGAAGGGTTCCAAGCGCCGGAGATTAAATATGAAAGAAGAAAAAGCCCATGTTGATCCCGATTGTTCCAGCCGGAATCCAACCGCCTTGGCAATCGACGAACCCAGTCATAGCCACGTGTTGATGATCTTTGTGGAAGAAGCCCGGCTCCGGTTGAGATGGCATTGCGGATCAGAGAGGGATTTTGCTTATGGATATTGGCTTCTGAGTCAAGTAGTCGAAAGTCAACGTAATAACATCATTCACATTCGCCACTTTTGACAGATTCTTCAGCGGCGGGGTCCCGCAGTTACAGGGCCAGACCACACTGCAGACATTCTCACGCAGGGAGGGTTTCAGCAAGGAGGTCGCCAATAAATGAATGCATGATACTCGCAGCACCTGAACGGTATATATTCCCCTTCTCAGTGTCACCCCGAACCATCATCTGGTCAAGTCCAACTCGCCACAGCCCTCTCACCAATCTTTGCTTGGACAAAGGTCCGATGCCATGATAGTTAGCGTCTTTAGCTTCAGGGGTCTCTCCGTCTCAGACCCCACTACACCACGAACCCCTTTGACGCAGAGGCGAGAGGGGACGAGAAAGAGGAAAAGCCCCCCCTTTTAACTCGCAAAACGGTAAATAAACGTTGAGTTATTTCTAGAATTGCTACGAGTCACTTTCCTAAATGGAGAGCGTGAGTATGCTTGGCAAACGGTGGCGCAATAGGCGAACCTACCTATACCATGGACGCTTTGATCTCGGATATACATCACCAAGAGGGTCTAGTGGGAATGGCTCAGGCGCCATGGTTACAGTAGGTAAAGAGAGTGGTTCGTGAAGAGGAGACTCGTGATGGATGATCTGCGGGCCCCAGTTCGGAGGATTCGGGAATCGAAAATGTTTAATCCATATCGAGACGTGATCTTCACTGTTCTTTTTGCTTTGACCATCAAAGCACCGCGATCGTCGTAGAAAGCAGCTTCATGGTTATGTAGTGCAAAGTAAAAAAGTGAAAAAGATCATCGGCCCAAGTGCCGGTTTTAGAGTTCTGACCACCGAGTGACGGTTTCACGTTTCACCCACCACTACAGATGTAGTGACACCTCCCTCTTTCGATTCCGCAGCCACCGTAAACGAACCTGTCAATATCAGACACCAAGTAATGGACCTTTTGTCCCCAATGATAACGCCGTATCCACTGCAAGCCATCAATCAAACTAATTAAGTTCATCCTGATCCGGCCTCTTGGGACCTCCTCTTCCGCCTTGGCTCACCTCGTTTTGATCGTATTCAGCCTGTTCTTGACTTGTCTATTCCCCATTATCATGTCTGTCTTGACTCGAAACACTGGATCAGATCAGTCTGTGCGGGTCTGACCGCGGAACTAACACACAAATCTGAACCACAGCTCGGGCAGTGACATAAAACTGGGCTGAAGTTCCCTTGCAGACGATCTTGTCTAGCCCTGCAACTACATATCAGTCCACCCTCTCCCACCCAATCCCCAGATCCATTTGTTTTTCCATCATCTTGCTTTTTACGATGCGGCTGCTGCGTGGGGCTGTCTTCGCTTCCCTTGCGGCTCTGCCGTTGGCTTTTGCCCAACAAGAGTCTTCTGCTGCTGCTGCTTCTGCTCTGTCTGCGTTACCGGAATGTGCTGTGAGTTTTTTTATGGCTTTCACATGTGAATAGCGACTGACGAGGACCTAGGCAAATTGTTTCGTGTCGGCCGTTGAGCGATCGACATGTGAACTTACAGACCAGAAGTGCATGTGCACCAACACCGCACTACAACAAGACATTGAAGGCTGCGTCATGCGCGCATGTACAATTCCACAGTCTCTCGGTATGTCAACCTTGTTCACTTCTTGTGCACCAACTCACATCTGTAGTCACGAAAAATGCCACTCTCACAGCATGTGGCGCTCCTATCAGAGACCACTCACCCCAATTCATAGTCCTCAATGAAGTCATGGCCATTATAACAGGAATCTTCATCGTCCAACGCTTCGGCACAAAGCTCTACTGGAAGCTCCCTCTCGGCCTTGATGATCTCTTCATTGTACTGACAATGTGTGTCGCCATTCCTTCCATCGTCATCAACTCTCGTGGTCTCGCTCCCAACGGCATGGGTCGCGACATCTGGACCGTCACACCTGATCAGATCACCTCGTTCGGAATGTTCTTCTACACCATGGCCATCCTGTACTTCTCACTACAAACGTTTCTGAAGCTGTCAATGCTGTTCTTCTACCTGAGAATCTTTCCGACGCAGAATGTCAGGAGGTTGCTTTGGGGAACTGTTGCCTTTACGGTTGTCTTTGGGCTTGTATTTATCTTCGTGGCCATCTTCCAGTGCCGGCCTATCAACTACTTCTGGCTGAAGTGGGATGGACAACATGAGGGCAAATGTGCCGATATCAACGCGGTCACTTGGTCGAATGCCGCTATCAACATCGCCCTTGACTTTTGGATCCTTGCCATTCCCTTATCTCAACTCAAGTCACTCAACTTGGATTGGCGAAAGAAGATCGGTGTTGGCATGATGTTCAGCGTCGGTATCTTGTAAGTTCATCCTCTGCCACCTTAGACTCTTCACTCACTAACATTTATAAGTGTCACAATCATGAGTATTCTGCGCCTTCACGCCACAGTCCAAGCCGGCGTCAAAACTACCAACGCAACATGGGAATACCTCGCTGTATCAAAATGGTCCACCATCGAAGGCAACGTTGGTATCATCTGCGCATGCATGCCGTCCCTCCGAATCTTGCTCGTCCGCCTATTCCCTAAGATTCTGGGTACTTCCCAACGCTACTACAACTATGGCAGCAAGAGCAACAAGCAAACACCTGGCAATACTCACAACCGCAGTGTTCCGCTTGGAACAAATGCCACTTCTCAAGCGGATCGATCACAAAGGCGGGTCGATCCTGTAGGCATTGAATGTCACAGGACATATGAGGTGGAATATGGAGACAATGATGAAACATACTTGGTTCATATGAAGGATATGGATCATAAGAGTGCGAGGTCAGAGGTCAGGTCGGAAACGTCTCTTTAACGTCATATACAAATAATTCCTATGTTAATGAATAAGAAGATAATGAAATTTAACTTCCTCATATTGCCCTAGATAATCTCAATGAGATGAGTGAACGATGTCACTGAATGATCTATAATTTTCCACCGGGCATGCAAATATACTTAGTGTGCCATGTTGCAGTCATTTATCTCGAGTAAGAGACGTTTGCTTTTGCATGTAAGTGAGATATTTGAAAACAGTCTTAGTCTGAATGAAAGCCTGATCATGATGTCAACTAGAAGCAGAACATTCACAAAGCTTTTTGTTCTTAGATCGTTATCTTAGATTACCAAGAAAGTCTCAGTTCTATTACAATTTGTATGCGATGAGTCCGTCTTGATAACATACTAGTGATGCATGAGAGCTAGCCAGGTGAAAGACATATATTAATAGGGTTCTTGAGAGTTTTATTAAATTTGCCGGTGGCTCGTGTTCGCTCAAATAAACATCAAGGCCCTGTTTTTGATAAGGATCGTTATGGAATTTTATGAATGCTTGACGTAGGTACTTGGACATGTCGCGGATGTTGCAACTAAAAATGCCGAGGTTGGGCGACCATCATTTTGAGGCTCTGAAGCCATGACAACAGGGAAAGTCAAAGTCATACCCTGGAGACCTATCTTCAACCGCATTCGCTACCAAATTCCCGGGGTTACAAGGATTCATCAATAAACTTTCGAGGTATCTTCAATCGAGCTGCCGAGCAGAATGGAAAGCTCAAGTGGTCCTACCCTGCAGCCCCACCCGGCTTAACCCCGGCTGTTTCCGCACAATAAAAAACCCTTCCTCGCTTCCCAAATCTTTCCCTCCTCAAGCCATTCGCCCTCCCCAACGCTGCGTTTCCATGCTACAAACAGAGAGACACGCCTCGCGCTGTCTCTCAATCACTCTTCGCATGTGGGAAATTCGGAGTAAGCCTCACCCATCGCTGACATCTGGCATTTTGCTGGAACCGTCGGTCTGCCGGTAACGGCCTGGCGTCAATGTCACGTCTGCAAAAGATATCAGAAATACTCAGAGCGCGTGCTTTCGTCACGCTGTCTCTATGGGAACGTCTTTGCGAGGCTCGTTTTGGGAAAAACTGAAGTGCGATACGCGGCGTCCTGTCCCCTTCGCGGGCTGGATGACTCAATTCCGATCACTCTGGGGAGGGCGATGGCTTCACTTTTTTTTCTTCAGGTCAGTGTTGATGATACCACCGAACAGATCACTACTAATGAGTGGGGGAGGAGGCAGGAATGAGAGTTGTGGGGTTAGGCAAACAAGCACTGCCTTTGGAGGAATGGAGTATTGTCATTTCGATCGCTAATACGAATATTCTTGATATCATCACTTTTATTCCTGTCGCACCCAAATCCTGAATCACGCCGTCCATCACGAGGACTTTGCTCGCGTCCAAAAGAACCTTAACGCCGTAGCCAAACGCCTCCGTCGCGCCATAATCACACCATCCTTCAAGAATCGTTCGAATCCAGACCCCGCACGATCGCATAGCTTGTGCCAGCTGCCAACATGCCAATAATTAATGTCTGCACTGCTCCCCAGACACCCGCACGATGATTGCGAATAGCGACGTAGTTCTTGACGTATCCAAATACCAACAACACAGCGACCGTAATACCAATCGATACGTATAATGCTTCGCGCACGCGAGACATCACGAAGTAGGGAATCATGGGGATCAGTCCGCCGATGAAGTAGCTCAATCCCATGGTGACCGCTGAGATCCATGCACGGTGAACGTTGGGCTCCTCGAGCTTGAGTTCGAAATCCATCATGAAGCGCACCCATTCTGCGGGGTTCTTGCAGAGCTCGTCTACCAAAGGTGCAGCGGCACTTCGCGAGACGCTGTACTTTTCCAAGACATCGTAAACACCCGTGCGCTCGTCACCAGGTCTGTTCTGTACCGCGAATTCTTTTTTACCAGCCTGTGAATGATACGCGTCGCGTTCTGTCACGGCGGCGAGGTACGCGCCTAGACCCATGCTGATCATGCCGGAGAAGAGCTCTGCTAGGCCAGCGATGATGACGACCTTGGCACTGCCGAGACTTGACAGGCCTGCTGTTAGTGCAAAAGGAACTGTGAGGCCGTCTGAGAAGCCAATGATGATGTCGCGAAGGACGTCGCTGTAGTCGACATGGCATTCTTCATGCTTGCTGTAGTTGGGGTGCAGTGGCCGCGCATCGTAGGCGGGATGGGAGCTTTGGTAGGAGATTGAGCGCTCAGTGGCAGGCTCTGGGAGGAGGGGAGTAGATTCTGATGTAATGTGTGTCATGGTGTTGTGCTGAGATTGACGTGATGGTGTTTGCGAGGTGGTGCTATCAGAATGAATGGCTTTATAAAGCAATTCGCCACAAGTTCAATTGGTAGGCAGGTTTAATTTATAATCAAGTCGAATGCAAACAAGATTTCTATCGTATACTTTCACATTCACTGCTGGTTCTCCAAGCAGGTCTTATACCCATCTCGGTCTTTGTCTCTCCACACCTTGCACAGACCGAAAAGAGCTCCCTTGTCCGAAAGGGCTAAGTCCGGGACCGAATCCATCACGGGTATTTAGAAGCCCGGCCAATCACGATGCATGTTTTAGTAATCTTGGTGTAAACACAGCTGAGACCTGCAATCTAAACTACCGGTTTATTAATAAGATACTCCATAAAGAGAAATGCTAGATGGAAAAAAGAGTTTTACAGGCGGTCTTAGTACATGCGTAGTGTAGTATAGTCAAAAATCTACAGCTTGTGGTCTCGCTTTTTGCGCTGGTAGAGTGAGACCTCAAAGCCCTGTATGCCGCCGTCCCGAATAACCCTTCGGAGAATCTTTCCACTCGGTGATTTGGGGATCGCTTTTACGAAGACAATTCCGCCAACAAGCCACTTGTACCGCGCTGAATGACTCTCGACCAAATCCTTAAGATCATGCGCCAACTTTTGAAGTTCGGCCTCTGACTTGCTCTCGTCTGCTGCGACAACATAAGCGCGTGGCCACTCTGTCGCTTCGTCCTTATCGTGCACGCCAATCACGCCAGCGTCAGCAACGTCATCGCTGCTGCAGAGAATAGCCTCCAATTCAGCGGGCGCGACTTGGTAGGCGCGGACTTTGATCATTTCTTTGATGCGGTCTGTGATGCAGAGAGTGCCCTCCTCGTCGAGATGACCGACGTCGCCGGTTCGGAGCCATCCATCTGAGGTGAACGCCTCCGTTGTGACGCTCATATCGGGCGCTTCTTTGCTTCCCAGTCCATGGGATGGGACATAAGCACTCATCAATCCGGGCGATCTTACAAGAATCTCACCCTCAGCACCGAACGGCGCAGCCTTTGTGGTGGAATCATCGGAGTTCAATTCACCCGACCCAGCGATCATGAGCTCAACGCCCCAATGGGGCTTTCCTGTATCGTGCTTGTAACTGTGCATGTCTTCTTCCCTTAGACCTCTTTGCAGAGTGACACTGCACGCTTCTGACATGCCGTAGCCAAGCCTCACAAGGAAGCCGAGTCGTTGGAAGACCTTCTCTACGACTTCATGGCCGAGAGGTGCACCGCCTGTGACACCTGCAACAACACTGCTGAAAGCATTGCGACCGCGCGCGTCGCGTCGCGCGAATGGTTCTACCACGGGCGACTTGGCGAGCATGACAGCCACGGGAGGTGCCATATGAAGATAAGTGATCTGTCGGCGCGGGATTGCGGATAAAACAGTATCGAGCTTGAATGCGGGCATAGTAAACACCGTAGAACCCGTCGCCAAAGCTAGTAAGAAGGTGTTGGTGAGACCGAAGACGTGGTAAAATGGCACATAGCCTAGCCATCGCTGGTGAAACCCGTAAAAGTCCGCATCATGCCACAGCGACGCGACTGAGAAGTTGATGGCTTGATGAGATAGCAAAACACCCTTTGATCGGCCTGATGTACCAGACGACCAGAGAATAATTGCTGTTCGTGTAGCGGCAGAGTCTGGCGAGAACGCGTAACCAGCAGTAAGAGGCTCTTTCGCTGGCATGAGAAGATTCTTCCAATCACCATCCTCAGCATGAGAAGCCGGCGAGAGAGGATACAAATCCCTCGCCACATCGACTGTGTAGACGCGCACACTTCTCTTGTACGCCTCGTCTTCCTGCTGCTCAAGCGCTTTCTCAACCGTGCTGAGGAAGGCTTTCGCTGTGAAGAACACGCGAGGACGCGAATTCTTGATGACCCATGAGAGCTCAGTAGCGGATAGTGAGGGCGATGCTAATGTGGTAGTTAAACCAGCTGCGATGGCACCCATCACGAGTGTCGCAAAGGGCAAACAGTTAGGCAATTGGATGAGCACCACAGGTGCGACCTCTGGGCCAGGACATGATGCTGTTGGGGGGAGGGTCTCGATTTCACTGGGGTCAAGACCAAGAGATTGGAGGTTTGATGCGAGAGTGAGGGCATCGCGCTTTACGCGTGAGTAAGTGAGAGGACGGTCTAGATAAGTCAGTGCGTGTCGCCATGATATGATGTTGAGTTTGTGCATGCAAGATTGAGTTCAGGAGTGCAACGTACCGCTGGCGTGGTCGACGAAAATGGGCTGATCATCATGGATCTTTGGCACACGTCTCGCTCTAGGCGTAAACTCATTTTCGTTTTGGAAGGGATTGCTGAATAAGAAGTCGAAGACGTTCGCGCCTGGGACGTTGGCGGGTGTGCCTACATAAGCGGGCTTTGTGTCTGCCATTGTGTGTCTCTGTGTTGGTGTAACTTTTTGCCCTTTGCTTTGTTGATGTTGCTCTGTTGGTTGCTGGGTGACACGCAGGGGGTGGTACGGTACAGGCTGCTTGTGAAAGGGAGAAATTGATGACAAGTCAAAGAGTCTGAAGCTGGAATTGGTCTTATAATTGAGGTGAGTGAGGTCGTTTACCGTATACCTTGGGTAGAACGATCGGGCCGGCGTGGAGATTGCGGAGACCCCGCGTTGAGAGCTGTCTTTCTCGGTTTCGGGCCTGAGAGACGGGAGGCGCTGCGGCTCGATCCTGCGGCAGTTGTTTTCGGCTGAGGATGTGCCTCGTTACGCGAATATCAGCAGATTCATATGAAATCACAGACAACGTGGTAAATTGATCGAATCAAAACAATATTATAAGCATACAAGCTGCCGAAAATAATTTCCATCTATTTAAACTAATGTAATCATCATATTTGCTACGATCTATGGCTGTTATTATCTAGCCGTTCAACGCTGACCGGGTATAAGAATATCCAGATCCTCACCGATTTAGGCAACCCGAGGCTTGAGCCCCGTAACAGTGAGAACAAGCCTGTAATTACGCTTCAATCAGATTCAAGATTTGCCGTGCCATTGAGTATATAGACGAAGATCAATTTAGTACTCACCTCGGTTTCTGATATTTTGTTTCATCTTAGTAGCACCGGCATTAGGAGGTCGGTACATGATTTGTTCGCCTAGCGCCCCTGCCTAAGAGACTTCAGTAAGCGACGCAGCTCTCATAGCATGAAAAGATACTTAAGTACTAGAAGTCTCCTCGTAAGATTTCATAAGGACCTGCACTTGTCGGAGAATAAGGTGAAGGATATCTCTCGATAACTGCATATCTGTCGCGTAACAGGGCCACCTCACTTGCGAACAGTTAGAACCATCAATTCACCACTGGCTACCCTAGAGCCGGCCCTCAGGATGGCTCGGCCGAAAGATCAGAGCTTCTCGAGAGTGTGACGACTCGTCACTATCAGGATATCTAACTTTTCAGCCAAATGCAAGACCCTAGGCAACAGTAAAGGTGATGAGTATATTTTCCGTATGTGTTTATTGGTGTTCTTCACCTTTGTGCGCTGGGGGCTGAAGCGTCTTTTGATTTCACAAAACCTTATCAGTGACGACTCGTCAGAAGACCGAGCATCGTGAAGATGCTGATTCTCAGCCTGAGACCACATTTGGTACGCTCACCAAATTTAGAGCAATGGAAAAGTAGGCTGCCATAGTTTGCAGTAACAGACATTGCGTCGCCAGCCAAAGTTCGGTGTAGTGCCAGTCCACGCTCTTGATCAAGAGCCTTACCTTGAACAGATGCCACCATCCCGTAACAGTCAATGCAACTAAATCCTCAGTGGCATGGTGGATGGCTCTGTAGAGCTGACTGTCAGGGTAAGTCTTGTCAAAGTCCTTGTACTTCAATTGATATGAGTAAGATACATAAGCTTTGATCACAATCTTGACAACTTTCATGTTTTATATGAAAGCGGTAGAGACTCCCTGTGATCTCATTACTGCACGAGCGTTACAATCAAATATAAGGTACCCAGAGTAGCGTTTGGGAATTGGCTACCAGCAAAAATAAAATAGAGTTTCCTATTGCATCATTCGAGGTATCATGACAAAAGACATCAAGGTTCTCACAAACTCAACAAGGTAGTCATGATGCCGGCAATCTTTGATCTCAAGCCTCCTAGACATTGACTAGTGGTGATAGTTTGAAGAAAGAGGCTGGCTAAGCCAATGACCTTGAGAGAATTGATAATGCACTAGATACCCTGGTCATGAAGTGCATCAAGCCATCCCTCAATCATCATCACTGAGCAGTGGCGTGTTGCCATATTTTCGGCTAGAAATATGTCAAGGTTAATGAACCTTGCTTTGAGCTTCCTTATGAAGTAATTCATGATCTTCTTTAGAAGTACTGGAATCGCAAGTCGTCACTCTGTCGATTTTATCTTCACGCGGCTACCTTTGATACTCCAGCCGTGAAACCCTTTTGGAGGCTCCGCGTCCCCCCATTTGTGGCTGCATATTTCACTAAACCTTTTCACAGTTAGTCCGAAATCCAATGGCCATATTCCTCAGCGGTAGCCAATAAAGTCACGCAAATTGTCATCAGGGTACTTACACTCGCGATAGCATCACCTTGATGGCTTCAGGGTCCGTACCTTGATGAGCACTACACTTGTAAGCAAGAATATTATGTAAGTCACAACAAGTAGAAATACCACTGTTCCAAGGAGGAGACCTTTCTGAATCTACTTCCTCTCTTCCTCTTCACATCTCATTAGGGTTTCCTCTGTACTTCACTGTCTTTTTCGGATTCAAGATGGCTAAGAATAAGGTCAAGAAAGGAAACAAGAGCAAGGGTGCTAAGAAGCCTAGCATTCCTCCAAAGGCTTTACCTGTGACACTTCTCTCTGGGTTCCTGGTAAGTTTTCTTGATCCATAATCATGGAACTCTCAGCTGACTGTGTAGGGATCTGGCAAAACGACTCTTCTTCAACATATCCTTCGAACTGAGCATGGTCTCCGCATCGCGGTGGTGGTCAACGATATTGGAGCGTATGTTCCTACTCCCTTTCCGCACTACCAAAGTCTGACCTCTCTAGTATCAACGTCGATGCCTCCCTCATCAAGAAAACACACCATCTTTCAAAGACCCAAGAGAAAGTAATCGCTCTCCAGAATGGCTGTATCTGCTGCACCCTCCGCGGTGATCTCCTAGAGGAGCTAGTTCGTCTAGCCCAACTTCAAGAGTTTGACTACATCATCATCGAGAGCAGCGGTATCAGTGAGCCCGAGCAGGTCGCTGAGACATTCGACTCGAGACTTGCCGAGCAGATGGATGCCATGGGGTCCATCGAGGGTGCCCCTGGTCTAGATGCTGACATGATCAAGGTTCTCAAGCAATTGTGAGTACTCTCCAGCAAGTGAGGGAAGAGATGCTGACTTTTTGATAGGAAAGATGCTGGTGGTCTTGAGAAGTTTGCCAGGCTCGACACCACGGTCACTGTCATTGATGCTTTTACTATGTTACATGACTTTGACACGAGTGATCTGCTTTCTTCAAGACGTGACGATGTCACGCCTGAGGATGAGAGGACTGTCTCTGATCTTATGGTTGATCAGATTGAGTTTGCGGATGTCATCATCCTCAACAAACTCGACATGGTGAGTTCAAGAACGTTCCTTCCACAGGGACCAATGAGCTAAGATAATACCAGATTGATGCGTCAACGAAACCTCGCTTGCTTGACTTGATCAAGAAGCTCAACCACCGCGCCAAGATCCTCGAGTCGAGCTACGGCAAGGTCGATGTCAAGCAGATTGTCAACACTGGCATGTTCAACCTTCAGGTTGCTCAGTCAGGCTATGGATGGCTTCAGGACCTTCATGCCATGACCGTTCGGGAGGTATGTTATACTCGCGCCCAGACCATCTTCCAATAGAGCCTCGTATACTGATTATGCTAGGTCAATGGCCGTAACGTGCTTACACCAAAGCCCGAGACTGAAGAGTACTCTGTGCGAAGCTGCATTTACAGTCGTCATCGACCATTCCACCCTCGTCGACTCTGGGCACTGCTGTATGACAAGTTCATTCTGCAGCTTGAGCAGCCCGAAGACGGCGATGAGGAGGAAGAGGAAGAAGAGGAAGATGAAGACCTTGAGATGGTCGATTACCCAGATGATGAGGACTCAGCTGGAGGTGCTGTAGTTGACCAAGACACTTCTGACTCCTCTTCATCCCGAGGAAAGCGTTCAGCCCCATCATCACCTCGCAGCTCCCATTCCACCCTTGAATCTGCCCCTTCACCTGAGTCTGCATCTAAGAAGCAAAAGTTCGATGATTCGGAAATGCAAGACGCAGATGATCTCTTCACACCTTCAAACGATGTCATCCTGGAAACCAAGCGCAAACATCCCATCTTTGCACGACTCTTCCGCTCAAAAGGTGAATTCTTCCTCGCAACACGGCCCCACCGCGCCGGAGACTGGTCCCAGGCTGGAGCTATGCTCACACTAACCGGCGGACGTCCATGGTTCTGCACTCTTCCTGCGGAGGAGTACACGACCGGCGATCCCGAGGTTGATGGGCTTGTGCAACATGACATCAAGAAAGGTGGAGAGTGGGGAGATAGACGTCAGGAATTGGTGTTTATCGGAGAGAACCTGGATCACAAGGCTCTTGAAAAGATGCTGGATGAGTGTTTGCTCACTGACGCTGAGTTAAAGAAGTGGGAAAAGGTCATGAGAAATGAGAAGAAGAGTGATGAGGAGAAGCGTGAGGCGCTAGAGGATCTGTTCGATGATGGATTTCCCGATTGGCCGGAGGATGACGAACATGAGGACCATGAGGGACATGATCACCCGAATGGCTTGAGGTCGATAAAGAAGCACTTACAAGAAGTTGACTAAAGGGGATAAATCTCAAAAGAAAAGTCATGTTGTGTTGATACTGGTATCCGCCTCTGTGAGCTCCCAAATAGCAAAACTCCTAGCCCCTTAACCGTTTTGTTCCCATGTTTGCGTAATATCTTCTCTTCGATGTCTCTGTCTCGGCGCACTAGCCCATTCTCTTCCAGTCTAGTATGCGCCATCTCCCAAAGACCCATCAAACGTCCCCCATCATAGCAAACGCCGTATCAACAGCCTCTTTTGCCACAAACGAAAAGACTTCAACGTCCTTTCCCATCGAGATACTTCCCTTCGCCCAGCCCCCAACCAAGCACCCCACGTACCAGATCGCAAGATGTTTATTGTATCGATGTACCTTGTTGATACAAGTTCTCTTCATGCTCCGTCGTAGATCCGTCATCCAATCGCCCTCCTCATATCTCACATCAGTGCGTTCCATCGGGCAGAAGAAGTCGTGCGCATCTTGGCTTGAGCCTTGCTCTGGTTCTGTGGTGGAGAAACTGATGCTGAGTTGCGCTGGTCGACTTCGATATGTGGCGATTCCGAAGACTGGGGTGCGGCAGGATGATGATTCGGCGCATGAGGAGCTGGTTCGGTGATTGGTGGGTTGGCCTGGGAGGGTTAACGTCATGTCAAGTGACGTTGCAAGTGACATGTTTTCTTACTGCAAATGTTTCCAACGCTGATATACTCGCGAACTAAAAAGTCCATAGCTGGCCTGTCCGGTTCACCCGCGTCTCCCGTCCAGTTCTTGAAGATGGCCGTTAGAAAGTCCTCCATTGTATCCTTCGTCTTAGAAAGCGTCGCACTGGACTCGGTCGCAAGGCTACAAGCGTGGAGTATATCGAAACATCGCTTCAGTTCGGAGTCGTCGAGATCGTCAGGAGTTGTGATGGATCGTGGGGTTCGAAAAATGTGATCGCCGAGTTCGAGGGATGTGAAGAGGCGATTGCGGGATTCGACGCTGGATCGAGGTTCGGGCGAGGGACTGTTGCTGCCTATCAGTATTGGTTCCGAATCATCTGGTTCTTGCTTGACAATTGCTGGAGCTGTGCATGGTGGTACGAAGCGTACAGGAGGGTTGAGAGCGGCACGGGCGAAAGGGGCGGAAGAAGCATGCAGAGGAGCGTTGTGGAAGAGTAGAGGAGATCATGTTGTTGAGAAAAGTGCTAATCAAGAGAAGCTCTTCGATCTCGTGTTGCGGCAGTGAATCATCGCGGCAGCGATGAAAAAGGATTCTGCTGGTGTCCTGGATATACTCGACGAAGGAGACAAGCATCACTGCGCAACAATAATGGTCACTCAGATTTACAGACACTGGAACCAATTAGAACCACCGGAGAAACTGGCTACAGAAAACGGGACTGATATTTTATTTCCTCTAACTGCAATAAGAAGCCAGGGCTTTGGGCAAGCCAGCAAAGGGAGCGTTTATTGGCATCGGAGGATAAGCCTCGGCACGGACCTGAGAAATGCAATGCTCCCCCGGAGCCTGACGGAGGTTGGGCAGAACGACGTGCCTTGAACCTTACCAACACACAAAGACGGAAATAATGGTCGTATTCTCAACTGTCAGTATGAATCTAGAGAATCGTCATGGCATCTGATTTCGCCACCAGACCCTAGTACTCTGCATACTGCCCTAAGATCTCGGTCAATCTCGGCTTTTGATGGATGGGGGAGTTAGATACTGTACTGGTGGTTAAGCCCGCATGGGTGCCAAGTACCAGCCAGTACCTTGCCAATACTGCAGCCCATTAGGGTGAGAGATACCTGTGTGATGAATTACGGTCGATATGATAATTTGGACATTCTTGGGATGATTGCAGCCGGAATTTAGGGCGATACTGACTCCTCAAGCCCTTCGATACACACGTTGGTGCCATTGGTTGGGTAACGTCTCTTGTCCTTGCTCATTGATAAGTAGGGCTCGGTGATGTTCCCAGAAATATTATCAGTCATTAAACCACTGGGAGTGGTCCTTCGGCAATTCCTTTGCACAGTACAGTGCCAGATCACCCCCAACCCCCTGGCTATCTCAACCCATTCTCAAATGACCTGTTCTTTTCGATGAAGACAAGTTGTTCTCTCCATTAAACCGAGGGTTCCTATTCATGTAGTGTACCCATATTGGAGGATCTTTGTGACCACTGACCATCCGCGGAGGTACATAACAACCCTGGTATGTGATGTCTCCATCCAAGACAAGTAAAACAAGGCAATAGCCCACCCGTCTCAAGGACTAAGGATCCATCCTGCAGATCTCTGAAATTTCTTCTCTACAGTACGTCCAAGGATCTTGAAGTTCTCACGCAGTGCACAGGTTACTGTTTGTTCTGCAGATGCAAGAATGGTGTGATGAGACTCCTGTCACTGACAAAAGGGCCATCCATCGTGGAGTGCAGTAAGCTTGATCAAGGCATCAATTTGTTATCTTCCAGCTTGACATGCAGACATCGATGCAAACGCATCATCATGGTATCTGCAAGATCGGCCAATTTCTAAGGTGACTCATGAGATGTATAGTAGCATTCGGTAGAAAGAGAAAAGTCAATTCAGAATGTATAACTGCTAGATAACACGATGCAAAGAATGTGATGTCAAAGGGACAGCATCTCGCAGATGTAAGGTAGTGTAGACTGCGCCCCCCATTGCAGAAAAAAGTCTTGATCTTGTCCCTTTCAAGCCATGCTAGGTACGTACGTACATTGGATGGCCCTGTAGACGGCTCCCGGCTCCGTGAGCGCTGATTGGGTGCTGGTTTAGGTTGACCAATGAGGGCTTGGCTGGTGAGTGTTGCATCCACGTCAGACTCTCCAGCCAATGTACATACATACGGATATGGAGACGGGCGTGTTTTCTCCATCTTGCAAGCTACATGCTTGTAGTATTGATAACTTGCACTTTGCTTGCCCATTTGGTGTTCGATGGGATATTGGCATGCATGGCTATCGTTTACATGATAGGACCCGTAGTCGCCCTGGAAAACGGTGACAGAGTGTGCGTAGCGCCGATCTTTCCTTGTCTTCTCTTTTCTTTTGTTCTCTTCTCTCTTATCATCCCCCCCTTGACATAAACAACAAGCCATGAATTATTTATTGCCTTATGCGTGGGCTGTTTTGGCGTCGCGCCCCTGTCAAGTCCAGGTATGTACTTGTGTTTTGTCCGGACCTTATCCACCAATCATGGCCTTCGGACTTAGAACCGAGAAGTCTCATCCAATCACTGCCCCCCTTTTTAATTGTCACAGTCTTCCTCACACGCTGCTAGCCTCGTCTGGGTCTAGTAGTCCGTGAGGAACCCCAGGGAGACATGGTCTGTAGTCTGGGCATTGCTGCAATCGTCTCATGACGTTGGGAAGATCTTTGTTTGCCCCAATGTCTCACAGGTCGTTTGGTTGGCTTTGGCTGCTTTGCTTTCGTGGGTGCCAGGGTGCCCATCCATCAATGCCTTGATGCAGCTTTGTCCTCGGTGATCTCCATGTCATCTTTTTAACTGCCGTAAGACCCTTGATCTGAGCTTCATTCACTGGTGTAGCTATGTAGTTCTTTCACAATTGTGCAATACCTAACCCAATTGCGAATGGCTTCTTCTACTATCCCCGCGGGTAATACTCTGGATTGCTTTCTAGGCATAGCTTGAGGCGGACTAAAAAGTGACACATTTGGCTTAAAAGGCCACTCCTATCGACCCCTCACAACCCTGTCTCCAGACCCCAGTTGCGTGCATCTACATATCCCCAGGGCTAAACTCATTCCGTACTTGATGGCTTGGGCTTGGTGTCCAGTTCCCCTCTCATGTCTTGTCATGCCCTGACTCTGGCAAACACCATATTTAGTGCTACAGTACGGAGTACATTGGTACTGTATGTATCTCGCCGTTCGTCCCACGCCCCCCTCTTGGCTCCCGCATTGTCCCCCCAAACCCGGTCCTCCACCCTTCTTTTGTGCCTCTCTTATTTATAACATTTGCACCTCGCCTCAGTTTGCAGGGTCCAAGCTTGACTGCTAATATTTTATCTCCACTACGGTTCCTGGCTTGACCAGAACCTCAAGGTCTGACTCGACCAAGCTATCTAACAGCAACACCATCCAAGTTGCAGAGATGGGTACCATTTACCCTCCTTTCCAACAACAACACCATCCTCCCAATGATGGCAGCCAGCCTTACGACCCGAACATGCAACTCATGGCCCAGGACCCATCGGGCTCGAATTTATACGGCACGCTTCCCCAGAGCCCTTGGGAGCAATGGTGGTCTCCTGGGAACGCCGCCTTTGCCGAAGCAGCAAACATGGCCGCCCCAAATGCCTACGCGCAAGAGCACCAACAACACACCCAGTACGCCTACGATCAAGACTCCTCGACGCAATGGGTATCCAATTCAACCTCAATTCACAGCTATCCCGTCCCAACTCCTTCCACAGAGTCAACGAGCGTAGAGAATGCGACCGGTGACTCCGAAAGCCGTCGAGGCTCTTTGTCAACCCAGCCCGACAAACGAAAACGTAATGCGAGTCGATCCGCAGCCCCCAAAGCTCCAATACGCACATCAACTCGAATGACCAGTAAATCAGAAACAGCCGCAAAGAAGCCCAAGGGACGCGGCAAAGGCAAAGGGAAAGGCAAAGCAGCAGCAAAGGTCCAATCGACAAAGACAAGATCGCCATCTCCCGAATCAGAAGAACTCGACGAGCACAGCAAAAAGGTCCAGGAGAGAAACCGCATCGCCTCCAACAAATTCCGCGTCAAGAAGCGTGAAGACGCTAAGAAACTTCGAGCCGACGAAAAAGACATGGAGCGAGTAAACCGCGACTTGTCAAGCTGCGTGTCCGAACTCACGATGCAGGTCTACGAACTCAAGATGAGACTCTTACAACACACCGACTGCGAATGCCACTTGATTCAAAACTACATTGCGAGTGAAGCGCATCGATATATCCAGGACCTGGGCGAGGGAAAACAGAACCACGCGACCCCGCCACTTTGTCCATACAACCAGCACAATTGAGAGAGGCATCCATGTACGATTACAAGATACGAAGACGACGATTATGACGAGTCGATACGATAAAAGGTTCGGTCGGCGATTTAACGGGTTTATTTATTAGAATGCAGCGGAGGAGTCAGTGCGATTTGCCAGACCAAAAGAAGATATCGAATACGATGGGGTGATATGTTACACTTCTTGGTCTTTTCTTTCTTTCTTCTATTTATCGCGACTTATTTCTCTGCGAATTTATGGAATTGACGTGTTCAAATGGCGTTGGGAAGCATGGCAGTAAGAGACCAATGGACTTTATTGGCTCTGCTGAATGGCCAAGGCTACATGCAAATTTATGCTCTAATGCTTGTATTACTTCTCACTTTCAATCAAATCATGTCCTAATATCTGGCCTGTATCACCTTATCCAACCGTAAAATGTCAATACAAAACTGGACAAGGTCAGACCACGAGAACGGCTCACAGACACCCAACGGTCGATGTATCGTAGTCTTGTCTCTTGTCTGTCCACAACGCATCCCCCAAGGGATCTCAGTGGACAGAGGTCCTGTGCCCGGAGGCGATCCTGACGCAAAGATTGGCTGGGCAGAGAAGCCACAGTGTTACAACGGTCCCCGGAAATATTATCGCGCTGAGTTAGTATGTAGATTTTCAGGACCAGGGGGCCACAGGAATTTAATTCTCGGAGAGTACTGCAGCTTATCACAGTAGGCTATTGATGAGCCAAAGACATACCAACTGAGAGCGGAATGGTGGCACAATCACAGACATGCTATCTTCTCGTTCCACCACCAACAATCTTACACGCTTGTGCCAACACTAAATGGACAACGTTCAGCCCCGAAATCTTTTGTTCTATTCTACTTCCGGTATAGACTGACAACGGAGTGTTCTCCGACGCCCTATGGTTTCTGTCACCAATGGCCAGCTCGACTCGATTCCACACAGACAACGAATATGATAGCATCATCAGACACAGCAGAAAGACAATTATCTGGATACGTATCGAAACGCGCACGCATACTCTTAGCTATGACCAATTCTACTGGGATCAAATCGAGATGGAGTGATTGATAATGTGCACACTGCACAGCGCAAGAATCCAATTGATCGCACTGGCCTAGCTCGAGCCCGACCAATCATGTCTCCAGGGATAGAGCCTCCGAGCCAATTACTGTGACACGGACGATAACACCGTAGCCAATCATAACCCTTGAGCCTTAGCACGTAAGATCTACAAATGATGCCTCACAAGACGAGCACGTCAATGGGTTTAGCTGGTCAATAGAACAACAGGTTCAGTAACAAGCGTATTTGTACTACATTACATCTGGACAAGGCATCGTTTTTGTAGCACCCAATGGTAAGTTACATGGGTACTGAAGCAAGGAAGTTATTATTCTGGGCGTAGTGACATTCAGTTGGTGCTCGCCAACATGCGTTGGGCTGACTGGAACTTCTGCCCAAGAAACATGGGTGCGGCTACCAATGAAATTATCGGAAGGACGGTTCTCCGATCATGATGAAAAGTGGGAATTTGTTGGGGGAAAGTAAGTACTGGAGATTTCGAAGTGCCCCTGTATACGCTCCTGCTCACAGGGAGCCTTGCTCCATCCAGCCAGATCATAAGCAAGACGATGTGGCAAACATGCAACGATTCATGCATGGAGCCAAAGCAAAATACACACTTTTCAAGGTCAAGCTCAGCCCCACGTCACCCTACCAGGCAAGCTGGCAGAAACACTCTAGATTATACTCGTAGCTGTTAGGTAAGACCTGGAATCACATATGATGAACTGCAAGGGTATCACAGTTGACGAAATGATTGCGATATGCCTTGTTTATCCCCGCCTTATGATTGGCTTTGAGTGCGTCTTTGCGCCGTACCTTAGGGATCCGCAGCGTGGTCTTCGCTCCCCCCCTTTCTTTCAATGCTAGACGTTAAAAAGACGCAAATTACGATAAACTTGATATAACTTCTGCTTAAGTTCACATTATTATATTTCTATAAAGAGCTGAATTCCTTCCGCTCACTTAACTCACTTCTTCATTCGTTTCGACATATGGATGTGTGCGTGAAATCTGCCACTCGACATCAATTCACGCAACGATATTCCGAACATGAGAGACATAAGAGAAAAGCAGTGGCTCTGGGTAAATCTAGACTTCGAATGGGAAGACTATCAGAAAGAGCAAGGAATGGACTACCCCTGAGGACGAAATGAACAGCCACCAAGATCGATACACAATCACCCCTGCACTTCGATAATGCATGTCGATACCGACCATATTACCGCGAACCGATACGGGTACTGCGAAGAATCATTGAGTCAAGTAAAGCGCCAATTCGAGTGAGACATGCAGACAAACGTGTGTCTTGGGCAAGCATTGCTGCGCCCGTTACCCAGGCACGAAACAAAACCACGTACCCCCACAGGTCGAATAAGCTGCATCAAAGTTGGCAATCAACTACCTAGTTGCACTCGCTTGCTCCAAGCGCTAGAGACTAGGACTATGCGCGAAGACAACTAGTTAATGCCTCCAAGTTGGTCAAATATCCCTTGAATCTGTAGCCTGGAAATTTCCAACCCATAAAACCTCGGCCAGGCGTAGGGCGACCTGGTTTGCTTGGCCCTAGTAATAATAGAGTGTGATAAGCAAGGTCCAGGCCTTGGTGGCCCTGTATTTCCACCTAAGGAGACCCCGGCTGGGGGCCGTTGGCCAACAGGAGATAATAGATTGAACTACTTGAACAGGCAAATGACATACAGAAATGGATGCTTGTAACAACCAAGATAAACAGCAAGATTCATGTATTGGTCTTATTTTTGCCCTGTTTTCCAAGCCATTAAGTTGGCGAATGCAGCAGCATCTTGCCGATGGACAAAGTGGCCCAGCCATGCTCAACCAAATTCGTAAAGGAGACTACATCCAAGGCCCCAACCAGAAGAATCCTAGTTCAAGAAATATCGTGCCACATACGTTATTTAAGAATAGGTGTCTCCTTCCTGATTCGCTCGGCGACAGCTCCGAAACCTCGTCAGCTTTAACAGGCTGTGAACCAGGAAGTTGCGCGAGACAATGCTGTATGGCTCTTGGTAATTGTATTTAGGCGAGTCTATCACACCAAGGAAACACTTTTCCTCTCGATAGTTATTGGCCGAGTGTCCTCACTTCATATCCACCTAACTAGTTGTTCTAGTCCAGGTGGTTTGGGAGTTAAGGGTGTCGGATCCGTCTCGAATATTCACTTCTTTCACACACTGTGCACTATATCCATAATACAAAGCTTAAAGCAGATCATAATGAATACCACGATTCCCATCGCTTTGTCTCTGAAGTGATCCTTTCTCCTCGCGGGTGCTGTCACATCGGAATATTTGATGCCTTACACCACCCATTAGCCGTGTTGGTTAACAGACTATAAAAATCTCATAGACGAAAGGGCTGGCAGAAGTCGCCTATCGATCGTAAGACAGGGTTTCTTGTTGAAGGGGGGTAAGACTCAATGCATTTGTACACTAATATTTCTCTTACAGTGTCCAGGAGTATTTGAACAAGAAACACGATCTAAGCATCATGAACTATACCTTGTAGCATTTACAGTTGAGGCTCGTGGCTGAGAGCTTAAACCAGCAGACAGAACTTAGAACTTAGTAGCATTTACAGGATTACTTATTTATATTTGTAATACATAACACGAGGCAAGGCTCTTTTCTTCTACTTGCCGACGCTACTCAAGGGGTTTATATCCAGGGCTACATAAGTATTCATGATTGGGGAGAAACTGAGGTTAGGAAACATTAGTGTCATTCATGGAGGCTCACATTAATGCATAAATAATCATGAATAGTAGGAAAGTAATGCGACCCTGAAGCGGACTTGCCATGATATGTAACAGCAACCAAAGGTCATTATACACATATTGGAGTTCCGGACAAGTTATGATAGGACCACTATGGCAAGAGAAGATCTAAATGAGTCAAAATAAAGAGCAGGGTCATGTTGTAACCTTAGGCCAAGAACATACAGCAGCAGCTCAATAATGCTGAGTTGGAGAAACATAAGTAATGAAAGAGAATCGAAATTAGAATTAGGATTATTAAGAACATGCTGATCGAACCACCGAAATATTGTACATGACATCCGTCACTGCACCAGCTCCAACCACCATCTCCATTATCCAAGAATACACTGTCCAGCCACGCAAAGGCACAATCCTAGACGACACCTCGGTAGAGTTCGACAATCTGCAGCAGCAGCGCACTCCGGCGTAGGTCCATTACCAACGAGTCCACAGACACCATTGACACAAGCACAAACTCCCGGCAAAACACAAAGATCAAGGTTAGCAAGACAATCAGCCGCACCAGTGCAATCAGTGTTGTCGACACAAACACCATTCTGACATGTAGCACCCGTACTACAGCCTGCGTTAGAGGTACACTCATCAACGTCGGGCGATGTAGCACAGACTGCATCGACGCAGACACAAAGACCAAGAGCGCAAAGAGGATTGACCGAGAGGAGACAGTCGTTGGCGTCAACACAAGCGTCTGTACCCCCGCCTCCTGCTGCTGTACATACGCCGTTGGTGCATACATCTCCTGCGGTGATGCAGTCAGCGTTGCCGGTGCACGCGTCGCCAGTACCTCCTCCTCCGCCCCCTCCGGCTTGTACGCAGACAGCGTTGAGACAAACGCAGATGTTGAGAAGTCCGTTGAGGCAAAGGCCAGCGTTTGCCGTACAATCATCTGCAGTGGTACATGAAGTTGGGTTGTTGCCCGGATCGGGTCCACAGACGCCGCTGTCAAGACAGATAGATCCAGCCGTAGTACAGTCAGTATCGTCTGTGCAGGTATCACCGTCCCCGCCGCCATTACCGGCTTGTACACAGACAGCATTGAGACAAACGCAGAGATTCAACAAGCCGTCCAAACAGAGAGCGGCGTTGGCAGTGCAGTCGTCTGCTGTAGTACAGGAAGTTGGTGTATTTCCTGGGTCGGGTCCACAAACACCACTGTCAAGGCATATAGCTCCGGCAGCAGTACAATCAGTATCGTCATTGCAAGGGTCGCCATTGTTACCGCCACCGCCTGGTGATGCCACACAAACTGCATTGACACAGAGACAAATATTGAGAAGCCCGTCTAGGCAGAGACCAGCATTCGCAGTACAGTCGTCGGCAGTGTTGCAAGAAGTCGTCGCAGTCTCGGTTGGTGCAGGAGCAGTCGTTTCAGTGGGATTGACAACGGGATTGACGATACATAAGCCTTCGAGGCAAACGCAAATATTGAGCAAGCCGTCTAGACAGAGTGCCGCATTCGCTGTGCAATCACCGTTGGTGGCACACGGTGTTCTAGTGTTTGCAGGCGGCAGATCAGTTGTTTCAGTCGGATCACCTCCAGGGTTTGCTACGACGCAAACAGCGTTGAGGCAGACACACAGGTTCAGCAGGCCGTCCAAGCAGAGATCAGCATCAGCAAGACAGTCATCAGCTGTGGTACAAGCCACTGGTGCTGTAGTAGGTCCTCCTCCAGCTCCAGTCTCTGTAGTTGTCTGATCGTTGCCTCCTCCAGGATTAACGCAGACGCCATTGAGACAGACGCAAAGGTTGAGCAATCCATCGAGGCACAGATCCGCGTCAACAGCGCAATCATCAGCCGTAGAGCAAGCTATAGCTGTGGAAGTAGCTCCTGGTCCCGTGTTCGTCGCAGTAGGGTTCGTAGCGGTTGTTTCTTGACCGCCTGGATCAGCAACGCAAACTCCGTTGAGGCAGACACAAAGGTTGAGCCCTCCAATGATACAGAGGTCTACATTGACAGTGCAGTCATCGGCTGTGGAGCAGGCAACTGCAGTGGTCTCTGTTGGAGCTGGCTGAGTCGCTGTGCCAGTAGCATCAGCAGTAGTAGTGGCTAACGCTGGATCGAGAATGCAGACAGCATCTACGCAAAGGCATAGATTGAGTAGACCGTCTACACAAAGACCAACATCAACCAAGCAGTCATCACCCGAAGTACAGGCCACTGCTGACGATGTCGCTGCTGGTGCTTCTTCTGTGGTCGTAGCACCAGCGTCTGTAGTTGTCTGTCCATTATCAGCACCAGATGTTGTGGCTAAGGTTGGATCGACAATGCAGATGGCATCTACACAGATGCATAGATTGATCAACCCATCAACACAGAGGCCTAGGTCGGCCAAACAGTCAGCGTCCGTATCACAAGCAACGGCCGATGATGTTGCGGCTGCTTCTCCATCCGTCGTGGTAGCATCCTGGACGGTCGTTGTCTGTCCGTTGTTGGCATCAGTGGTTGAAGCTAAAGTTGGATCAAGAACACAAATAGCATCTACACAGATGCATAGGTTGAGCAAGCCATCGACACAGAGGCCGATGTCAGCCAAGCAGTCATCATCTGTAGTACAAGCGACAGCTGACGATGTTGCGGCTGCCTCTGCATCGGTAGTAGTAGCATCCTGGACAGTGGTCGTCTGTCCGTTGTTGGCATTAGTGGTCGAAGCTAAAGTTGGGTCAAGAACACAAATGCCATCGACGCAGATACATAGGTTGAGCAAGCCATCTGAGCAAAAGACAGCATTGGTCAGACAGTCGTCATCCGTGGAACACGATACTGACGATGTCGCAGCTGGGTCTCCTGTTGTAGTAGCAGTCTCTCCAGCACCGTCGGTAACTGTCGACCCAGCACCATCAGTTGGCTCGCCGTTGCCTGAAGTTGAGGCTCCAAGGTCAGAACCGGTGACTCCTGAACCTTCAGGTCCTCCGGGCTGCTGCGTGCAGACTCCGTCGACGCAAGTACAGATGTTGAGGCCGTTGAAAACACAAAGGGCGACATTGAGAAGACAATCATCGTCTGTAGAGCATGGTGTAGTTTCCGTTGGCACTGCAGTTGCCGCTTGAGTAGTGGAGGCTGTCTCTGTCTGTCCATCAATACCGGTACCAGTGGCACCAGTCTCAGAAGCTGAGATACCACTTCCGTCAGTAGTCGGCCCACCGGGGTTGTTAATGTCTGTCGTATCGGTACCGGCACCTCCGGCCGCGGAGCTACCGCCGTCGGTAGGAGACCCCCCGTCGGTGTCAGTGGGCAAAGCAGTTCCACTGAGCGTAATCTCAGAGCCGCCGCCACCTTCTGCACCGCCTGTCACTCTCGTGCTGGCATCCGAAATGTATGTTGAATCAGATCCAGGGCCGACAATAGGCCCGGCATCAGATGTGGCAGCGTTGGTCTCCGTAGGAGAACCGCCGCCACCCTCATCTGAACCAGTTGAGCCACCGTTACCATCGGGACGACCTCGAATGCTAGTGGTTGAAGCTGAGAGTCCATCGGCGCCAGTCGTGCCAGGGCCAGGATTGACAATCGGCGCGTCGTCACTGGCATCAGCACTGGATGCTGTTGAACCTGGAAGATTGCCAGCCCCCGAGCGCGTAGCAGTACCTGCGGGTGGTGAGGTTACAGCTGCACCACCATCTCCACCACCGTTACCAGTAGAAGAGCCGTCACCACCAAGATCCGGTCCAGGTCGGCCCCCGTTTCCTTCCGGGTTGCCGCTGTCTGGTCCGTTCCCAGAGCCACCACCAGGAGAACCACCATTACCGCCTGGTGATCCCCTGTTGGATCCACCACCTGTGCCCCCATTGCCACTACCACCGTTGCCGGAGCCTCCGTTACCATTACCTCCATTGCCATTACCTCCATTGCCTGAGCCATCGCCTGAGCCATCGCCAGGAGAGGCACCGTTGCCTCCCCCATTGTTGGAACCACCACCACCAGATCCTCCGCCGCCTCCATTAGAACCGCCAGAGCCATTGCCGTCGCCAGAGCCATTGCCGGGAGTGGCACCGCTGCCTCCTCCATTGGCACCACCGTTATTGCCTCCATTGGAACCACCATTACCGCCAGGTCGGCCGCCGCTGCCTTGAGGGTTACCGTTTGCACCAGGCGAACCAATGGCAACACAGTCTCCGTTCTGGCATACCTGTCCGGGAGGGCAAACGACGCCAATGCAGCTTGCCAAGGCCGGGTTCGATACACAGGTATCACCCAGGCAGATCTCGTCGCTGGCACACGTCTCACCACCACAGTCGGTGGGATCCCCGAGAGGGACGCACGCCTCCTGGATACAGGCATAGTTGGCAGGGCAGATAGAGCCGCCGCAGCTGATGGGCCCATCTACTTGAACGCAGCGGTCGTCGATACAGGCATAACCTGGTGGACATACAGCGTTTTGCCGATGGAAGAGACGGTTGAGGTTGGTAGAGGGTCCGCAGGATAAGGGGTCCGAAACTGAAAGGCACTCTCCGCTGACGCAGATGAAGTTCGATGCGCACTCTGGCTCGCACGCTGAAGATGGAAACCCATTTCCATCCTCGCCTGGGCCCGGACGACCTGGGCCAAGGTTATCGGGGCCACCCTGATTGTTACCAGAGCCAGAGTTGGAGCCTGGGCGTGAACCCGGGCGTGAATCCGGGAAGCCGCCTTGGCCACCTTGGCCACCTTGGCCACCTTGAGTCTGACCACCTCCGCCTGAAGCGCCGCCAGGAGAGCTACCAGAACCGTTGTTGTTCGAAGTAGAGTCTCCTCCTTGCTGATTTCCGTCCTGTCCCGACGTGGCGCCATTGGGAGAACCTTCGCGACCGCCCCCATTGTTGTTCTGGTCCGAGGATCCCCCTGGCCCGAAAGGAAATTCTCCTAGGCGTACAGAAGGACTGCAAGCTGTCCTGGGGATGCTTTCTTGGTGAACTAGGTCGCTAATGCACTGCCCTGAGACGCAGACTTGACCCTTGCCACATGGTTCTGCGCTACTACCGCACTGAGAAGTATCCGTCGAGATACTGATCGGTACACATTCGCCACCCAAGCACCATGAGCCAGGCTCACAGGGTCTGTCGCAGTTCTTGTTTGAATCTTCGTCATCAAGGGACTTACATTGCCCAGAGACGCAGACTTGCCCAGCAGTGCAGGCCTGGGAATCTTCTCCGCAACTGTTTATATCGGTCGAAAGGAATATTTGTCGACAGTATCCGTCCTGGCAAGATGTACCGAGAGAACATGAAGTTCTCTCATCGCAGGCTTGAACGTCGGTACCGAGGATAAAGGGAACGCAGGTATCGTATAGACACCAGCTTCCAGCATCACATTTGGTATTGGAAGGGCCGCAAGATGCAGGATCTGAGCCGATATCGATCTTTTGGCATTGCTGGTTGATGCAGAGAGATGAAGGATCACAGGATTCTCCTCCACAGTTGAGAGGATCAATTGCGATTTCGATGGAGACACACTCGCCGTTGGTGCACAGTTGACCGGGCTTACATGCGGTAGGACAGTCATCTGTACCGAGATCAAGCGGGAGACAGAGACCAGCAATGCAGATCTCTGAGGGCTCACAAGAGTTACCAAACTTTCCACAGTTTCGGGGATCAAGACCAATAGTGGTGTTGGTGCAACTGCCCCAGGTGCAAATGTCAGGGATGGGACATCCTGCACGTGGGACAAGGTTGGGGTATGTTTGATGGGGATATGCAGAAGCTGAAACCGTCAGGGTGATAGCCACGAGGGCTCGCCAGCTCATAGAGGGAGTCATGGCTATTAAGTGATAATTAGTCGAGTTGTTGTTGATGATGCTAACCTACAGAGTCGATAAAACCTCGTCCTATATATCTCGGTAGTTGTTGACCAGACACATCCCAACATACCTATCATCACAATAAACAAGCAACAGACAGCTGTTGACACGCAACATTGTTAGATATCGGTCTTCGATACGTCCTGAATCAATGTTTGATTAGGCTGGCTTGTATGCCTTCATTGGTATGTGGTATCAGGAGGGCTCTCGGAATCGTGGCATCCCGGGTGATTCCAGACTGATCAAGACGGAGCGTATATGTCTTGGAACAACAAGATCTTAAACAAAACACCTCTGAGTTCGGATCCAGATCTAGGCTGTCTGTGATCAATGGCAAGCCTAGCTGACGTGAAACCTTCGAGATAGGGGGTCGGTCGCTCATGACACCGGCTCGATGTGAAATCTGGGAGTCAAATAGGCCTTTTCCCTACTCACAGTTCTGTTCTCATCAATCATAAGCAATAAACGACTGGAAAGTTGAATTGATATCGAGAGCCGAAGATTACAAATTCAAGGCGACGTTGAGCAGAAAGTACGGTCTGGGGTCGAAAAGCCCCGTCCTCCCTGTTTGATAGAACCAACAGCATGAATCAAAGCCGGCATTCCATGGTGGCTGATGCACTCTGTTGTCAACGTTTGGGGCTGAGTCAACCGCCATCAGATCATGCAACGGATATAACCGTATAGTAGCCACCTACGTATTAGACTTTTTAACGTCTCTTTTTGTTCTCTCTCCAGCTCCACTCGTCAGATTGAGATGTGTGTCTGCATTATCTGCTACTATGAGCACTTGACAGGGGTCTCGGCTTTAGTATCCCTGATGTTCAGGGAGGCGTCCCCGGTATTATTGGCAGTGGCAATGATATCAACGAGAGCTTCTTGGCAAGTTCCTAGACCCAAGCTGTGCCTAAAGTGCAATGGTGATAAGCATACTTAGTATCTACTAAATAGTCCTAACTTTCGATTTCATTTGATTTGGTTGGCCATTTAGGTATGTACAAGCAGAGATGATAGGTCTACTAGTGCCGTTTAAAGTAATTCAACCCAGGCCTTGAATTCGTCTTTCAGTCTTCGTAATAGAATGGCTGTGTTCATCTTGAATCTGACTCCACTCATTGTCCAAGTTTCTGAATAGACCTTGGACCGATACCAAATGAGCAAAGACTGGCCATAGCAACACAGTCGCAAATTCTCTGAAATACTGTTTATGATGGAATCCTCTCCCTGATAAGAAATATGCCAGTCTCACAGCCATAGTGAGCATCCACTGTTGATCGGAGCTCTAGTGAAACAGGTTGCAACCACTACATCTGTCAAGCCGCTAACTATGGGACAGCGTATTCGTGCCCATAACATTCGGCCTTTGAGGTAACCGAGACATTCAGACTTTAGGCTTAACGGACGCTACAGTTTAAATTACGGCAGCGCCACGTTGTAATGGCCGGATCTCGGCAGTTCGGTGAAACATGGAGACATCAACTATGGCTTGCAATTCTTCATTCACACGGGGAACTCCGTTTTATTATATTCGGCCGGTCGATGTTGTATGGTATGTTTTTTGGTGCGTTCTACCATCACATTCCTTTCACCCCACGTCGCAGAACAGTGAAGGTGGCATCTCAGACCTGTATCATTTCTGAATTACTACTGTTAGATGCCCTAGGACATCTGGCCCTTGTTGGATGCATTTGCTTCGTATTCAAAGCGCTAGACCTCTTACGTAGTTTCTGTGACCACAAACATGTAGTGTCGTGTGACATTAATCGAACACTTAACTGGGATTTTCGAGGGGACAGGCCCGAAAGTCAGCTTCTGAATGGCTGTGTTGGTGAGGGGAACTGGAACAATTCATAATAACAGTGCGCTCTGCATACTAAAATTCTGGGTATTGCATGATATCCCTTGCGGGACGACAAGGCGACTCCACCGAACTGTACAAGGGTTTGTTCAATCAGGCACTCAATATCAAGGGTACCTCTTTTTGACCGGAGGCCATACCTACATTCAAGTATCTCTGATAATGCACCTTGCAAATCGTCATCCCTAACCTCATCATTATGTCCTTTTGACGCCATACATTCAAAGTACCCATTGCGCCAAAGGGATGCCATTACAGAGCGATCTCTGTGGCGGATGCCCAAGTCACAAGTCACATTTCCAAGAGGCTCGAGGTGTGTAACACAGAGACTATTGAAATGAACAACGGAGCAAAAGCCCCTCGTTGGTGTAACCCGCCGGAAATAACATGATCCATACTCCTCCTTCACAACCAATGATATCTCGTTTGTGGATCACCTTTCAGCTGCACAGTCCCAAGGTTGTGTCCTCCCTTGCATGACATTATTCAGCCTCATGCAGTCTTTTCTAGATCGGGCGACTCGAGAGGATCAGATGATATTTTATGGGTGAAACTCTTTACCGCCTCCATTGCACAGACGCGAAAGTCGATGCGTGGTCTGAGACATGATCGATCAGGATCGAGAGTCAAAGACGTTGAACTGTCAGATCATACCAACTCGGCAGATCTAACGATTGAGTTGAAACTAGGGTTAGCAGGATTGCCCTGCCGATTCCGAGTCAAGTGTCTCGCAAAACAGGCATACATCTCTATGGTACGGGGATAGCAAGCCAACGGCATTGAAGCCGAGATCACTCTTGGCAATTATTCAAGTGGCCGAAAACAAGAAGAAAAAAGAGTTTTGATATACTAATACAGTAGGAATTTCTACCTTTTTTATACAATACATAGGTAATTGTGCCTTAGATAATTAGCGGTAATATAAGTGAACGATACAAATACTATAGAAAAGGATAATGAGGTCGTAACACTATAGTAATAGGGCCTTATATCCCAAGCTACCAAGACATGCGGACAGATCTAGACATGCTTCGCCTGCATCTCGCTTCTGCCATGTCTTTTCTACAATGCCGAATGCTGCCTGTATAGTACCAAAGCCGTTGAAACCACTTAGCAAGGCCATGATTTCAGAAATGGCTGACCTTTGCTGTTTGCTGGCATAGATGCCGGCTACACAAAGCGGCCAGGCAAGCCACCGCAGCCACGGAGACGAAGTGATAGCGCCAAAAGACTGGATTGTCTGCTCCACGCTTATCTCAAGCTCGGAGGTCTCCGTGCTGTTGACTAGCTTAACAGAAAGAAGATACGTGCGGGCTGCATGAATCCAGATTCGCGTCAGCGGCAACTTGGCTTCTGGTGAAGAACTAGAATAACCATGTGGAGATCGAGATTGATTGAGAAGCGACTCTAGGGGCTGGATATGTTGGGATATGTGGTCTGTATTGTCATATTGCCCTAGCTTATCAAAACCATTGTTGAGAATTCTGTCGAGTGAAGTCGCTCGATAAATCAGCTCATCCTTTGACAGCTTGCCACTTATCGCCTGATCTTTTTTCCATCGCGAAAGCGATGAAATGTCGCTTATAGCCAGTAGAACCCAGTTCTGACATCCGATTACCTCTTCAAGGTCAGCATTAAGCTTCTGGCGCGAGTCGCTGCCCTGGAGCTCAGAATGATACTCAAGTAGCTTGGCAGGTTGGTCAAGCACCGTGCTAGAGATGATATCGGCAACCACTAAGAGACTAGAAAAGAAGCGAAATGCCCCTTGTTCGGTATTTAAAGCCTCAACCGCACCGGGCCAAGAAGGATGAGACAAGTTACTGAGTACGGCGGATACTTGCGAAGACGGGCCAGCCTTACCATGATGCTTGAGAATTTGCTCAAACAGATTGGTGGCCGCATCTAAATGCGCCTGCCAGTTTCCTGACGGCATAATTGCAAGTTCAAAACTAAGTTGCTGCATCATATTTGCCAGCAAGTGCACACTGCTTGAAAGACAGTTCTCGATGCCGCATTCGTGAAGGTGTTGTAAGTCGCGTTGCATACTTGCCAGGGCGACGCTGGCCTGCGAATGAATTTCGCCCCACGTTTTTGAGGTACAAGCTTGCTGTCCCGGGCCAACATGGGCAGGGATAAGTCGCAGGATGAGTGCAGAGATGCTCTTGATACTGCTCATGAACCCGGTATTCTTCATCGCCAAGGATAGTGTCCAGGTGCGTCCGCCTTGAGTGATGTATGGGCGGTAAAAGGGATAAAGAATGGGGAAAACGTAGTCCATATACACTGAGACGAAGGCTGCCCCATCCTCGGTCGGCGTTAGTCTTGGTAGGGTCATTGGTTCTGATGGCGGCGAGACCGATAGGCGATAATCCTGGAAAGCATCAGAAAATTGGTCAAGTGTACCAAAGTCTGGGCTGGCATCGATTCCATTGGCGATAGTCCTCATTTGAGCGATTCTGCGGCGTCGTCTTGCGCTTCTCTTGACTTGCACCTTGAGCCGTGCCATGGCTTCAAGCCGACGGTTCTTAGACTCCATCCACTGGGGTTTTCGGGGGGAATAGTGGCAATCAATCTCTAGCGCTGCACAAGCGCCACAAATTGGCAGCGCCTCGTCACATTTTTTGTGACGCAGGCGACACGTCCAGCATGCTGAGGGCTTCATTCCGACAGTATGGTGCTCGTCAGATTAAACGCAATATCTACGTCTAATGGTTGGTGCTGATGGGAAAAGAAAGAAAACCTATATCGCAAAGTCTCCCATTTTTTAAAGCCCGCGCGGAAAACAGCGCTCGGGAATTCTCCCGAGCAGAAAGCCATGAGCTAGTGTGGTTTTAGTGGATCTAGTCTGTCTGTCTTCGACACCTGCTTATAGAATTTGAATGGTGACGATGTAGGACTGGACTGATCAATATGAGAATGCAAGTGGGGCCGTTCGAATATCTCAAGCATAAAAGAATTGTATGCCCTCAAGCAAATATAAGGTACACGGCGTTCTTCCCAGATATTCTTAAAGGCATATTCCTCACCCTCGATTAAACGTCTCAGCATGAAGGTGGCAATCCTTGGGGCCACAGGCCAAAACGGCACGTCTATTGTTAACGGCCTACTTGCATCAACCAAAACAAGATTCGTAAGTCTTCATCAGATCTTGTAAGGTATCTAGCCTCACCATGGAAGCAGGATATTGTAGCCCTTGTCCGACCTTCGTCACTCAAGAAGCCCAAGGTCATCGAGCTACAGAGCAAGGGCGTCGACATCGCGTCATTCAGCCTTGATGACCCCGAGGACCATCTCGCAGCTCAGCTCAAAGGCATCGATGTCCTTATTATTTGTTGCCTGATTGATCAAGCTATTCTTGCCAACGCAGCCAAGAAGGCAGGTGTAAAACGCTACGTGCCATGCTTCTACGCAACAGTGATGCCTAGGGGTGTCCAGATTCTGCGAGATACTGTAAGTCATGCCACAGAAATGTTCTGCTTAAGACTTAGAGGACTGACATATCGTCTGTCTGTAGAAGGAGACCACCCTGGATCATATTCAGAGACTACATCTTCCTTATACTGTCATCGACGTCGGATGGTGGTACCAGATCAGCCTTCCACGCCTGCCCTCCGGACGCATCGATCGCAACCTGTTTCTGTATAACAGTGCCATCGGAGGGAGCGGCGACATACCTTGTGCCAGGACCGATTCCCGCGATGTTGGCCGATATGTCGCTCGTATCATCACTGACCCTAGGACGCTTAACCAAAAGGTTTTCGCCTATACTGACCTTCGCACTCAGCATGAGCTGTATGATACAGTCGAGAGAATCAGCGGCGAGAAAATCGAAAGGAAATACGTATGTTTCCGCATTCTTATCGCAGTCTTTGTTATGACCTATGTACTGACTCTCCACCTCGTAGCGCACCGCCGACGAGATTGACGATGGCATTGCCAGAACCAAGGACGATCCCTATAAGATGATGGACTACTACCAGTTCACCTACCAAAAGTCATATGACATTATGGGAGAAAATACACCCGACTACGCCCGCTATTTAGGTTACCAGACCAGCAAGGACCTGTACCCTGACATGAAAGGAATCTCTTTTGAAGATTTCTTTGAAGAGACATTGGAACATGGTCTGAAGCCGATGTATGAAGAATATGCAGATCTGCTGCGGGGATCCAGCTCTTTCATTTTCGATGGTAAAGCCATAACGGAATGAGCCATAGGTATCATTCGAGGGACGAAGTCAGGTAAAATTGAAATTTCTTTAATATATATAAGTAAAGGATATATACCACTTCTATACCTTTGAACCCGAGTTCATATTATACTTATAATGCCATCCCTCACTCTTCATATCCATTCTGATCTTGTAGGTCTCTTCCGCAACCCTGAGAACATCCAAATCCAAGTCCACAATCTCCATCTTTTCTTCACCGACTTCAATCCTTCCCAATGGTCCTAGAATCGGCATATTCACGCAACTCAGTCCTCCGGCATTGCAAAATACAATCGCAGCCGTATTCTCAAAGGCTCGGGCTGTAAGTGTACAATTCAAGAAGATTCGCTCAGAATCAGGGTTGAGACCGGCTCCCTCTTCGCCATTGTCATCCATAAACCAGTATGATGGAATAAGAATAATATCAGCACCATCGTTGACGAGTGCTTTGAACGCTTCGGGGAATGCTAAATCCCAGCATATCACCATACCAGCGCGTACAGGTCTTCCATCGGCATGTTTCAGGGGTGTGTCGAATGCAGTATGAGGTGTATGCGTCGAAGAAGTTAAATGCGGACGCTCTGGATGCCAGAGATTCTTCTTCTGATAAGAGCCACAAATCTCTCCTGTTCCTGCGGCAAGGAAGTATGCCATGTTGCGGAGCTCTTCATCTTTAGAATCGGGAACAGCATGGACTTCGCATATTGTGCCGGGAACGATGTTGATGTTGAGTTCCTTAGCTAGAGCTTGATATTTCGAAAGATATCCTGTTGATGTCTTGCTGGCCGATATGAATTCGGGGTGTTCGGGGACCCATGATGTTAAATGGAATTCGGGGAGAATTGCAATATCGCATCCCTTTGAAGTGGCTGAGCGAAGGTAAGTTTCTGCTTTTGCAAAATTTTCTTCGACAACGATGGCCTGATTACGTGTAAGTCAATGACATCAGATACATCAATACAGCTGCCGCGATGGTGTCCAGGAACTAACCTTTGGCTCGAATTGAATTACAGCAACTTTGTAAATCGGTGCCATTTTGGATGCAACGTACTGTTGGTTACCGAGAGAAATTATTGTCAAAAATGAACCGAAATGTCTTGCATATCTGGGGAAACATCAAATGCAATGCGGGCGGAGTATAAAATATCGGCCGTCGGCGTGATGCGCAGCAATTCTCCACAGTTAGCATCGGGTACCCATTTCTGTAAATGGCAAAGACTTTGTCAATGATTATTCGTGACAGGCCAATCATTATCACGGATCGAGTTCCTTGCTTGGCCGTTCGCCACTTGCGTCAACTCTGTGAGTTCCTTGTGTATTGATTACCCGATATGGGTTTGGTCGCTGATTGACAGGTGTCACCTCGTGTTCACGTTTATGTCGCGCAATGCGAATGATTGCCCAAAAGTGTTTTTTGTTATATCCGTAGCGAATCACAATTCGCGAATGACGGGGATTCGAAAGCTAAGGAAAACCGCTGAGGTTACCCCTCAGTATCTCACTGGGTACACCAGGTGGCGCAGGTCCAGAAGGTCCTTCGAATGGACAGAACAAGACGGTGCCCTCGGCCGTATTCTGCTGCCCCAAAAGTGGCCCATTTGCCCTCGTCTCCATGAGACTTTGGACCTTATCAACAGCAGATGCATCAATCCCGGTCTTCCGTAATTCATGCGCCATTTGTATGGCTGCAGATGCAGTGACAGGGTTTTCACGTCCAATCGTGATCATGAGATCCATGAGCGCTGTCATCTTCATCTCGCTGGTGCGATTCTGTGCCGACACATAATCTTCTAGAAACACATACGTCGCCATGTATGCTGCGAATGTAACGAGGGGTTTGCTGAACATGGCTGTCACGTCGGGCTGTGAAGCAATGATATTAAATATCGCGTCGGCAGAGGGGACGAGACGCGCCTGGGTGTTGGATAGTACATCGGCCGAGATGTTGTGCTTCTTGGCCTGAACGGCGCCGACACGATGGATGCATATCGACGCGGTGTGAAGTTGGAGGTTTATGTTGGTGGCTTCTTGGGTATGTGACCCACGAAGCTTTTCGGGGAGCGTGATGAACGCTGTTGAGAGACTTGTGTCGAGATCGCGATGACGTTTCCAGAACTGACTGTTTTGAATATCTGTTGGGTCAGAGGATTGATGATCTTGGTAAGTATGGTCGAGACATTCGTGGAACAGGTGAGTCGTGGTGATGCGATATGCGAATGATGAGCAGAGAGAGTTGTCACCGCCGAGAACTCGATGCAATGACGTCGAAGGTTCCTCCATGCCAAGTTGAAAGGCTTCATCCGAGGCTGGCAATAATGTGCTGATCTGCAAAGCATCAGTCACGTATTTTCTCAGCTCTGAGGGATCATCATACCTTGTTGGCGTCCATCAGACTTGGCCATCCGGTAGTACCGCTCGTATGCTTATCACTGCAGAAAACAGACCATAAAGTCCTCCGCCTCTCTTCCAGCTCACACCAATCCTTGGGTTCCGGAAGCGTTGCATTTCTTCTCCAGTCGTTCTTCCCATCGAGTTGATGGAGGCCTAGAATTTGCGACAGACGAACAGACTTTGATGTACTCATTGATGATCGAGAAAACCACATGTTTAGCACTTCGAAATGGGACATGAGAAGGCAGCATTGTGTATGGGCGAGAGTGACAAAATATTCTCCCTCACCCTGGTGTTGTTAGTGGACGTATGTGGTGTACGGTTCGTGATTGACTGACCTTTTGCTCATCAGCTTCAAGATAATACCTCGCCCTTCGATAGAATGGATCTGCCAGGTGCTTATGAGGCGGTGAAACAATTGCAGCTCGAGCCATGATTATATACTGAAGACACATGGGTGGCTGCATATGAGGTGGAAGATACAGCGATGCAAGATATCGCGAAGGGTGAATGTACTGCGCATCGCAATGAACCTTTGTGAAAAAGACATTGGTCCTTGAAATTGTCAGGTTCTTTCCTTCACTCTCGATAAGTTTCACTCACAACTCCCCAATGATTTCCTGCGGGGGAAGTTGTTCATATCTCCCCGTCTCAGTAAGCTGATTCTCTGACGGTTCAAAGGGTCTGAATGATTGATATCCCTCCTCCTGCGTCGCCTTGAGCCGATATTCCAGATCGACTATCGCTGTTAGCATCAGCTAGAACCTTCGCAACTCACTTACCCAAGCGAGACTCGAGTTCTTTGACTCGTGGTCGCGTTGCTGTTATCACAGGCTTCTTGCGGGAAGAGGGATATTGGCATTTTGTGCCGGTGGCGGAACAGCGGCTGCATTCGGGACTCGAACGATCGCACTTTAGTTTTCGGTTACGGCACTGATAGCACGAAAATGACATGAGCGGTTCCTCTGGCGGTTTGGAGGAGGACGAGGCCATTTTGTTTAGAGTTGGCGAGAGCTTGGCAAAGTTATTTTTGGAGTTAAAGGTTACGTGATGCTTTAGTTTTGCTGTAGGGGCTGTAATACAGTGGGTCTCGTCGTTTGTGATTTGCTGTGCACCACTGATGCCTGTATCGCGATAAGAGGATTTTCTGCTAAACTATGCAACACCTCGTCGAAAAGGCCAGAAAAGAATAACGAATCGAGCCAGCAACATCAAGTTAAAATGAATGAAAGGTGGTCTTAAGATTTGCTTTTAAAGTATAAGTAAAACATTTTAAAGTCTAAGTGAAAAACTTTTGACTATGCCCGAAGCTAGTCTTATTGACAAGTTTATAACTCATTGCTCAAAATTCTTAGTACAGACCTACGTCTACCTAAATCAAAGTATAGAACTTCAAACTTCGAATAGGTCTGACAATCTATAGGGTGGTATGTTAGCATGAGAAATTAACTGGCGTGGCAATTCGGGGAGCTATGAAAACCAAACCTAGAAATCTGTCGAGGTATAAAAGAATGCATCGCCCCATTATGGATCTCTCTCTCGTGTTTCTACCAACATTTTAACACGTTTTCAATATGGATGCTGCATCAAAACTGGAGAGGCTTCCAAGTGAAGTCCTGATTATGATCATGCGATCAAGTTCATCCCCGATGGATCTCCAATCTGTCATCAAAGCATCGCCCGTCATGTTCCAACATTACCTTGTCCACCGTTCCCACATAATGGCGCTTACCATCCATCGAATGAAAACATCCTACTCAGCCCTAAATTCTGGAAAGAATTTGATTCAGAGTATAAATACCCTCCCATATCGGATGCTGGGTAATACTCATGGGCCTGCTGTCAGACATGAGGCGTGTTACACGAAATGGGGAAGTCACCTACCCTTAATCTGCGAGCTTTACCGCCAGAGAGAAGAAGCAGACCATCTCATCACAGAATATTCAATGGAAGCATGGAAGAATTTCCTAGTGTCGGAAGAACAGGACAGGCTCCAACTGGATCTAGCTTCCAAGCGGGACCCAATCGTGGACAGACCATTGGTCCTTTCCGAACAAGAGACATACACCTTTGAACGTGGCTTTCTTTTATATGAAGCTTGGCGACTCCAAATGCATTCTGATGGCCCGAATGATCTTGAGGGTCTCGGTGCTCTTAAGTGTCTTGACAGTCGCAACGTCCCAGGGCCGCACCCGAACTGCATGAGTCCCTGGTGGGCAATATCCGATGACAGACTTTACCTCCATTCGATATTGAGCTTTGTCTTTGGCAAGTTCAGAACCCTGGTACAATCAGTCACACAACAGCTCCGGAAAAGTCCCTCCCGGTCACCGATCATGTCAAGCTCTGAGGATAACCAGACATCAGCGGCGTTCTTACATATGACCAAGGCCCAAGAACTGAGGTACATCAGGTCTCTGTGCTTGCGCGGCTATGTCGTGTTGCAGAACCTGCGACAGATGAAGGAGGAGGAGTTGCAGAACTATGTGCTCTCAAGCTATTTTGAGTTTGAAAACCAGGAGGCAAGGCTTTACTCATCTGCAGAGAGGGCAGAAAAACGCTGTGTCGATTTGAACATAGCATGCCGACTGTATGGGCTATTTGTAGAGGACGGTCCAATGCTTAGCTGCTTTACGGAAGGCCGTTACTTTTGGGATGACAGTCGAAAATTAAAAGTGCGAGCCTGAATGGTGGGTGTTACGAGTGTTGAGATTTGGATAATAGACTTCTGAAGCCCCTTTTTACTTCTTTTATTTGCATCGGACATCAGAATGTTTTAGGCAAATACAATTATATTGTTTGTTGAAAAATAGTGGTAATGGCCTTTCTAGTAGGGGAGAGTACAACAGTGTTGAAGGGAGCAAGTATGCAGATCATAATGCATCCATGAAATAATAAAGCCTAATTATATGCATGCTTACTTGGGTGTAACATTCTATCATCTTCATTGATGAGGTCGAAGAGTAAGGGGTACTATAGTGTATGATGTTTCTAATTTATCTTAACAATGTTTCGATAGTTTAGCAATATGCTCTGGGGAAATTCATACTCATATACACTTATGAAACCTCCGAATGTTACAATAGATTCATGTTACTCAGCTACATGACTTCATCCTGATCTGCAACTTCGGAAGCAGACTCACGCCCTCGAAGAACCAGCGACTCTCCTTGATCTTCTTCGGATGGCTTCCCAACTACCTCCTGCACAGACAGGCATTCAGACGCGCCTTCAGAAGCCATCTTGGTCCCGATTGTGTCACCATTCTCACAAGGCAGTTCTATAATACCTTGATCCTCGAGTATTTCATCCAGGACAAAAATGTCACTAGCAACGATAGAAGTTAGTGAGCTAATCACTTCGAATGTATGGCATCGATCCCTATCCTTCCTGAGCCATTCCTCCAGGACTCTTGGAAGATCCGAAAAGATCTTCTTCTTCTTGTCTTTCGCTACATAGATGGTGAAATTGAGGTCGTCATCAGATATGTGCGCAGTGACAGATTGTGGCGCTGACCGAATTGCTTTCTGATCTTGGGTAATTTCCAGTGCACAAGAAATGTTGGAAACCTCGATAACACGTAGGGCTTTTAGCCGTTCATATAGCGAGGCAGGGTCGTTGTACGTTGCAAAGACCTCAAAAGTGGCGGCAATTCTAGAAAGAACGAGAACGATTAGTGGATGCCTAAAGACCGAGTGACCAATCTTACCGAGTGATATGATATGCTTTGTGTCTCAGATCCCATGGATCTCCCTCCTCTGACGGCGTGCCGTCTTCAGACACGGTGACCGATCTCTTTACGCATCTTGAAAGATATCTGTCTTCAATCTTGAGCCATTGGAAGAATCGCCAAAGCCATCGGACATCTTCTAGATCGAAGTCCAATAATTTGATATGATCTTGCAGGTCTCTTCGGAGGCCTTGTCTATCGGCAATAGCAAAGTCTGTATCCAGGGATACTAGCGATACGCCTCCACCGGGACTTCTCACAGGAAAGATCTTTGCCTGTCGGATTGGCTCAGCAGGAAATTTGGAAATTGATTCGCCGACATCTACAGCAAATGACCTAATGATCCCTTTTGATGCCCTCTGGGTTGTCCGAAGTTGTGTTCAGCCATTCGTCATAGGCTGATAACCTCACACCCAGTTTCTCAAGGAAGAAATCCTTTAGATCAGGGTAGCAACTTTGTAGGTTGCCGTTCAAATCATCTGTATCTGTTTCGGACCAAAAGCATTGTGAAGCGCGAAGCCATTCTGTGTGGCCGCCCTGTTTGACCAGGATGAGCGGAAGTTCATGAAATTTACGTCTAATACTTGGTTAGTTCTTCACACGTAAAGAACCAGAAAATGCCTTGGAGCTCACCTCGTTTCAGGAGATACAGTCTTCCCATCAAGATAGGTGTAGATACGGTGAACGCCGGGGATATTTTTGGATTCTCGCAACCGCAGCTTACACAGCTCTTCTGCCATATCCTCGTCGTTAGCGTCTCGTATCTTAAGCTCATCAACGAAAAGCCGGGCGATGCTCTGGAGCTGTTTCTTGTCGCAGGTCTTTTCGATGTAGAAGCGCTTGATGGAGCGTTTAGACACAAGATCAGTTGGTCCAAACCAAAGACAACGTGAAGAGCTTAACCAACGCGCTTTGTTGGCTTCAGCATACAGCACGCCACCATCGTTGAAAAGCTCTCTATCAACATATTAACACGATGAAAGCCAATGGGTGTGCAGACTTACAAGGCTCTCGCTTTCTGTTCGCTAGTCGATAAAGAATATGTTTTGCTTATTAAATCGTACACCCTCATGAGTTTGTCTATTTGCACCGATGTTATTGTGGTACGTGAGCGTTTGATGCACCTCATCATTTGTACAAGGAAGTCAAGGTCGTGTTTCCACTTAACACCAAAGTGTTTAGTAAGGAAGCTCCATCTGGTAGCGATGACTAGATCAACGTCTTTCTCGTCATCCAGTTTAAGGAAAGGGAATACTTCAGGATCCATCATGAACACTTTGACGGAAGTTTGAAGGTCCCCGGACGGAGCCCATGTATCTTGTAAACTGACCTCGAAATCCACTCCACATAACTTCTGTGCAGGAAGTTGTCGAATTTCGGAAACGAGAGTTGGATGCTTTAACAGCTCGTGGCCCTCGTGGATCCAAAAGCGCTCAATGAAACCCAATAGTTTGTCTGGATGATGTTTATATACGTAATGAAAGGCGTCAGACAGAACTATACCGTCAGTGCTGGTCGAGGATCCGTGATTGATAGGCTCCGACTCGGACTGCGCTTGAGCTTGTAGTAGACTCGGCCGCTCCCGTATGCCGATGGAATCGCACAGCCATACTTTCCACGTTGGGTGGGAGGGACCAGGCTTATCCGCTCCATCGTTCCATATCTTGGGGTGCAAAAAGTTGGCCATGGGAGCAGGGCCAAGCAGACTCTCAGGACTATACGGATCATCAATACCCGGATAGTATACAGTGGTGGTGTGCGGATTCTGATATTTCAAGCCCGTCGTCAGAACCCTAACGTCACTATAGGGCTGTTCATGGGGACTCGAAAGATTGAAAGACTGATGAGTCAGGTATAGGTAGCGAAGATACTCATAGACGTCCCCAAACGGTAAGCTTTCTGCTGACTTGAAAGTGTCCAGGATCTTCTGTCTGACTTCCTTGACTGTGGGCTCAGTAACCCCGAGTTTTTCATATGAGGTTCTTCGTTCGGGTTGAAATGTTGCGAGTAGAGTTACGTCCCGAAACTTCAGCGATTCAGGAATGGAACTGTTGCCTGAGGTAGGAAAGTATAATGGCCCTGAAGCCGGGGATGCCCAGCTACCGTCCCGCAGCTGCACGATAGGAAGTGATTTGAGCTTATCAACTCGCTCATCATTCGTGAGCAACTTTGATAGGAGGCGCGACATCGCAATTTGCCAATCCCTCGAGGTGCTGGTGTGCATCCTCGGCTTCGGGCTCTCTAGATCCATCTCCAAAAGCTCGAGCAGTCGAGTGTCGGTTAGAGTGGCGAGGCCATATTCGGTCAGTTTAGCCGCTGCAGCCGCAGGATATTTGTGCAGAAGATAAGAATCGCCGGATGGGTCGTCTAACAGTGGCTTTCCATTTTCATCTTGAGCCTCTGGAGGAACTCTGGTGATATGACTGATGAGCCGCCACGGCCTTGAACCTTTACATCTGAGGACTGGGTTTTGAGATATCCAGCTTCGAATATCAGAGTCGAGAGCAGACCAGAATGGATCTGCATCTTCAGAGATGGGGGTAAGGAACAACGGCCAAGAATAAGCAAGACACTTGATATCAAGGAATTGTAAAACGGCCTTGGAAAATGCGTTTGCGACCAGATCTCGGATGCTAATGTTGTGGGCTGATGTGATGATTATGCCATTCGTCTCATCTTCGAATTCAAAGTGCGAGTGAACGTGGAACTTGTGTATAATGATTAGTGGAAGGATATTAGCCTCAATCATATTGACTTACTGCAAGTGGCGATGCGCACAGAGACACTAAATTAAACAATTGCATTGCCTCAACACTGTCAACTCGAGGAGTGAAATCGTCTGTGAGAGGAAAGGCGAGCGTGACATCCATGGCCGAGCTGTCCACAGAGTAGTCGGTCACATGATAGAGCTGGCTCTCAGTGTCTTGGTCTGCATTCGTAACATCTATACAAACTCCATGCTTACCAATGTTCCCCTTCTCGAAAACCTTGGAACGAATGACAAGACCAGCACTGTTGAGGAACTCAATGCTCATCCATTTGATATCTTTAAGAAAGACGAGGGTGGGCGTCATGTAGCTTATCAAACTGAGAACGGATAGTGTCTCTCAGATTTTCGACCTCTTCTTTGCTGCCCTGGTCATGAAGGTAAAGTGTGATGCGAGTCATGTTGTCGGGGATTATCTCAGTGGGGGAGACCCAAACAGGACGCATTATACTGTCTTCGGGATCGAGTATGTTGTGCTGAAAGTCGAATGAGAAATTCCCTGATTGAATGTGAACCTTCCTATTGGCGATAACAATTGTTCTGAAATTGTATTCGCTTGTTTGCTCTTCGGAGACTGGTTGACAAATCGCTTCCAGATCAGCCTTGGTCAGGCCATCGTCATTGTACTCGATAACGATTCTATCGCAATCGTGTATTCTAAATGTGATTGCAGGAGTTTCTGAGGCCGCCGAGACTTTGGTGAAGGATCTGCTGTTAGCATAGCGGATGATTTCAGGTAGTAATCTCTTTGCGCTATATTCGACATGTTTTCCTAGCCTTTTCATGGTTAGTGACTCTGCTCAGCGTGACCCTCCCGAGGCGACTCACTTAATGTCGCCATTCAAGCTTCGAATGATTTCTTCAGCCTCCTGCGCGCTGGCCATGATTTTAGATTGTGGATTACGTGTTATTACTAGAAGGCGCAAGTGCGACGGTTCAGCGATTTTGAAGAAGAATCTGTGAATGAGGTTTTGGGAAAAGAAGCTGGGGAGGATCACCTGGAAAATGTGACCAGTCTGCTGTTGATAGGGTTGTCCAGTGAACGCTAACCCCCTACCATGCCAACCGACCCCTGTAGTGAACCTTGTTGAACTTCCCCTCACTTTCGCATCCGCGCTACCATCTCAGAATTTAACTTTTTATGATCAGGCATTTGCCCTATTTGACTAGCAGCTTGATTCAAGATGAACACTTTTTCGAGCCATAGTTACTTCATAGGATTAACTTGTCTTTCGTCATTTTCTAACTATCTCGTATCATAGATTGCCATAGAACCATCATTCTTGTAGCCCAGGAGTGACCGACCATGTTGTTCCCGTAAAAATGAGCTGTCCATCATCTTGAAGTTGCTTTGGATCAGGATATACACAGTAACTGATCTGCGACCTATCTAGCAAGAAATAAACGCGGAATATGATATAGACTTCTGAAAAGTCTGAACTATGGTGAATACGTTCCACCTATGCGCCATTAGTCCCTGTTTGGGAAACGCATGACGAGAAAGCTTACCAGTCGGTATTGGTTTCCACTCATATAGAATGGTGTTCCGCATGGCCCAGTAGTTGTCTTCACCTCGATGTAGTATCTGGGACGTCTCGTAGACCAATCGTCACTAAGAATTTCGGCATCGACCAAGATACATGTCAGGTCTCCTTGGGTATCTGTGTATACAAGGTCTGCTGTCTCACGACTAGGCCAGTGAGACAGATCAGCGTACTCCGGATGAATGTTGGCATATGTTCTTATAGTACTTTGCCAGTTGTTACGACCCCATCCGGGTAGTTCAAGCTTCGATAACAGCTCAAATACCTGGAAGTGAAAGTTCAGCCTGAGAATTGGTACACTCTGATCAGAACACTTACGTAGAGTTCGCCAGCGGCTCCAATCTTCTTATCGCGCTCTAGTTGGCTTGTCGATTGAAACCTACTCAAGACATCCAACCCATTATAACTCAAGTACGTGCTATGCTCTCCAGAATCGAGCAAGGCATCTCGCAGGCCATTCAAGTCGAATGCTCCACCAGATGGAAAGTTCGCAAGTCGGGCTGCCGCGATGACTCTTTCGAGAATTGTTAGATATCTCTGGTCCTCAGTCGCTTGGGAAGCTGGATATGAAGGAATTGGGCCTTGGCTTTCCAACCGTTCGGAGCTGAAAGGTCTGCCATCTGGTGAGTGATATCGTAGGGGCCGCGAAGCACTTCCATCGCCTCGGCGAACTTGTTGGGATGTGCTGTTCTGAATCTCAACTACTTCTTCCTCTATTTCCAAAGTACCATCCTCGATTTCCGAATCTCGTACCGGCGATGGTATGATCGAGTTAATTGACGAATGAGTTGGAGTGGGAAGCAGGTCAGAAACCTCATAACCAGGCTCTGGGGTCGAATCAGATGCATAATTATCTTCGGCCTGTTCATCACCCGTCTCGTCTTTATTCAAATGCTTGTCTGGATCTTCAAACTGCAACTGTATCATTCCCTGATCGTCAAGGATCTCATCAAGAACGGCTCGGTCGCTAGCAAATATTGAAGTGAGGGCGTTGATGATATCAACCTCCACATTGCCATCGATATTAGTATGGGGGTTACGCATGAGCCATGCTGCAAACTTCCTGGGAAGGACTGATCCAAAGCATATTTCCTGTTCTCTCCGATTTCGTGGGACGTAAATGGTAAGACTCCCAGCTGGCTCGTCGATATGCTCACTGGCTGTCGAGAGTCTCGCTTCATATTGTCTACCATTCTGACTCAATCTCAGAACAGAAGAGATTCCTTCAACCTCCAAGACCTTCATAGCACGCAGCTGGTTGTAAAGATGCGGGTCGCCATGTTGAAAGCGCGGACTCCTGAATGTGGCTGCAACTCTGCAGTTTATTAGTGGTTAGCTGTGGTTAGGCATGATAGTGACTATACTGACCGACATATTTGATAGGCTTTGAGGCCTAAGTCTCTTTTGGGTGATGATATCGGCAATCTTGAATCCCCTGCAACTGCTGTTCTTTCTGCGACGCACCTAGAGAGGTATCGCTGTTGGATCTTTAGCCAGCTAAATAATGGTCTCAGTCGATGGATATCCTCCAACTCAAAGTCCAAGAGAGCAATCTGGTCAGCGAACTTAGATCGTAGGTTACCCCGATCTGCTATTGCAAATCCCACATCCATGGACCGTAACGCGATAGTCCCATCAGGATAGGCGACAGGAAATATCTTGGCCGCTCTGATAGGTTCGGGGTCCCAATTTCCATCTTCGATTTGAAGGAAGTCATTGAAAGAGAAGAGAGCAACCTTTATATCTTCGACGCTGCTCTCAGGTGACTGTCGCAGCTCATCGTAGACCATCTGCATTGTAAGCGATTTAACACCAAGCTTTGCGACAAAAAGTTCCTTCAGGTCTTCATAAGTCTCGTCAAGCGTCACCTTACCACGGATTGGTGCTGTGCTAGACCACAAACATTCAGATGTCTTGTACCATTTTGGTTCACCTTCCTGCCTCAGAAAGATGAGTGGAGATTGTTCAAATGCAGCTCTAGGGTTTGGTCAGAGTGGTCGGTCTGGCACTGTAATAGTACATAGTGACATACCTTGCGGCTGGTGTGACATCCATCTTCTCATGCAAATAAGTGTACAAGCTCGTGATCTGGTCCTCGTCCTCGCAATCCGCACCAAGCCCCCGACGACAGTCGAGCTCTGACACAATCCCCTCGACCGAAATATTACGTACGTCTAGGGTTCCGAGAAACAAGTTCTCAATGATGTGCATGTCTTCATCACTCAGACCTCTTCTATTATATAAAGACTTTAGAGAAGACACAGTGACGAGATCAGATGGTGCATCCCAGACACAGAATTCAGGCTCTGACCACGATGACTTGTCTTCATCATATGGGACGAGGATGGAATCGCCATCAGACGATTCGAAGGCCTCTCTATCGAATTATCAGTAAGGTGGCGCAAGGAATTTCAGTTGAACTTTACTTGATTCTTGTTCGCGTAATACTCGGCACCAAAGAGGTAACAAGCTTAGCGTAGATGGCTATGTATAACTCAAAAACCCTTTGTGATTGCCGAATAGACACAGGGACTGTGCAAGACCTCCGGATGCAGTGGAGTATCTCGAGAAGAAAGTCCAAGTCGTCAGACTTTCCAACACCAAAGTGTTTGGTCAAGAAATTCCACTTGGAGCTGACTTGTTCAGCGTCGGCATCATCCTCAATGTTGAGGAAAGGAAACTGCTCTGGAAGCTCCATGTACCGGCGAACAGAATCTTTAAGCTCCAGTAGAGGAAGCCACGTGTTTTCAAGCTTGGGGGAGAATTTAACTTTGCAAAGCTCCTTCGCGGGGATTTGTTTAAGTTGAGACATAATGATTGGGTATTTCAATACTTCTTCTCCTTCTAGTCGCCAAAGATGTTCAAGGAGGCCGAGGAATTTGGCAGGGTGATGGGCAAGGACGTACTGAAAAGGCGGTGACAATTCATTTTGGTTGGCTGATAAGATCGTAAGTCTCTCATGTATACCGATAAAATCGCAAAGCCATCGTCTGTAAGAAGACAAGGAGTGCTTCTGATCTCCGTGTGCGATAGTGAAGTATCCGAGCCTTAAAAAGTGGACGTCAAAGTCTGTCGGCACATTCGTATTTTGTAAGAGGCTGGCAGGACTGAAAGGATGCTCATCTGTAGGCAGATAAATCGTGGGCCAACCGCCCATTCGATATAACTTTCCTTCTTGGGTGAAAAGCCATATGTTCTCGTAGCCTTTTCGTGTGTGCTGAGGGCTTGAATGTGTTAGAAATAAGTAGCGGAGACAATCACGAGTGAAGGTAAACGACATCTCGGACAGTCGAATGAAGGAAGAGAATATCGCCGATCGAACACTTTCATATGTGGCATCTGTTGCTCCAAGATGCCGAAACAAAATCTTCCGGTCAGTATTGGTAGTCGCAGATTTACTGAGCACTTTGAGACCTAAGTGCTCGGGTATTTCGATATCCCCCGTCATCGGAAAAAAGACCGGTCCTGAGGTAGATGCTGTCCAATCACTGTTTCTCAGCGGTAGAACTTCAAGCGACTTCAGCAACGTGGTTCCATTCCAGCCGTTGTTACATATCTTGGAACACAGCCGGGCCACTGAGGAATGCCAGTCATCAGCAGTTGTATTGGCCCGCATTTTGGAGTCATGCTGCCCAAGATCTCTTTCCAGTAGAAGAACAAACAGACCCGTGGATGCTACCCGTAGTCCATAGGGTTTCAGATGGTTCGTCACCTTGTACGGGTACTTGGCCGAGATGAAGGGATCCTTGACGGGATCGTCTAGTAAGAGTACACCTTCATCGTCGACCATGCCATTCGAGGCTATCACGACTTCGCGAACGAGACGCAAGTCACTTCTGTTTCTCGATCTTAGGATAGGATTATCTTGAACCAGAGATAGAATCTTGGCATCTAGCCCGGACCAGAACGAGTCGTGTCCACTGTCCTGAGATGGTAGAAACAGTGGCCAGTTGTAACAAAGAACTGGATGTTGATTAAATTCCAAAATTGCCTGTAGAAAGGTCTTGGCAATCCAATCACGAATGTTCAAGTTTCTTCTTGTTGTAGTCACAATATCCTGCCGGTTGGCATTTGTATCAAAGTCTGACTGGATATGGAACTATTCATGGTCAGCGGACTTCCCTAGTCAATGTCGACACTCTTTATTGCTTACCTTGTAGTCTGAAGTCCTGAGAGGCAGGAAGGCAAAGAGTTCCTGTCTTCTCGTAGAAATATGAGGCTGGTAATCACTTTTTAGTGGAAATGCCAAGACAACTTCAGCAGAGGTCAGGCTTTTCCGTGCCTCTTCAGTGGTGGCAGCATCGCGACTCTCGCTCTGCGCTAGGCCCGTGGCTAACTGCTTCGTAATGTGATACATTTGGCTTGTCATAGAGGATATGTCCGCTGAAGCTACCGTAGTTTCTAAAGAGACACGGAAGTCGTCGATCTTCTTCTTCGTAAACTGCTTTGACCGCTGGAGATTTCCTTGTCCGTCATAGAAAGTGACGCTAATTTTGCTCAGCTTTCGTAGGAAGAGAAGACAGGTCTCCTGGAGGTCGTCAAACTGCATGGCAATGACCGTTTTGAGGTGTTCTATCTCATCCTCGTCACCTTGTTCATGTAAATAAAGTGTCGTGCGAGTGAGGGGACTAGGAATCGTCTCCGTCGGCTTCAACCAGATGGGTCTCACCATTCCAAGACCCGGGTCATTCCTGTTATGTCGAAACTCAAATGAGTAGTTTCCCGACTGAATGTGGACGCGGGATGCAGCGATAAAGACAGATTTAAAGCCGATACCTTTGGCACCTACATATCCGTGTTTCGCAGTCTTGGTGCTTTCTCCAACGGAGCATATCGCCTTCAGATCCAGACTAGTAAATCCATCCTCGTTGCATTCAACCACAATATGTTTCGGGTGGATCTGAAAGGAGATAAACGGGGGGTCATTCTTGTCATCGGCCTTCCGAAAGCTGTTGTCTTCGGCATTTTGGAGAAGCTCGAACACGAAACGAGCACCGCTGCCGTATATGTTTCTCGCTAAACTGAACACTTTGTGAATTTCGGGGCTTTGTGCTTACTCTCAATGGCACTTACACTTTAATGGAATGAGACGCGGCGTTCTCCATTTTGAGCCAGTTTTCATCAATCCTTCGGCGATAGTCGGAGTTGAAACGGCCAATATCGTCCATCATGTCATGGTCCAGATATCCATAATATTCCGTCACCTCCTTCACAATTCTCTCTGCCTCTTCCGGAGTGGACATGATCGGTAATGGAAGTATTTTGCTGTGTTTCGCTCGTGAATTTGGAAAATAGAATGAAGGATAGCTTTCGCTGAAACTTCTTGAACCAGAAGTGTTGCGGGGGGGCTAGCGCTGTTGGTCGTGATAACAAGAGGCAGCCATTCTGTCAATGCATGTTGGTCACAACATCCTGGTCTATTTTAAGTTATCACCTCGCAGCCGCTATGTTCTGAGACCGCCACTGAAGCTCAGCGCGTATTTGAATTGCCATGGTGGATTAGCCCCATTCTATCAATAGATGAAGAGAGTATTGCTGCGTGGTGAAATGCCAGGGCTCTGGCTTTCCCCTGTATTTTAATGAATTGTCGCTATCAATGGTGTGTTGCACCCGCCGGGTTTGGGACTAAGTTAGCACACTGCACAAAGTGGGTTCAGACTAGATTCGATTCTAGAAGACTAGTGGTAGTTAGTTCCGAGGATCCAAATCTATCCAAGATTGACAATAGAAGTACCACGTTGAGTATCGACATGGAACTTATGTCGAGATGAGATAAGAGAGCTGAGACAAGATAACGTGTTACGTGGATTAATAATGCTCGTGATCCGTCCCCGCTTAAATTAGCACGTAATCGGCATGTCTAGCACGCAAATCGCCCACTAATCAATGACGCTTGCGGGGACCCCAAGAATCTCAATCACCCGCCTCTTTTTTCTCTTATCAACATTCATTTGAGGATATACAACATCCTCAAAACTCACGATGACGACTCAACTCGATCCCGAGGCTCTTGCGCGAACTACTGAGCAAACGCCGCTTCTTGCGGGCCAGCCATCGCCGGAGATAAATGAAGCCGATAATGAGCCGGAAGCCGAGCCGACTCCAGAGAAAAGACCGAAGAGCTGGTACGCCTGGAGGATATTCTGGGCTGTGCTTGCGATAGTGGTACTGGCGGTTTTTGTCAAGGGCTGGATTGATGCAGATGAGACTGAGGTGAGTTTAGTGTCATGGCGAGAAATGCTTACTGACTTGTTTAGTTTGATCTCAAGAAAGCCCTCAAACGGGCTCTTGGCGGAGGACTCAGCGGTGCGGCGGCTATGGTGCTGCAAGTTTTATTACTAATGGTAGGCCACTGTCTCGGAAGTATAGATATTGTTTGACTGACAGCGTGCAAAGCCTCTGCGAACCATTATGAACTATCAGTATCGTCACGGCACGTCCTTCACTGTTGCCACGCGTACTCTTTACACCGAGGGCGGAATTCGTAGATACTACCAAGGAATTGCACCTGCTTTGTTCCAAGGTTTGTACTACTACTCACGGAGTTGGAATGCTGATATCTGACTGCTATAGGCCCAATCGCGAGATTTGGAGACACAGCTGCCAACGCTGGCATCCTCGCCTTGCTCCAGTCAAACCCATACCTCAAGAATCTTCCATCACCTATCAAGACCATTTTTGCCTCTCTATGGTAAGCCAGAGCCTGAGTTCCTCTGTAGGAAGACGCTTATTAGTTGTCAGTGCCGCTGCGTTCCGCATGATCCTCACTCCCATCGACACTTTGAAGACAACCCTTCAAGCTCAGGGTGCCCGTGGAACAGCCCTTCTGAGACGGCGTATCAAATCGAATGGGATTGGTAGCTTGTGGTGGGGAGCATTCGCTACCGCTGCGGCGACATTTGTCGGTCATTATCCTTGGTTCGCTACGGTACGTCCAGACCCAAAATCGGCAGATAGGAAACTGACCTATTAAAGTACAACTACTTGTCGGAGGTCATTGTTGAGCCACCAAGACATCCTCTGTTCTGGTGGTTGCTCCGTCTCGCCTTCATCGGCTTCTGCGCTTCCATCGTCTCAGATTCCATCTCCAACTCATTGAGAGTTGTCAAGACCTACCGACAAGTCAACGACACCAAGATTTCATATGGTAAGGCCACCTAACACCAGAAGAATCTAAAGCCAATAACTAACACGATCATGTTTTAGCCGAGGCTGCACGCGCTGTGGTCATCCAAGATGGGGTCATTGGTCTCCTTGGACGTGGACTCAAGACGCGCATCTTGGCCAACGGCCTACAGGGAATTCTGTTCTCTATTCTCTGGAAATTGTTCCTCGATCTGTAAGTAATCCTTCCATCACGTTTTTGACTAGCTATTCACAACCTCGTAGATGGGAGAAGAAGACGTAAGCATGACGGGCCAGGCCACCATCAACCGGGGGTTCGGCCAGCCAGCCAAGCAAATATATTCATAACTGAACAACTCAAAAAGTGATGACCTTGCATAGGTCCTGGTGTCATTATCATATTCACTTGTATCACATAACTCTTTCTTGCTTGAGTTGTAAACTAGATATTAGATTATTGAAATTTCCTCCAACACCTCAAGCCCCGTTCGCATCCTGTCCCTTTCCCGCTCACAAAGCAGCTTGCAACTTGGATTGTCTATCGCAACGACCTCACTGATGAGTTTGTATCCTTTTCCAGTAGAACGGAGGATATATGGACAGGATGTGCCCATAAGCAGCCAGATTTCATCACCCAGTTCAGCTTCATCCCGGCATTGGGTGGTAAGTCCACCACTCAAGGTAAATCTTTTACATCCATACGCCGGTAAGTCATTACAAAGTCTTTCCAAGATACCAAAGCGAAGTGCTTTCACAAATAGAACAGTCATTTGGCTACCGTCAATACTCGCACCAAACCGAATGGAGCCAACGGCATCGTGTCTTATCTGAGCAGTGATGCTAGCAACTTGATGGTTTTCTGACTGGCCGAAAACGGAGATCGTTGAAGCAGTCGCGGAAGTCCAATCAGGAACCCATGATGGCAGTTGACACGAAGGTGCTTTTGCAAGCTGAAGTGCGTACAGGAAGATGTTGAGATCTCCCTCGAAAAGAATTATCTTGATTGCAGTATCAATCAGTACGCGTGAAATATCATTAGACCTGGAATAGTTGGGCATGATATTGTATCCCGGGTGGGCAAGCCCCAGTTGAGAAAAGACCTTATCTCGGGGGTCAGTGGCCTTGGAATGACGAGCATCCAATGCCAACTTCTTAAAGTCCATCTTGCACTCTACCGGCCCGTCCCCCAGCATCGTCTTTTGAAGAAGTAAGAACCGGGCAACATGGCAAGTCTCAATTGTGAGAAATCGTCGGTTGGTCAGAGTTTTCATTTCTTGCTTGACCTCGCTTCTCGATAGTAAAGGTCCAGAAAAGTGGTTCTCAGGGTGGTGAGGATTGGTAACTAGATCCGAATGACAGATGGCTTGGAGCCACGATAGCTCGGAAAAGTCCTGGGCTTCATTGTGATATAAGAAAATCGCAGCTCGGGAACAGGCAAACTCCTGACGGATCCAAGCTCGGCTCCACCATGGACACTCAAGTAGGTCGTAAAAAGCATTCCAGCCTTTGATGTACTCTGCCATTGTAATATCGAGAAGTATACTGCTGCACATCTCGCTGCGAAAACCAAGAAAAGGCATTTGGCCAAGCCTGGTCTGCCCGGACCGTCGATAGGCAAATAAAGGTTCCTCGAGATTTCACATAAATGTCTCGCATGAAAGCTACCTGATGTGACCTCTCTGAATCGTCGTGTTGATTGATGCATATCTGGTCGATCCACAGAACGCAGTCGTCGTCAGAATACTTGGTAGTGCTCCAATATGCCAGTGTTTCTCGAAGAGCACAGTCGAGGTTGGCAAACACGTTGAACTCGGTTCCTTGTAGTATAATAGGCCTGGTACCTTTGGCACTCCCAGCGCAGTAGGATATTGTGTGGTATTTCCCGCTGACATCTGTGAGCTTCTGCGGTGGAAGGAGATTACCGTGGATCAAGTCGCTTCCAGGTTTCTTGAATACGTGGACCAATCTGATTTCATGCTTATGATAATTGAGGTCATGGTAAGAATATTGCTTCAAGAAGTGCTCATTTACGGGTGTCGCGAATATTTCTTGTGAAGGAGGCAGGTCTCTCGTAGTCGTATTCTTCAAGACATCCTCTGCTGGACGGTCTTTGCTTCTTTCTGGCCCCGACATAACGACTGCTGATACTTGGACAGGGAGAAGTCAAGTTGGCGATTTCAGTCATGTTATGGAGTGTAAAATGAGGCTGTGAGGGGGCAGTGCTGCCACCAAAGAAGCCTGAGCTGACGGCTAAGGGAAGTCCCCACAACTTGGTAGTGTGTAAAAGGAAAGCTGAAAAGTGTTGACTTGCCTAGTAGCCACACTTATTTGACTTTCCACTAGACATCTCAAAGATGAGGCCGTGTTGATTGGGCATCAAAATGCTGTCAGCCGAAGTACTCAGGCAGCGATAGAACAGCCTCTTTACTACTCATTTTAGACGAATAGAACATAACAATAATAGAATTTAATTACAGTTGCTTGGACAGCCTACTGAGGAGATTTGCGTCTAGCTCCTTTCAAATAAGACGGAGTATGATAACCAGTAGATTGTTTGATTCATACTTAAGGCTCATGATATCAACGAGACATATTAGACCAACATACTGAAAGATTCCAATCAATATTCGCTGTTTAGTATCACATCCTGAACCTGGACCCTTTCTTTTTATATAAAGGCATTGTGACAATAAACTCCAAATCTAAACCCAAAGTGTTAGCTTGGTTGGCTTTCTCGTCACTGCCTTTATGCCCGCAAGACACAATTGAGTTCATCCAAGACTGAAATCTATTCTACGACTCGGCATAAATTGGTCAAACATTGAGCCGCATCCCATCAGAGCCAAGTCAGAGCAAGAGGTATTTAGGAATCGTAAGTTTCCTGCTGGCGGCTGTGTCTTTGACATATCCGACTCAAGGGTTGTTATGGGAATGTAGTTCAAGTTCGCCTGGCTGACGACTCTGGCGGAGATTCGAGCAATCACATTGTCCATTGACCACAGATGCACGCGTTCAAGTGCCAGGGTCCGGGCATCAGGTGGCGACGAATGCTCGGACGACCCAGTATCACTAACGCTCCCCTGGTTATTGCCCATAGAAGAACAGACATTAGCTGCAGGCGGCGGTCTGTGACTAGGAGCTGTTGTTGGATGATGCGGTATGGTTGGAGATGTCGTCTGAGATCTTTCAGGCGCTGCTACGGACTTCTCCATTGCCCTACTGGATTTCACCTCAGGTGTGAAGATATTGATACCTTTTGCGACGGATCTTAAGCCCACTTCGTGTCCGAGATTGTTGTACACCAAGGCTTGACTCTTATCTTTCAGGTCCAGTTTGCAGGGTCCTAGTGTGACGAGTGACACATCTCGGGAGTAATTCATAATGTCGGAGAAAAGAGTTTGGGCGGTCATCATAAGTGCAAATGGCTCTCCTTCGAACACGGCTATGATTTAGCCGCATAATTTGCCTGAATCTCGTAGAACAACCCAAGACCCTGACGTGCCTCGACCTAGTCAGTTGGACTGATAATTAGCTTAATGTCATTTCCTACTCTCCCCCCTTGTACTACTGACAAAGGTGCAGTCAAGCGAATCTTTCGTGCCGAAACAGTTGTGCTCCCAATGGAGAAGGGTATCTTTGCTGGTTGGAGGAAACCTGCTGAGGCTTCCATGCCATTACCCAATAATACGAGTATTTCTTGCTCATTCGCTGCTAAAGAAGAGTCAGAGCAGATGCTGGATACAATGTTTCGTCCGTTGAAATTGTAGATATTATCGTTCTGGCCCAGAAACAAATCGAACTCCACTCGAGACACAAGGGCAAAGTCGGCAGGTATGAAGCCATCTGAGGGGCTCATAAGCTTCAAATATGAGGGTTTGATCGAAACGTCGACGTCGACCTGTTTGATGAAGTTGATCATGCCTAATAGGTTCACTGGGACCCAAGTACCGACTTTCTCGAGATCAACATAACCGAGATCAGTTCCAGGGTCTGTGCTGTCGGTATCGTTCTCCACGAGCTCGCACTCGTCACTACTGCTTTCCTCATTATCGTCCTCTGAACAGGAGTCGGAGCTGGACGTCTGGCTGCTACTGCCAGTGCCTTTCAAATCTGTTATAGTCGTTGCGGCTGTCTGATCCATATTCTGCAAGAAGTAAAGAAGCATGGTGTGCCCTGAGGTAACCCCTGCCTCGTGTGAGACATTGATGCCCAACACGCCACCGATGCGTGATACTTCCTGATAAACTATTTTCCCATACTTAACAATTGTAGCCAAGCAGATCTCACCGCACTCATAAGGTCCGCTGACGGCCCACCAGGCCACATGGGTATGTAACGTCAAGTTATATGCAAACTTGATTCCTTTTCGTAAATCCAGCTGTTCCCGTGAGACAGATGCGGGACCATTTGCTGATCTTAAACCACCTTCAGCGAATATGGACGCATATTGTGCCGAGTCGAGACCTAGTTTGCGAACCTGCTTTTGTAATTTCTTCCAAACAGTGGCGCTGCGAATAGCCTCATCCGTGCTCCTGATCCAAACGCTTGGCCTGATAATAACCCGTTTGTCGCCGGGCTGATGGACACCAGCAAGACGTAGCTCAACGGTCCGCAGGGTTGTGGCAAGCGACTTCCTCCATACCGTATTCCATATTCTATTAAACTCCGGTGCAAGCTTTTCCCATGTCTCCGAGGCTTGTTCGAAGAGATGTTTGTACTGAGACTGCTCGGGCCAATGATGCTTGGAATACCAGACATTTTTAACTGAGCAACATATGCCCCTGGCCTTATTTGGAAGTGAAAAGCTACTTTCATCAAATTCGAGATCGAGGAAGCTGGGTTGCACTACAATACGGCCAGGAAATTGGCATGTCGTTGTTTGTGACAGGCTTGTTGGCGGGGTAATGTATACCTCGGTCTCTGATGAAGTAGATGCCATACTTAACATAGCAACAGGGGCGAGATCCTGGGTCTCGGAGACATTTTAAGGAAGTTTCGTATTCCAACCCCTTTAGATGCAAGGTCAGAAAAAGGCAGATGGGTATGATCTGGCAGCAACGCGAGGCTTATCAGCCGCAACCCCAATGGCAAGAGAGCCTAGCAAGATATGCGACTCTTGTTATTGGTTCGCACCCCTGTCTATCATGCAGGCCACGGTCACGCTGGAACTTATAGTTCAATACCAAACTGTCGTTCAAACCAGTCACGCCTGCATAGAGTGGCAGGTGGCTTGCCAAGGCATACTTGGATGTGACTCGAAGGGGGGGCCCAGGGCCCAGAGATAGCGGTTCGCGTCTGTCGCAGGATCGTATAGTGCCCTTATTCTCTCATGTCCTTTAATCTTTGAATTGTAGCCGCATGGTAAATCCAGTTCAAAATTATTTGTTACCTTTATAGCTGGCGAAAACTTTCGACCAAACAGGGCAATGCTACCTTGCAAAATATCGTGGCACTAAACACACAACGCAACTTCGAGAAAATGGCTATACGGGAGCTAAGTAGCGATAGAAAATACGGAATTCTCAATAGGATATGGCCGCATATGTCTCGAAGCGACTTTGATACCTACGTGGATCTATACGATAGATACTTCTTATTTTTGGAAGAGCAAATGAGCTTGATTGAACGGAAGTCGATTCTTTACACCGCGAAATCGATTGACGACCTCGCATCTGTTATCGATCAAATTCGGCAACATGCTTACAAGAAAAAGTCCGAGTTATTCGCAAACTCGTCGGATGAAACTATGAGATCAGCTGACATGGCAATAAGGGTTTGGCTAATGGTGCACATCGAACATTCAACATCTGGTTCAGCAAGTTCTTACCAGTGGCCAAGGACTATGCCACTGAGCCTACTGATACAAGACTGGTATGCGCCAGGAAGAAAGCCGGATGCCGAACCCCGACAGATTTCTCAGAGCTTCTCGATTGCGAACCTTACTCGATACTACGGCTTCCAAGTAAAATGGACAAGTGATCTGATGCAGCATCTCAGAATCGACTGGGAATACAAGCAAATTACAATCTTTGAGCACGCCATTACCTTACGAAATCACCTTGCATACCCAGATGACTGTTCACTTCCAAAGGAATTCGTACAGGAAGCAGTTGACACAATCAAATTGCTTTTCCCGGATGATAAGGACACTAAGGCATTCTTATCTGAGAAGGAAGGAAATTTCTCAAGATTCCCTTTGGCCGCGAGCGATCGTTATCACTTGGAGACTTCTCACATTGGGAAACAGAGATCTCACAGTTGTTGGATGTCTGGGAACATGGACCCAGCGGTTGGTCTCAGTTACGGTTGAGGCCTGATAGGAGTAATTTCCTCGAGTACTCTACTTTCTGGGCTGCAGCAGTTGTCTTGCTACTCACTGTTATCAGCATTGTGTTTGGCGTAGCTGGCTTGGTACTCGCTAAGAAAGCACTGGATGTTAGTGTCAAGTCCCTTGATATATCGGTCAAGCCATATGAGCTGTCTTTAGCAATCGCATGTGCTGAAGCCAATGCGACGGAGACTTTGCCTACGTTTTGTAAATAAAGTCTTTTCCAGATATCTAGCGTTGCTAATATTTCACCGTGTATCGAGTAGACAGGAATCATAGAAAAGGCTGAGCATGTAACTCTATCGTCAATATTGTGTAATTGTTCAACTCTCTAGTTATTTCTCTAGCAGATGTTTGATCTTGGCCTGGTCTTAGGTTACTCTTTACTGAATTTATTTTGGTACCCTCTTTTCAAGGTCTTGAAACTCGTATAATCTTATTTTTACTCAAAATGTCTCTTGAACCAAGACACCGCCTGGTTGAAAGCTTGCTCCTTGGCAAACAATTGCCTTTTATCTTTCATATCTCCTTTGACAGCAAAGCCGTGATGAACTCCAGAGAACAGATTGATTTGGAAGTCCTGCTTTGACTTGGACAGGATGCCCTCACTCTCATGACGTTTCTCTACTGTGAAAAGGTCATCAAGCTCTGCGGCTGCGATGGACAGAGGACCAGTAATGGCAGCCAACTCCTCTGACTCGACGAATGATGGATGGGCTATGAATCCAACGTTGATGCCATCCTTGTAGTGACGAATGAGGTGCTATGAGTTGTTAGCTGTCTGGAAGTCTTCATGCTCGCGTATAAAACGAACCTTGGCTCCTAAGCAGTATCCGACAGCAGCAATCTGGGTAATACCAATGCTCTTGAGGTACTCGATCCCCGACACGACGATGGGATCCACAGCCTCCGCGGTGTGAGGGTTCTTTCCATCGGAGCCCTCACCAAGCCACTTCATAATGTCGAAGCCCTCGGGCATCTCCAACGGCACTGGGTCACCATTGAAGGTGTCGACAACAAGACATGTGTATCCCTCAGCAGCAAAGGCATCGGCCATGAGTTTGCTGTTTTGCCAGATACCAAAGATGTCTGGGAGATATAGAACAGCCTGCTTGGAGTCTTTGGACGGCTTTGCTAGGTATCCAGTGACATTGCCGACTTTGACAACATCTCCCTTGGGAGTTCCCCTTGAACATGTGAGTTGACAGAATCCCCAGGTGGGATTCTTGGGAATGACTTACTCATGGAGGTTGGCGATGGTGCAGCAAGCAGCAGGAGGATGAGAAGCCATTTTCGATTTCGTTACAGCTGATGGAGTCACGTCGTTGAGAGTCACAATTACCACGATAAGATATGGAACAGTAGAGCATGCATAAATACGATAATTCCTCTTACTCCAATCAGTTATTTGGTAACAACAGTCCCATGATCTAGGCAGTTCAGCTTGGACCTTTGCTATAAACGGAATGGTCCGTTACCGTTCCGAAGGCCGGAAGGTGGGTCACTATCCACATTCCGGGGCCGGCAATCGTTCAGCAGATGATAAGTAAAGAGCCGATAAGATGATGTAGCCACGGCATTTATAAGGAATACTGTCATCAAATACGCCCCATCTATACAGAATAACTCACCATCACACTATTACCTTCAAACTATACCCACTTGATCAATATGGCTACAGACGCTCTCCAAGATGTCCGTCCCATGTTTGAGCTCCGCGGGCGAAACTACATCGTCACTGGTGGAGCTCAGGGCATTGGTTTCGCTTGCACGCGAGCTATCTGCGAGATGGGCGGCAATGTTGCTGTGTTAGATATCCAGAAAGAGCCTACTGCCGAGTTCAACACGTTGAGTGAGAAGTTCTCCGCCAAGACTGTTTACATCCAAACAGATGTTACGTCACAGGAGAGCATTAATGCGGCTTTCGATAAGGTGCTGAAGGAGTTTGAGACTATTGACGGTGTTGTACCCGCTGCGGGTATCGCTATTGATAAGCCGTTCCTGGATCAGACTTGGGAGGAGTTTACCCGCATTCAGGACATCAATGTAAGTTATCCGGTCCGCCAAAATGAATTAAACTAATGGGGATAGGTCCGGGGAACGTTCTTTGTGGCTCAACTTGCGGCCCGCCAGATGGTCAAGCAAGGCACAGGCGGAAGCATGGTCCTCCTCGCCTCTCAATCCGCACACATCGGCCTTCCCGGCTACCGCATGGCGGCATACAACGCCTCAAAAGGCGGTATCCTCATGCTCTCCAAAGCCTTGGCCGTTGAGCTGGCGCCAAAGGGTATCAGAGTAAACACGATCTCTCCAGGATTCGTGGACTCGGAGATGACGAGGACTGTTCGTGAGCTTAAGAGTAAGCGGGAGGGAGAGCAGATGTGGTTGGCGCCGCCGAATCAGAGATTGAGTACACAGAATGATCTTACGGGGGCGGTGATTTACTTGTTGAGTGATGCGGCGAGACATACTACTGCGGCGGATATTCCGATTACTGGCGGATTACATGCTGGTACTATTGATGGATTGATTAGTTATGAGAACAACTAGGTTAATTAGCGTTGAGAATTATATCGAACTGAGTTTGTTTATGTCCCTAATCATTGTTCCTACAACCCTTAAATTATCGTCGTCAACTGCTTGTTCCATCGCATACGCCTGCATCATCGATGGAGAGACGGAACAGAGTCTCGATCTTCACGCTGTATCATTCAACGCATGACTCTCTTGATCTATAGACTATTGCCAAGGGCAGCCGGCGCCACTGATAGTCAAAATGTTTGAGATACCTTTCCCGCCATGAGGCCTCAAGTGGTAAGACTTCACCAGTTCAGCAGACCAGCGGCCCGCGAAGCGGATACCGCACCCGGAATCGGAAAAGCGCCCAGATCCGTCACTAATAAACCTCATACCCGCTATCTTCACCATCACACGGAACAGCAAATTATCGGCTAAGGGATCATAATCATCGTAATTCATTTCTGTCGCTAATCAATATCAAAATATGCTCTCCGAAAACATGTGATTAACATCGCCAATAGGCCACTGCAACCTTAGCGAATCCTCCCAGCCCATCTGCATATCCGTATCCGAAAGTACCGTCCCAGCCACAAATCCCCCGGGAACGACACCGTTATTAAAAGGCGGCGAGTACTCTGTATAGGGTTGGAAATCTCCAACTGGCTGTGCAAGACTCGCTCTTCTGATTGACTCTGTGACGTTATCTAGACCTTCGTGGCTTCCTGGGCTCGCTGGGTTCAGAATTCCTAGGCTGAGAAGGTTGCGTCGCATCTCGATAAGACGCTTGGCGAGACGACGGGCGGAGCGCGAGCGGCGCGTGTATTTTGTTGTGAGCGTTACGCACATGCTGAAACTGCCGCCGAGAGACTCGATGAGATCGGGTGTCAGACTTGGTAGCATTGTTGTTCTGTTTTGCTTTATGAAAGCGATGAGCAGAAATGCTAGACCAGCGGTACATGCCAGTATATGTTGGTAATATGGATGTTGCTTGCGGTAGATATCCGTAGTCGCGTCAAGCGTGTGCAAAACATGAATGATATCGTAAACTCGATCAGTCGCTGGTCGAACGTGGTTCTTTGTAATCTCAATATCCAATTCTGAAAAGAAGAACGGTTTGAGGAGTTGGCTCCGAACGGATTCCGCTCGGAGGTTTAGTAAGATGGTCCATGTTGGCGGACGACTTGATGGATCTGTATGCCATGTTTGACAATTTGCAACGGTGTAATCACCAACAGCCTTCTTTCTCCACTGCTCGATCTGAAAGCTCATCAACTCAAAGGAGTTTTCATCGTTGTAGCCTTCGCCTTTCGCGGCGTTGGATATAGGTTCGCTGAAACGGTCGCTTATGAGGATAAAGGAGAGCATGGCTTTGAGGTATGGGTTCTTGACAGAAGATGTAGACATGGAGCTGAAGCTCTTGTCTTGGAAGTGTGTTGGTAGACCAGTTGCGTAGCTCCATTGTCGATCAAGAATGACAATACTGCTGATCAGAGTGCAGGCTTCTGTGCGTTGAGCCTCGGTCTTGACGGTATGTCTAAAGACTTCGGCGTTGTGTAGGCCGAGTTCCATCAGCATGCGACCGGCGATGCCGCACATGCGCCAAGCTGAGCGGGGCATCTCTTGGAAGAAGTCGTACCAGCCCTGTTTCAATTAGTAAATTGGCGATTTGAGATAGTGGTAGTACCATACCTTGAGGAATACGATGGTCGCATGCTGGATGCTATTAGCGGGTGCAGCCAGCTTCGCATTGACCGCATCCTGAAAACTATCCCTCAACAAAGTCTCTGTATTCGAACTCGACGGGTTCCCGTCAGCCCTCAAAGCAATAGCCAAACACAGGTTCAGTATTAATAGCAGCTCGTACGTAGCAGCTCCAGTGCTCGACGCCAAAACATCCCATATCCCAGCATCAGCTTCAGCATACCACGAACGCGTCTGCACAATGAGCGCGTCGATATCAACAACGGGATGAAGTTCACCAACGACCTCTTGGTAAATGTACAAAAGCTGGGTAGTCTCTTGCAGCCCCATAATTGAGCGAAATGTCAAAAGCATAGCTGGGTCGCCCTTGTCGATCGTGCGCGGCGATACAGAGAATTGTGTATTTTGCCCATCGTTCTGATCCGCCTCATCGGAAGCGTCGTCTTCGTGGATACTGGCAAGTTGTAGTTGCTTTTGTTGAAGTGGTGGACCTGGCAAGCTATTCCGCCGAAGTTTTAATTGTCCCACGTTCAGTGCGTAGTCTGGACATGTTGGGCCGTAGAAATGTTGAGAGGCTGTCGTTCGGGAGGATTTTGGCGTTGAGCTCTGATCATCGATGGTGGATTCAGTGTAACTGTGACTGATGATGGGTATTGTATTGGGATTTGCGGTGGGAATATGATCGCGGGGTCGTGTCGCAGCAATCGTAGTCATTGGCGACGGAAGATTTGGTTGTTCCTGGTTACTCGAGTATTGCACTTGCGACGCCAAACTATTCAATTGCTCCTGAAGACTAGAGAGCATATCAACAATCGCAGCTTGGTTCGTCTGACATGAGGTCCCCGAAGTCGCGCAGTCGTGGTTTGTAGTCGCAGGTATCGGGTCAGTGATGGCGGGCGCTGGGGGCGCTGCTGTCGTTGTAGCGGGGTGCCAATCGTCGCTGTCAAGACTGGAGCTATTGTTCTCGAGACTGCTGCTGTAACTGCAATTTTGGTTTCGGCTTGAGCAGTGCCTGCATGGTTGTCGCCCGTCGCATTTTCCCTTTCGCCTTCTACATGCGTCGCATGCGCGCAGAGCGTATGGTGTCCTCCGTTTTCCAGGTTCCCCGGTTGAAGTGCTGGATTTCTTGACTCCTTTGGGTTCACGTGCCTGGGCCATGGCTAAAACAGGGGTTTCGGCCCCCTTTGTCGCGTCGCGTATATGAGTGTCCCAGTATAACCAACCAGTCAATTGAGTCTGTTGTTTCGTTCAATATTCTTTCGAGTCTGTCGGAAGTCGGGTCAGAGGTGAGGAAGGCGGAAACTCGGTGGGCAAAAGGTGAAGAAACACCGCGTTGATTATTTATCTTGGGTTAATCTTGACTAGCGTCGGTCTTCACCTTGGACCCATGCGGGGTAAACCAGACTAGACTAAGATCGGCGAGACTAAGCTTCTACTTCTTATCTCCCATAATTTTAGCTGCGGAGATAAGTAACAGACTTCTATCGATGCGGTTTAGGCGGTGGCCAACGGCTTACATGAGCAGTTTCGAGGCCAATCAGACAGTATCGGTTTGAAAGACCCTTATCATTCCATCCCGGTTTCGGAAGAGGATTCTCTGCATTGGTTGGATGCGATGGTGCAGGGTAGATGATTCAGTTTATCGCATTTGACGGCATGGCCGACTCAAAGGATGCAGGTGAAGGCGCTCAGCTGGAGGCATAAACGCCTCATATTTATTAGTGGTGGCAATTCTTACAACGTTGGTGAGAACATTGTACTGGTTGTGGTAGAACGAGATACTGCTGCAATGAGACCGTTGAGATCCAATAGTAGCGCATAATGACTCCGGCAATATTGATGTATTTCTGGCATCACTCCCAAGCATTTCCGCTTCTGACATGTTAGAAACTACAAAACTCACAAGCCAATGGTTTATACAATTTTATCTCGCCATACTGACACTGAGTGCCATTGGCTATCATCCCTCTACTATTAATGAGGCTCAACGTTGCACGCGAATCTGAGCGTGAAGACAAGGGCCCGCGAGGGGCAAAGTTGTCGTCATATCTCGGGAGTCGGGACCGAATACTACCCGCGGGAAGCGGAAGAAAGCTAGTCTTGTAATGAAATCAATTGACGCCGAACTAATGCTGAGATCAAAATGCTACACTAAACCTCCCGAACCTTGTAGCTAAACATCTCATTCGAAGCCACTGAATTCCTATCCCTCATCTTCGCCGCTGTATCAAGACCCGTCACAGGCACGCGATACTCATATTTGGCACCCTCCTTCTGTCCTGCAACAGGATATGGGAAGGGAAGATACTGCGGTATCAAGCCCAATTGCGCAAGTACAGTGCCTTGATCCCATGCGATATGCTCATGGTAGAGGCGATCGCCGCGGATGTTCACGACTGCTGTGAAGGGAACTTCCATCTTCTTGTCGGTTGGTGGAACGCCGGGAAGCCTGGGACATTAGCGAGGGATACTAAGAGGGTCAGGAAGTGACGTACAGCCAGTCAATTGTCTTGTTGTGGGTGAATTTGTAGAGAAATTCATCGACTACACGGTCAATACCGATTGTGCGGCTGATGAGTTCAAGTTCTGTGTCGTCTGAGTTTTGAAAGATGAAGTTATCGCGGTAAAAGGTTGTAAGTGACTTGCGGCCGATGCCACCGGTAAGCTGAACCAATGTTAGTATACCATGCCAGCCCCAATGTTTCAGAGATGTAGTGAACTTACTGTAGGTACGTGGTTAACATATGGCTGATCAACCATAGTGCTCATCGTATGCTCAACCGAGCGGTCCGCAAACTCATAATAAGTATGCTCATCCCAGATAGCCTCAAGATCAAAGTAAGGGCCATTGGTCAGCGGCTTCAGGAAAGTCAAGTTCCTTGTGTGCGACAGAGACTCAGTCCAGTAGTCAAAGTCATCTTGGAATGGCGTTGCCATGAGATGAGACTTTGCGCTGGAGTATGAATATGTTGTGAGGCCATCACTTCTCTCGATGATGGCTGTGCGGCCTGCAATATGGCGCAGGATGGGGATGCTAGACTTCTCAAGGGTTGCGAGATCTGCATCATTGGCGTAGAGCACTGCACCTACTAGACCAGAGTTGTTGACTGAGCCAGCTACCTGGTTCCATAGCTTGGGGTCATATGCTGTCGGAGAATCAGTATCACGCCACCAACCATCATAGAGGCTCACTCACCAATAAGTCCAATCTTGCTATCCTTCTCCAATTGCTCACAACCCCTCAAGGCCTTCAAAGCATCACTCAACACCTCACCAGCATCTTTCTTAAACGCCTTCGCCTGTATCTCAACAACAGCATACCCCTCCTCAGCCCACTTCAAAAGAGCAGAAGGAACACCCTCAATAATATCCAAATGCTTCTCCGAGTCAGGACTCAGAATAACAAGACCAGGTCCATGACCCCGTCTTGAAAGTGGAGGCAGAAGAGTAATCCCCTCACCAACAGTCTCAGGCTTGGCCTGGGGAAGAGGAGCAGGAGGCTTTGAAATGTCGGCGTACATCGTGAAAACTGATTGGTTGATTTTTGAGTCTGGGGGTATAAGATGGTCTAGGCGCTGCTCGAAGAAACAATATATAGATAGTAAATTAGAACGTGAAGTACGTAGAGCGGAACTCCGCCGAAGGTTGGTAAACCCCAGATTATGATACGAGGGGTTATCGCAGGCCCCGCTTTTGACAACTCTTATCGCAGATCTAAGATAAACGCTTCAGCTTCGGAACTTCCGATAGGAAAGTCCGTAGGCGCATGATGCGCTGTTAGTCTCTGAGCTAGACATGATAACCGAGTCAATTCTAGCGAGTCATATCTGTTCCTGCGTCACTAATCTGGATTAGATATATGATTTACAGGGTTCGGAACACCTATTGAAGCTATCATGTCGTTCCGTAGCCATGATTTACCCCAGATAAGGCAATTGATAGGTGGGGACGGAATGGGGATAACGGAACGTCGAATCTGGGGTAGAACCCAAGCTAGTGTTATCGGCATTTCTTGTTTACGACAGTTCTACAGCAGTTGAGATATCGTTCCGACACGTTGTTGGGCTGTTTGAGGGGTCCAGCTGAGTTGTCAGTTGGAGATTAGACGAGGTTTTAAGGTGAAACTGACGTTTGGGGATACCCGACGGTTGTGGTTGGATAGATATAGATAGCCCATCTTCGCCCCCTTGACTGTCTGCATCATCATACCTGCTTCTTTCAACTTATAGAGGATACACGATCTTTCCCTTTACCTCTCAACATTCATTCATCTACCTTTATCGAGACAACATGACTAAATCATATGATGTTGTGGTTGTAGGCGCCGGTAAGCATATCATCCCTCCTCACAAAGATATTGTCAACTAACAAGTCAGGATGGTTTGGTCTGGCCGCCGCAAAGGCCATCAGACAAATCAGCCCTCACGCCAATCTTGCCGTTCTCGAGTCCGCCGAGTCATGCGGTGGCACTTGGTCCAAGAACCGTCTCTACCCCGGTCTCAAGTCCAACAACATGAAAGGCACATACGAATACCCCGACTTTCCCATGGCCGAGAAGACATACGGCGTCAAGCCTAATAGCCATATCCCTGGAACAGTCCTCCACCGATACCTCACCGACTTTGCTAAGCACTACGACTTTCACGACCGAATTCAATTCAACACTTCTGTGAACTTGGTGGAGCGAAATGGTGATGCTGGCTGGAGAGTTAGTGTTACCTCCCCCGAGGGAACAGAAAGTATCACCACCGAGAGATTGGTGCTGGCTACTGGTCTTACATCAACACCAAATATGCCCCAGTACAAGAACGCTGAGAAGTTTGGTGCTCCTCTCTTCCATGCTAAGGACTTCTGTAAAGAGGCTCCTAACCTGAACGTCAAGAAAGCTATCGTTGTTGGTGGTGCCAAGTCTGCATTTGATGTTGCTTACGCTCTGGTTCAAGATGGCGCAACAGTAGACTTGGTTGTTCGCCCTACAGGAAACGGTCCAGTTTGGATCGCTCCTCCTTTCGTCACACCCCTCAAGAAGCGACTGGATCAGTTGTTGAACATTCGATGGATGACTTGGTTCAGCCCTTGCCCATGGGGTCAAGAAGACGGTTACCCTGCTGTGCGAAACTTCCTCCATGGAACTTCTGTCGGCCGGTTCCTCGTTAGCAACTTCTGGAAGACTCTCAGCAACGATGTTACTGGCGCCATCGGATACGACTCTCACCCGGAGCTTGCGAAGCTTAAGCCTTGGCATTCTGCTTTCTGGATCGGTAGTGGACTTAGTATTCTGAACTACGACAGTCCCCTGTTCGATCTTGTTAAGCAGGGCAAGATCAGAGTCCACATTGATGACATTGAGTCATTGGAACCTAACCGAGCTGTCCTAGCTTCTGGCAACGTCATCGACACCGATGCTATTATCTGCTCAACAGGATGGAAGAAGGAGTCTACTATCAAGTTTGCAGAGGATGAGCTTGGTCTTCCATACTCCACCGAGAAGAAGCGCTCTTTGGCCCAAGAGGCCGACGAGAAGGTCCTCTCTCTTTACCCTGGCCTCAAGAACCAACCAGAACTCAACGTCAAGCCCAAGGAAGCCAACCCTCTTCGCTACTACCGCTTCATGGTTCCCTCCGGGATGGTCAAGACCCGTGACTTGGCTTTCGCCGGCATGATCTCATCCGTCAGCACAGCCACATGCGCAACCATCCAAGGCCACTGGATCGCTGCTTTCCTTGCCGGCAAGATCGATCGCCTTCCTACCTCCGACAAGGAGATTACTGATGAGATTATGCTTCACACCCAATGGGGCAAGTGGCGATACCCTTGTGGTTACGGTGCTGATCTCCCTGATCTTGTATTCGAGGGCCTGCCTTATTGCAACATGCTTATGAAGGATATGGGACTCGAGACACATCGCAAGGGAAGCCGATTCCAGGAACTAACTTCGCCTTACCTCCCTGCTGACTTTAAGGGGTTAGTTGAAGAGTGGAAGGAGAAGCACGAGGCTACTGAAGAGATTGACGGTGTCGAGGTTGGGCAGCTTGCTGGTTCGCTGAAGAAGGCGTAAGGTGTATTTTTGTCGTTTGCATATATCCATAGTCGAGATTGATCGCGCTACTGTCCATTATCGGTTGTCTTATGATAGAAGAATAAAAAACTGGATTCTTTAGCAACCTTTTGTGCCTCTTTGCCCGACAAGAGAAGTGCCTGTCGCGATAACGGTTGACGGCATCTGACTGGAGGGGTAACCCACTGGAACTTCAGCACTGATGCCAACCTCACAGCCTATACGTGTCGCCAAATTACTTCGCTGTTCATTGGCGCGGGTAACACTTGTTATCGAGCTCTCATAAATGACGTTGCTATAATAGAGTCAAAGAATGCTTGGCGATTTTCTTACATCTGCGACAGATCCAATTGAGTTATTCGAAACTTGTAAACTGATGTCATTTGTCAGCGTGAAGCGCGCCCTTCGACTGAACTATGACGCTGCTTACCATCAATTGATGCGACCTTATATCCTCTCAAAAGAGCTTATCTCGACTTCAAACTCGCGTGCCAATCATCAAACACGCAGGGCAACAGCGCAAAATGGACCGCAGTTTCGATATCACCACGGACACAGGCGCTGCCTCAATTCACGGCGGCATCATTCCCTTGGAACCCCTCAGTCCCAAAGCGAAGCTAAGAACAGCCAACCAAGCAAGCAATACCAACGCCAGCGACGCGCAGTTAAACCCTCCAGCCCCGGAAGAAGAAAATGCCCCAAGAGCGCAGGACTCAAGCGGCCTGGGGATATCCAAGACAAGAGGTGTAATCGTCATCGTCACTCTTGCGGGCATCAGTTTTCTCAACACCATGGGCTCAGGCATTCTCATCGCTGCGCTTCCCAAGATCGCCGACGACGTTGGTCTCTCTGAGAACCTCATCTTATGGCCTGCGGCTGTTTACGCGCTCGCTGCTGGGTGCCTTTTACTCATCTTTGGTGCCATTGCGGATGTCGTCGGGGCCAAATTGATGTGGGTTACCGGGAGCTTTCTCTTTGTAGCCTTCACACTGGCTGTTGGGCTTGCTCAGACGGGCATTCAGGTTATCCTCTTCCGGACTCTGCTTGGAGCTTCGATATCGATGTGCTTACCCACCGCTGTCAGCTTGATAGCTAATACCTTCCCCAAAGGACCTTGGAGAAACGTTGCGTTTGCCATCAACGGCATGGGCAGTCCTCTTGGCTACGCTCTCGGTCTCGTTCTTGGAGGCATCTTCACCGATACAATCGGCTGGAGATGGGCCTACTACATGAGCGCCATCATCAACTTTTGTCTATCTACAGGCGCAATCTGGTCTCTTCCCTCAGTGTATACACCCTCCGAGCGAAAGTGGACGACTCGGCTGATGCATGAGATTGACTGGGTTGGAGCGACCACTATGAGTGTCGCGCTCGGTATGCTGCTTTATGTTCTTGCGATGATCTCATCCTCCTACAAGAGACTGGATGATCCCCAAAATATCGCCCTTCTAACAGTCGCAATTATCTTGTTGGCTGCGTTTCCGTTCTGGATGGACTATCAAGTCAAGCGCGGAAAGCCAGCCTTGATACCCAACAGCCTCTGGAAGAACCGGTCATTTACATCAGTTTGCATCGCTGTCTTCTTATGTTGGGCTTCGCTGAATGGTATCGAGTATTTCACAACGCTGTAGTAAGTCCCTTGAGATACATGCTTGATCACTTACTGACCCTGACTCCGTAGCTTCCAAAAGGTTGAAGGTCTGTCAGCTCTAGAAAGCTCCCTCAGGTTTCTGCCTCATGTCATCATGGGTGTAGCAGTCAACATCATCACTGGCCTCCTCATCGCCAAAGTCAAAGTTCGCACATTAGCTGTTGTCTCAGCAATTGTGACAATGGTAGCAGCACCTCTGATGGCGACAGTTGATGTCGGCGAGAATTACTGGCTTGCTCCGTTTTGGGCCATGTTCCTTTCACCCGTTAATCCAGATGGTAAGCCCAATCGCTTTTATCTGGTCAAGCTAACATGAAACAGTACTGTTTACAGTGTCAAACCTTGTAATTTCCGACGCTTACCCCCCGGAGATGCAGTCCCTCGCTGGTGGCGTCTTCAACGAAGTAGCTCAATTTGGCAACTCGGTCGGTTTAGCCATCACTGCTGCAATCGCTGCTTCAGTTACAGAGCACTCTAACATTACGGAACGCCAAGAGGCTTTGATGAAAGGCTATCGGGCTGCGTTTTGGACCATCTTTGCCAGCTGCAGCACTGTCACCATTGTAGTGTGGCTTGGTCTGAAGAAGGGTGGTATCGTTGGAAGGAAGCAGGATTAATTATGAGTGTTCACGATTTCAGTAACTTCAAATGGTATATTCTCAACACCTATTTAGATCCAGACTTTCCGAAGAGCCTTCTGGCAAACCCTTGGGCGCCTTTTGAGCGCGTGATCATGTTCTTACGATCCGCCTGGAACTGATCGGGAGAAGTCAAGACACATTGGTTGATTTGCTCGTGCTTCGATGTTCTGAATCGTATTTGACAAGTCCAGACTCCCTTTAGAAACTCCCCAGGGGACGGTATGGCTCGGATCCGATGTTCTGGCAAAGACATTATGAACTCTGGCTTCAAGACCTCGCAGACAGCTGCTGCCCAGTTATGCGGAAGGGCTGGTTTATGAGATGCCCAATCTGTTTGAGACCATTGTGGAGCCACTGCAATTACTTGGAGCGGTTCAGTACCCATGATGCTCTTGGTACAGGTGTGTTGGGGACGGATTGTTGGCTGTACTGTATACTATTAAGACGTTAGGACGGAAAGAGTGTGGCTTTCCCTGAAGTATTGAACGAACCTCGTGTATTGTCCCATAGATCATCTTGCCAAAGACCTTGCAATGGTCTTTATGATAAGGGGGGTCTAACACCATGCCGTCGACCTTAGTGACTAGGTTATCTGTCTGGTAAAGTATGCCAAGCTCTGTGAGGATAATCTCTATGTCGGGGTGAATATCGTCCCATCTTGGAGGTCCCTCGACGACAATAACGATGTTGTGCCACGGCGGCGGGACATCGCCGCTCAACTCTAGACGCCGTGTTAATCCAGCGACTGCAGTAGTTATAAATTCCCACTGGCGTTTAAAACAAGAAGAAGTAGTCTTGGTAGTCACTGGGATGTAGAAGACAACTTTGATGTCTCTGGGCTTCAGGAATCGCCTGGGTCGTAGAGTGTCCTTCTGCGAAGGAAACTCTTGTGCTGTGCACGTCAAGGCTGTGAAGCTATTGCAGGAGGATTCGATGTAGTAATCTTCAGACAAGAGGTCGGTGATCGCAGTTGGCATGGGCCAGTTGATCACCAATCTGCCGTAGAAAGTTTCGACCTCTACGTAGTAGGAGTCTTGTGTTCCTGACATAACGGCAGATGCTGAGAGGGGAAGACAATTTGACTTTGTCGCATTTCTTGAGATATCGTTGGTTGCCTCAGCTTTTTGCTTTTCGGGATCGTGGCAGTACTGATTTTCACTGGGGTCTGTTGGGCTGCTCTGAGATTTGTTCTTCTCAGGAACTGTCACACCATGCGGATGTGTCCGGGTTGTTCTTTGTGCGTCTTCTCGTGAAGATATAGAATGGGCCGAGGTGATAAGACGCTGGAGTTGACCCGAATCTAACTGGTAGTTGCGATCTTGCCATTCTTTCTCCTTTTTCTCCCACCATTCCGTTTCACTCTCAACTGGAGACCTCTCCCATTCTTCGATATAAGCATCCTTGGGCGGTACTGGACCTAGTTCATCATCTTCCTCAGACGGCTCCCGAGGACCTGAATGGTGGAAAGCGGTCGGTTGTTGCTGCGTGGACTCGATTGATCGTTGGACATCTTTCAGTTTTGCTTCAGCTAACCTTTCCTCGCTCTGTTGTTCTTCCCATCTCTTCATCTTCAGCTTGTATGCGACTTGGTCGCTCGCTGCGGAATCCAATTCCCAGTCCGAGAGATGAGCAGGATCGGAAGGCCTCTGGCTCCCTTCATCTGTCTCAAGGACAAAAGACGGTGCTTTGGTGCTGGAATCCCCCCCGTCAATAGAGGTGCCGTCTAAAGCCTTCTCAGTATATGTCGTCATCTCCTCAAGGAAGTTCTGAAGGATATAGTCGTTTCCTCCTTGCTTCGGTAATCGTTGCTGAAGTCGAAGTATTTCTTGCAGAATTTGTGCCGTGTCATCTCTTATCGCTGATGTCTCATTCCGAATCTCTGATGTGTCATTTTTAATCTCTTTGGTAACGTGCCTTCACATGTTGGTTAACCTGTCTGAAGTGATTGCGAGTTTACTTACAGCGATAACATATCCAGAGCCAACTCCAATGCCGCTTTGTGAGCTTCAAGATTCGAGCGCAACTTTGCGACATCCCCTTGTCCGTTGATGGCCCAACCAGCCTTGGATTTGAGTCGACTATCGCCGCCATATTTGGTGATACACTCTTGTAGCTCTACAACCACTGAGTTGCAATTGATTATGATACCCGAGACATGGCGTTCGAGAGTCGTAGGAAATGTCTTGCTCTCATCAGTTACGTCCTCCTGGATAAGTTCAAGGACTGTTTGCAGAGAGAGCAGCTCACGGGACACCCTGTCAAGATCACTCCGAGCCTCACGACAAGTGCGAACAAAGGTGTTGATGGACAGTGAGAGGGACCCTATGGTTGAAATGAGAGTGGCACAACCTGTCGCTATCGATAAAGGGTCCATAATACTACGAGATACCCATAATCTAGGTATTCGTATGCGACAGTGAGATTCTTAAGCGAGGGGTTCTGAAACCGGTTTTCAGCTGACATGGGTCATTTGAGCTGAGATGCCCAATTGGCTGATGAGTTCAACGATTTTCTCGCAGCGCTTAACAATTTTTCAGTTTGCGTCATTGGCTCAATAAAATGCCAAGCTTCAACCGGAAACTCACGATAACCGGGAGGGTGAGTGAAGCTATTCGCATGATTCTCACATTGCCAATAATCGCTGAGATTGCACATAGTTGTGTCACTAAGTCCATAGAGGGTTATGTGACAAGGAGAAGATATTTTGTTGGGAGAATCGATGTCACTCGCGATGCGGCCGTTCTTTCAAGAATGCGTAGGCACATAATACTAAGACAATCATCGGTGGTGATGTTTATTATGGTTCAAGATGGGGTTCATACATACACTAAAAAGCATCACACCCTTTTCGTGCAACAATAAAAGATTATTAAATTTAACTCTTGTAGTTCCAGTGCACTTGGCCTTGGCATCGACGAGGCCGACATTGGATATTATTGTTTGCAAGTGCCACTTAATTGAGATCAGAGGTATTGGGGTCTTTGCAATTGCAACAAATTTTCTGTTAATAGCAGACTTCATTAAACTGGAGACTATGCTGCTAGTATTTTAGTAAATAACACTATGAAAGATAAATTTTCTCTACAGCTGCCTAATTCTTTGCCGTTTGGCCCCAAGCTACCTGCATCGGTATGCTTACCTCGCTGTCCCGGGTAGATGGAGGGATGAATATGTGACGACAATGGCATGATCAGAGCGCCTCGTGGACCTAAGCATGTGCACACAAGTCATGGCTCAAAACAGCTTTATTGGAGTTAATCCGTGATCGCTGATGAATAAACTCTCGTGCTGTAGTGCTTGCATAAATCTAATCGGTCTAACGGTGAACGTCAGCCACCCGGAGGAGATGCGCCGGACATACAAGTGTCATGGTGCATGGCGATCGCCAGAATCTGGTTAACGATAGGGCTGTGTGAGCGGCTGCTTCAGGGGCAGCCCGATCTGGCCAATCACAAGCTCCAGTTTAAATAGTCTATGCCATCATAAGTTTGTTTGTGAGATCCAACGACAGTGCTTTGGGACTAGTAGATCCAAGCAAACATCTCCCTGAATGTCGTGAATGAGACTGTCTAACTTCATTCTCTCATCAATGACAAGCTCATAATTCATTTTGACTATTTGGAACGATGATTGCTTTGCAGATTGACCCATACTCCGGGTTTGGCTGCTATTGTTGTTAGTTACACCGCATCATCATCTAGTCTGAATGCGGGGTGAGCATTGGGCGATCACCAATATTTCACCGTGAACTTTTTGTGCGACATTGCGTTGGGAATTGAACAAAGCAAAGTCAATGACATCTACGAATATCTTACGGTGAAGAACAGAGAGCCAACAGCTCGATCAATTCGATCCATGACGTCAATGAGCTCATATGTCTCAGCGTTTGCTAGATGAATATGACAGGATTGATGTTTATAAAAAGAAGGACAAATCTCCAAGTTGTGCTTTCATTTCATCATCAAACACTCAATCTCATCAACAATCATAAGCACCTTTACAAACCTTTACTATCACCAACAACAACTACTTCATCATGTCTGACTACAAGCCCACTGGTACATCTTCACTTCCACTCTCCTCCGTCTAACAATGTCTAACAAGTTGCAGAGCACGACGGCCTCCGCAAGGACGGACAGCCCGACGGTCGCGTCGGCACTGGCGAGTTCGCTCATGGCAAGGTCGACCCCCACAAGGCCGGCGAGCAGGGCGGAAAGACTTCCGGCTCTGGCGAGGGCCTTGGAAGCTCCGACAGCAGCGGTGGTGACTACAAGCCCACTGAGCATGGTGGTCTGAAGAAGGATGGCACCCCTGACCAGCGCGTCAAGGGTAACTAAGGCGTTACGGATTATGCAGCGATATCTAGTATCTGAATGAACAAACTTTGACCCCCGACTTCTCATATCGAGTGTGCTTTGGAGAATTTGAAGTTAATTGTATATGATTTGTAAGAATCTAATGCAAATGTGATGCTTGGTTATCGGGTCGTAACGCCAGTAGGCATCGCGTCATAGTGATGAGGTACATTGTTTCCAACACTTCTTTGAGCGCAAGCACTAGCACTATCCTGGTTTAATATTTCATGATTCAGACGTTTTTACCAATTTGGGAGCCTAATTGACATGGCATTCGGATTTTGTCCCAAACGTTCCGATTGGCTTCATTCACGATGTTGGCTGAACCGCATAAAACCAACCCAAAACACTTAATCTGAGCCGCAGACTAGGGAAATAACATTGCGATCTACATCTCGTATCGCAAATATTCCCTATTCCCCCGAGCAACATATGTACCCAACAGCCCAGACTATGCAAAAAATAAGCTTCGATAGATTGACTCGCGTCTCACTCTCAGGGCTGAGGCCCGTATCCACCGCGGAGCCGAACCCTCAGCATTGACCAGGATAAGCACATGGCATTTTGACAACACCACGCGATGAGCCTTGAGCCACGAACTATCTAGTCTATTACCTTCTGTCCGGGATCAATTCATCTGTCTCCAATCATCCCAACACCACGTTTTTTCGAAATTGGTGCTAGATAAGCCCCCTTTACCTAGTCCATGTTAATTGAGACTAATTTCTTGGGATTCCGTTCCAGGCTTTTGGGTGGTGATGGACGCTAAGATGCGGAGCCGCAAAAGCAAACACTCGTCCAGGGTCTTGTATGCAAGACTGCCAATGGTGAAGATGGGGAATGACTTTGAGATACTGATTAGTGATACAACTAAATGACCAAATCCGCCATTACTAGAAGATGGAAAAGACGGGAACGAGAGGGAGATGTCGATATACCAATTGACAACACGTAGGCCTATAGACATTGAGACAATCTTCAAGTGGCCTGATTCAACTCCATTGACCCGGGGTCATGCATACACGTCTGTAACCAACATCACGCATCGCGGGGTACCTTGCAGTCATAACACTCCCAAAGGAGATTGATCTCAGGGGATCCGGACAACTGGGCTGCAACCTCCCACAGAGGATCTTCAGCGGTCCGTATCCCGGTGCATAAGCGCAACATCCAGGCTCCCAGGACCAGGCTCAGACGCAAGAGTGCGCTCTAACGGATGCAACGCCTCCTCGTGGCCCCTGAGTCGAGCTAGCGTCTGCACCTTTTTCTTCAAATATATGCACCAAGGAATTCTCGTCTAAAAGTCCCTGCTTTCTTGTTCTTCTCTACATCGACATTCCTTGTTCGCCAACCCGTTACGATGGGTGGTCTTTTGTTGTCAGATCACTATGAGTTTCACAAGCCTAGTATCAATGATATGAACATCGCGAGCATCGCTTGGGGGTTCTCCTTAGGCGTGTCGATATTTGCGGGCACGAAAGCTGCGAAGCAGACGATTAAATCGTGGAAGAGAGGGACGAGGACGAATATTTATCTCATCTTGGTGTGGATGGAATGGACGAGCAGTGTGATTATGAGTGCCATTACATGGTTATATCTGCGACAGTACATTCCGCCTGGCTTCCCAGTCTTCTTTGTCATTGGTATGTACCCATCATCGGATCCGATCTCACCTCGTCTAACGCAACTCAAGTCCTTCTTTGGGCCATTCAGATCCAATCGTTGCTACAGATTATCATCAACCGAATCTCGATCCTCATGGTCAACCGACATAATGCATGGAAGCTCAAACTCAGTGTATTCTTTGTTTTGCTCGCCATCAATATCAGTGTTTTCTGTGTCTGGATTCCAGCCCGACTACAGATCAGTCCCAAATGGATCGCTGTCAACGCTGTCTGGGATAGAGTTGAGAAATGCATATTCTTGATTGTCGATGCTGGTTTGAACTTTTACTTCATCCACCTTGTTCGATCTCGCCTTATCGCCAATGGTCTCACCAAGTATACTCGATTATATCGTGTCAATCTGTTCATGATCGCTGTCTCGATGACAATGGATGTAAGTGTGCTTCTTACAAGTTCCACTTAACTATACTGATGTTGTAAGGTCCTGCTCATCGCAATGATGTCTCTACCCAACGATATCGTCTACCTTCAATTCCATCCTCTGACATACCTCGTCAAGCTCCACATCGAGATGAACATGGCTGAGCTTATTACCAAGGTTGTCAAGGCCAGCAACCCCAATGGCTACGACTACTCCGACTCCCGATCTCGCTCTGGTCAAAAGAGCGGAAAGACAACAACTGGAAAGAAGATGGGCTCTGTCTTTCCGGGCAACAACCAGACTTTCATTGAAGCTGGTGGCGACGACATCGAGTTGCCTCAAAGGAAAGAAGACGGTATTCAGGTTTCCAGAACTTTCAAAACTACGCAGATCGAGGTTGTTAAAGAAAACCGGGATCGTACTGATTACGATGATCTTGAAAGCGAATCAAGTTCCACCCGACATCTGAAGCGAGAGCCACTGCCATTCCCTGCTGAATAGCTCAACACTTCTCGATGAGCCTTTTCTGAACTAGCATTTTAGATCTGGAATGTCTTCACGGATACCCCTCCCGGTTAGATCACAGCGGCATACCATATTGGCATATACCCGACGCTCGAGTTCTTTTTTAGCTTCTAGAATAATTAGACGTACACGATATTAATGCATTAAATAACATAGATAACTCAGTGAGAAATATGGCTTGTGCCAAATCCCTGTCTCTGGAGCAAAGGATGTGATGGGCCCTGTTGTAAATCGTGCGCTAAGATGCGGCTCCGCTCGACCGGCCGGTGCATTGTGGCTGTTTGACGCTGATGCATGGGTATTAGTACGAAAGGCCTCATTGTCCACATTATCGGGCGATTTATTGGTGAGATGAGATGAAAAATGAATGTGGCGTTCGGGGAAGCGAGAAATCACATGCGTTATCACATCGTGGAGAGAGTTTGTGATTGCTCAGAAAAAGCAAAGTTACCCCAGAATTACGTCTGGACAAATCCGCAATATTTCTCAGCAGTCCTACCATATGAAGCCCTTCAGCATAAGAATGGATTTGACTTGAGAATTTTCTAGAAATACTCGTTAATTAGTCTGGGTCGAACGAGCTAAGCATATCCTGTTCCCAGCCCTTTTTGTCCGCCTGTGTGAGCCCATGCAGGCGTTGCCAAAGGTCGGGCTTTCCAGCATGCACCAAAGCTAAGCCAACTACAACACCGCACATCCTAAATAGTTGGCCTTGAGTTCGTCTAATGGAAGAAATCTCCAGTCCTTGTAGTCGGTAGGGTATCCAGGAGAGGCGATGCGATCGGCGGATGCGATCGGCGGAACTACAGCCGGAGCCGCTCGGTTCCGCTGCCGTCGAGAGAGAACCAGCACTCTGGTAAGGCCGATACACGACGGAGCGGGTTCCCGTCGTAAGGCACTTCTCTCGGTGGATTAAAAGATCCAATCTCGGATATCGTGAGGGTCGTGCATAAGCCGTCATGGAAGATCGCACTAAGATGTCTTGACTAACGGGACGAACTATAACGCGGACATTAAGACGAGAGATCTTTCGGGGCCGCAATGGTTCCCATATGGCCCGACAATGTACTATTTACTGCTTCTTAGATGACCTTAGATGAGCAAAGTTGTAAACACGGATCGATTCTATGTACGCATTCCAGTATTTGCGCAACCCAATGATGTATTTGGCCAGCTATCTTACAGACAGCGACTACGCAGAATCGATTCACGAGCTTGGAATCTCTTGATCTTGTTGCATAAATTAGCCTGGATTTAGTCTATTCAACGGTGTTCTACTTGTCTGGAAGGCCTGATCATTCAGTCCCTAAGCTTTGACAAGTCAATGTTAAAGCTGCTAATCACCCCCTTCTTGACATCATCCAAGTTTTGCTTCTCTGCTTCGCGCTGGAGAATCTCGGCGCGAGATTTTCTCATCGCTTTGGCAACATCCGCCCACTCCAAGGACCGCTTTTCGGTAACGTCCACCATGCTTTCCTCTACGGTCACACCAACAAGCTTGCCTCGACGCTTTCGAACGATTCCATCGACGATGACTGTGTCGACGTTTCCGATACTGCTATGCAATACAACGGCTGCGATAGGGTCTTGCTCAGCAGCGCAGATAAGTTCGGGAGTATTGGCGTCAAAAATGACCAAGTCGGCTAATTTGCCTTCAGAGATGCTACCAAGCTGACTCTCCCTCCCGATCGCTCTAGCACCCTGAATTGTCCCCAGATTGAATACGTCCTGAACAGTCTTGGAGATCTTGCGAGGGGCCAGATCTTGGTCGATCAGTCTCTGGTTATGCTTGGCCCTGGAACCCTGCAAACCAAGTCTCATCTCGTATACAATGCTAGAGGCCTGGTTGCTGTGACAGTCGATACCTAGACTAGACTGGGCTTGAGCCTGGGGAAGATCATCGTTCAAGCACACAGGATCTCCAAGCGCCATCTGCATTTCTGTGGAAGGAGTGCTGCTAATATGTGCTCCAGCTTCGGCGAGGTCCTTGACGCTCGCGGCGGTGTATCCGTTGAGATGGCTGAAGAGCATGCGATTGTCCAACAAGCCAAGGCTCTTGATCTGCTGAACGAGATCATAGGATCCCATCTGAGGGTTGCTAACAGCATGAGTTGTCGCCAACTCGACACCAGCTTCGCGAGCACTTTGGAACAAGTTTTTGATGGCTGGTTCTGGCAGAAACCAGAGGTCAAAAGCCAGACCCAAAGTAACGCGGCCGGAGCCGAAGGGCGCCTTCTTGCCTAGTTCCTTTATCTCGCCCACGACCCATGGTGCAAGCATATCTGGATCCATTGCAAAAGGTGACCATGATGCGACGCGAGCAGTTGGGCAGTAGCCATAGATGCAGCGCAGGCCAGAAGAAGCAGTGGCTGAGATGGCAGTTGAGGCTGAAGGTGGTGGCGGTTAGCTTCTGCTTGAGGATTGAGGCTATTTGACTTACCAGCGCCAGCAAAGACATTGACGTGTGAATGATCAACTACAGTGGTGGTGCCTGCATTGATTGCTTCGAGAGAACCGCCAAGCTGTCCCCAATAGATATCACTTCTCGTATAATTCGAAGACTGGAGATTGCCGGAGGCCATGTAATCGAGAAGTAGCTCATTAGCATGTCGTCCCTTGAGCTGGGTCTGCCAAAGATGATGGTGCGTGTCGATGAAGCCAGGTGAGATGATCTTGTCATTGCAATCGATCACTTCATCATCAGTGATGTCGCTGATGTTCTCGGCTATCTTGGAGATTCGGTTGTTCTCGATGAGGATGTCCCTTTCTAGAGCTTGGACGTTGTCATTGGCGTCATGAATAAGGACCGTGCCGCCTTTGAGCAACAGCCGGCGCGAAGTGTTACTATTGAGAGAAGAGCGAAATACCATTGTGAGTGATAGTTATTAATTTCTTAGATGCGATTGATTTAGAGGGTTGTCGTTCAGGTGAATAACCAGGACAGAGGTAGACTCTTATAGTCGATGACGATGCAACGATGTCATACCCGTTTCGTAATTCACAAAAGGCTTTGAGGCTGCCTGCATGAACAGTCTCGGCGTTCCGTGGCCTAACTCCACGGAACACAACAAGTGAGGCCACGGCCGGCATTATCACGGAGGCAACGTTTTCTACCCGTCTCGATCTACACAAGTGCAACACTCGCGCCAGAAATGCCCATCGCTACCCGAATACCCATTGTTAATTCTGTTGATCTTCATCGAGATTGGTTTAGTCCGTTTTGACCCTTCCAACCACTAGCCTCAGTTGGTGATTTATAATAAGGTTTCGCGGCTGATGATTAAGCGCGAGCGGAGATAGCGAGGGAAGCGGGAGAGAAGGTTACTCAATTGGGATGCTCGCTTTTGTCGGATTTATGAGTTAGTCTCGGATTGACAACCTTGAAGAAGCAATCGCGAGGATCACAGCGAATGATAAAAGAGAGAGATCATTAAAGGACCAATATCGAGAATGGGCATTTCTCGGACTTGTACGGCATCGTCGGGGGCGTCGCGTGAGAATCCGGGAATAGCTTCAAATTGTGCATGGGTTATGACGTCGTTTAAGATTTCAGCTCAATGATGTTGAAAGAAAACAGCCAGTGCTTAGACATCTCTAGAGAGGGAACTGCTGGAATGAAGCCAGGATGATCAAGTGAATTGTTATAAAGGCTTGCTGATATATACTTATAAATACACTGAGGTCTTGCCATCGCTTCGAAAAGAGGTTCGAGATTTCCTTGCCTTCCTTCCTTCATGAGCCCAAGGTAGCTATCATAGAAAGAAAACTGTTTGGGTAATTTGGAGCAAGTCCTAAATTAGGAGGCCAATTCTTAAGAAAATATAATGAGCTAATGTTCTGCTCACAGGTGTAGAATTGATGTTTTGTGAGATAATATTGTCTTCTTCAGATAACCGATATAGTGATCTTAACAAGCTACGTAATTAAGTCAGGACACAGCATCCACTTTACATACCAACTATTCATTAGTTACTTACGAAACAGTAAAGTGTGATATATAAGTTTAAGCCAATTAAGAAACCCTTCTCAAGGGAGTGATCGATGGTATCTTAACACGGACTTGACCTAGAGCTCTGTGCAGTCATTTTGAAGCGATGGCATATAACGATCCATAATTAATGCATGGTAGATAGTAGGTTCAGTTTCCGGTATGTTATCTCCTAAGTGATAGGCCTTAAGTCTACATCGTAAACTCCATTGGTAGGTATGCCTCAGGGAGCAAATAAACTTAGCAAAGAATACCCTAAACTTAGGCTAGATTTACCTAAATATTTTTATTGCTTAGGGTCAAGGGCCTGTGTTTTCTTTCCTCTCCTAGGTATGCAACCAGAAATCGGAGATGTAGCTCCTCTCCTCAAGGCGGATCATTCCTCGGAATCGGATTAGATTATTAGTCATGTTATTTCCGAATGGGGTATTTTTCGGTCTTACCAAAACAGGAAATACTCCCAGCTCCTCCACCTGTCGGAGTCTCCGCTTCGAAAAGTTCCACTCGTTCTCGAACAATCATTTCTCAGGTCCAAGAACTTTCTCTTTTCCTCGCTCCTTGTCAGATTACCCAGTCATTATGATTAGCGAATTATTTAGCCATTGAGTCGCTCATATCAAATATTTCTTATCCACCATGTCCATCTCAGAAAAGTACGGCCCCGAAGTTCAGAGAGTCCCTGCAGATGCCCCCATCCAGGACATCATCGCACTCCTCAAGCGTGATGGGGGTGTTTTTGTGAAGGGGCTGGTATCGGAGGCAGATATCGATAAGGCATATGATGAATGCCGTGCACGTTTAGATTCAGACGTTGAATGGTCGGGCAGCTTCTTCCCAAGCAAGTTCTCTTTATAACACTTAGTACGATAACCGAACTAACACGTGAACTTAAGAGGAGACGCAACGGGCGCCAAGCCTCCTTGCCCTCAGCCCTACATACGCCCGATCCCAGGTCATGAACCCAGTCTACCACCAAGTCGTCGATCATTTCCTCACTACCCGAAGTTGGTTCTGGTGGGGTCCTGAACGGAAGGAGTCGGTTTCGAAGCCTTACTTGCATTCTTGTACTGCTATGAGAATCGGGCCTGGAGGCAAGGCACAGCCACTTCACCGTGACGATTATATCAGTCACAATATCCACGAAGATATTGATAAGTGGGATGATGAGCGTGATGCCAATCGTGAGTCTTCTGTTGGGCTGTTTGTAGCTGGGTCAAAGGTTACGAAGGAGAATGGCGGTACACAATTCATCCAAGGGAGTCATTTATGGTCAGTGCTGACCACCAGAATTTTCGAATATTAAACGTAACTGACGAATCACAGGGGCTCAGAACGAGGTCCCCCGCGTGTTGAAGACTGCATCTTTGCCGAGATGGACAAGGGCGATGCGTTCATCATGCTTGCTTCAGCGTATCATGGTGGAGGTACCAATTCTACCAAAGACCAGCACCGCTTAGTCTTTGCTACATTTTCCATTCGTGGCTTCTTGAGACAAGAAGAAAACCAGTATCTCGCTGTTCCTAGAGAAATAGTAACGAAGCTTGATCAGGATATACAGGCATTCATGGGCTATTCGATGAGCGACCCGGCGTGCGGTTATGTAGAACAGATAGATCCGATATACCTGCTCCGACCAGACCTCGAGAAAGGTCCTTCAGATTTTTAGAAAGCTCAGTATTAGGACAAATAATAACTTGTATGTATGACTTCAGTAACTGGGAGCTGAGTTAGATGGCGATGTCCCGCTTCTCCGAGTCGGGCTCTGTAGTGCCTTATAAATCGGCTCGGGATGATAGCGAGGCGTGCATGCATGACCTAAAAGATTGAGGGCGACCCCACTAAGAAATCAACAACTCCGATGCTGGTTCTCATCCTCTCGATTATCCTTTCTTTCGCTCCACCATTGTCTTTTATTTCCAATTTTGGTAATACACACAGCAATAATGACAGGTAGTGATAATTCATCTTCAAATCGCTCAACCGCCCGTCGCAAAGGTGAGCACTTAGTCTTTCTCTCATCGTACTCTGAATAATTCTCATGAGAATATTCTTTTAGACCCAGCCTGCGGAACATGTCGCAAGAAGTGTCGAAAATGCGATCGGAAACGTCCAATATGCGATAGATGTCGCACCAAAGGTCTCCATTGTGAAGGATACCCCCCACGGTTTCAATTCCAAGAGACATTAACGATTACCCCCAATCAACCAAGCTTGCAGCCTGCGACATCAGATAGCGTTGATGCCTCGCCTTCACAGCCAGTGAGCTTGAGTGAGTCACCTCCAGAATTGTCAATGCCACCTGTGCCCATCGATGCAAGACTGTCGGCTTCACTTTCGCCCGAATTACCTGTCCTTAAGACGTCAGCTTTGACCTTGACGTCGCCTCAAACATCAGCGACTCTATCACTGTCGCCCGACGTCGCGCCCTTTACTATCTCACTCTCAGCACACACCGACCTAGAGAACGATATTACGACAAATCGATATATCATTGACTACTGTAAGACACTTGAAACACGGGAAACTTCAAACAGTAACAATTATCTTAGTTGATCAAACGCTAAGCGAGCACTTCATTATCCACGTACCAGGTTTGGACAACCCATTCAGAGAATATGTTCTGCCACTTGCCTACCAGCATCAAGGTATTCTGCATTCGCTACTCGGATTGACAGCATGCCATATGCATAACACTAGACACGCGAACAGTCAGAGACTCGTCACGATATCTCTTGGGTACAGACTATCAGCGATACGATCTCTCGCTTCTCTGCTACACAAAGAAGATATCTCACGACTGACACCAACCGAGGAGGAACATGTTCTAGCTATGGTATTACTTCTCGTTCTGCATGATGTACAGCATCTCTTCCTTAGGTTTATGCACAGCAACTACTGACATAGCCATAGGTTTGTGAATCAGGCGTCTCAACCCATGGGGCTCACTTGACAGGTGTATCGTTCCTCTGCAAGCGGATCGCTTGCCTTGACACATCGCCCATGCGTTCAAAAACCGCCATGTTCTTGATATCCGCATTGTCATGGTAAGTCTTCACCCTGCGAAGCTCACTAGCAGCCCTGATACAAATAGGCTGGATATGATACGAGGTTTCAGCGGTGCTGAAAAGCTCTCCTACTCGACCGAGGTACGAGAATGCGTGAGAGACCACGGAAGTTTAAGCCTTCACACGTTAGTTGGCTGTCCGCCAGTAATGTTCCTCAAGATTGGCCAGGTGCTCGAGGCAGGTAAAGCTTACCTGGCTGGAGACCTGCCCGTTGAACAGTTTGAGCAATTACTCGACGGAGCTGAGAAGTTCTTCCGCGGCTGGGATGCCGATAATGCCGTTTATCCCACCAACCACCAGGAATGGCGACACCTTGCCGAGGCATACAGACATGCATGCTTGCTCCGCGTGATGCGATTTCCCGACGCTTTCGCTATCTCATGCGACGACCCGCAGATAAAAGCTTCTGTCTCGGCGGTTTTGGACGTTTGTGCTACAATACCGAGAGACAGCGCATTTTATAAACGTCTGCTATTTCCGCTGTTCCTAGCAGGGGCCGATACCTGCGCTCCGCATCAAATACACTACGCAAGCTGGTGCATCAACGAAATCAAGCACTCTACGGGCTTCCAGCACCCCGCCATGACCGAGTTATTGACCAAAGTCTGGGACGAGAGAAGGACGAATCCTCGGGGTTGGTCAAACATTCCCTGGATGGAATTTGTAAGTTCGCCGCTTTCTCTACCTTGGTCCCTATTGATGCGAGCATTTTTCTAGACTTGTTCCGAGCTTCTTCGTTCTCAACATGCATACCTCTTCTTTTGACGGGCCGACGTTCCACTAGTGCTCCACCGTGTTAGTCGGAGTCGGCATCGGGGATATAATCGGACTTGGCAGCTGGGAGTATTTCTGTTTACGGAATAGTTTCATCTTCGGAGAAGATGGCTTGGCAAGCGATGGACATGAATAAAGACGACATGAACCCCTACAATTATTTCATGATAAATCATATAATATCCCAGACTTATGTTCTATAACCTGATATTATCTATTTAGGAGCGACGCGATACATAATATGGCGGCACACGAGAAGAACCAGGCCGAGTTGGACAAGGCATCCAAGCTGGCAAATGTTCCCCACTGTGAACAATATGAGAGGATGATCTCAGGGATGCTGTCAGTGAACACATCAAGCGCATTTGAGAGTCTCCAACTTACTAACAACTATTGCAGATATGATTCACTTATTCCGAAGCTCACAAATGCTCGTCTCGCTGCTCGGAAGGCCATGAACGAATACAACACCTGGTTTCCCGAAGGCGACGACTTCAACATCGAGAACATCACGAAAAGGCGAGCCGAAATGCTCCAATCATTTCTTGGACACGTGGAAGACGACGAAGTCTTCATCGAGCCACCATTCAGAGTCGACTACGGCCCCAACATGTCAGTTGGAAAGAGATTCTACGCCAACTTCAACTTGACGGTCTTGGATTCAGCTATTGTTACGATTGGCGACAGGGTCATGATTGGTCCAAACGTTATGATCTCGACGGCGACACATGAAACGGAGGTCGCAAGTCGAAGGGCCTGCATCGAGTATGCGTATCCTATCAATATTGGCGATGACTGTTGGATTGGGGGCGGTGTCACTATTTTACCTGGTGTTACGATTGGAGAGGGATGTACGATAGGCGCTGGATCAATCGTGACGCGCGATATACCCGCCTGGAGCGTGGCCGTAGGATCTCCTGCAAGGGTTGTCAAAAAGGTGCAGCCGCTGGGAGAGTTCAGCGAATCGAACGGCGTTTGATGAAAAAGAGTTCACAGAGGTCTATAAATATGAATATTGATCGAATCAGTATGCTCTTGCCGTCTGAATATCGTCTGCAATTCAGATGCTCAGCATTTGTCAAATAGCCGAATCAAGGGGGTCTATTAAGCGCGCGGCTGCGTCGACGCAGATGGCCAATTTTAACCCGAATTGTGAAGCATAAAGCTCAATGGATCTTTTGATCGCGATAGAAATGAGAAAAAGTCGAAAAGCCTCGGAGAAAAAAGTAGGAAGGAAGAATTTCTCATCTTCGTCACTTAAAGAGAAGACATGAGTATCTGTGATGCTCAGGATGATCCTAGATTTGCGCCATAAGTCACGGCCATTTTCTGGCGAAGCGCCGCCAACGTAGGCAGTGTGATGTGAGACAGATTAACAAACAAGGATGTCGTGACCAACATGCATATTGACGCTCAAAAACCCCGTCGATGGCGACAACAACTGCCCTCCATCTTTTTATTTACGCTCTTCTGCATCACAGTATCAATCCATTTGAATAGCATTAGTATAGAGGGGAACAACTTGATCTTTATTCTCAGTCTTGTTCATTTGTGTTCTTCACCATTAAGTTCAGGCTGAAACCTCTGTGGGCTCAACCTTATCACACTTATCACTTACTCATTATGACGACCCAGCAAGAAGCAGAGAGAGTCATTCGGGAGCTTACTGGCGAATACAAGTGCGATTTTGATCTGTGGCTCAGTCACCCAACACTAACTCTATAGCAGGCTAGACGAGAATGTATACGAGAGTGGCAGAAAGTTTTTACGCCAGCTGCTTCTCTATATCGACGCGAGAGTCTTCACGAAAGCGATAAGGCGTGGAGAATATCCATATGTATCTTTCAAGATACACTCTAGTCATATTGAAGTTGAGTTCAACGACGACGGTTTTACGAAAAAAGATCTAGAACATATATGTCTACCTTCCACCACTGAGGATGAAAGCACTGGCGAGGATGATCTACTCTCGGTCTTCAAATCTACGGCGAAAATCTATCTCCAGTCAGGTGCCTTCTCCATTGACTTACGTCTCTCTTCGAGTGAGGGTAAAATAAAACCAATTTGGGTTTCGCCATCTGCCCCAATACCCGATTCACTAACGCGCATGGTTGTCTATTTTCATGACTATGGCACCGAAGAACATCTGGAGCGCCTGAAGAGCGTTATTCTGAAACAATTTGAAAGCTTGCCAGCCGAAAGCCTACTGTTTCTTAGAGCTCTTCGGCGTATAACTGTTGAGTTCTACGGCAAAGGTGGTGAGATTCGTCAATCTAAGCGATTCCGCAAGCATTGGATGGAAAGTAACCGTGAATTACTCAAAGCAACCATCGACGACCACGATGAAAAGAAGGCAAAAGGCCGAGTGTTCCATATGGCGGAGCGGGGAGCCTTGGGGGGACGAAATGTCAAATTGGCGTTCCCACTGACCGAGGAGGGCAAGCCCTTGATCGACACCAGAGAAAACGGGATATTCAACGTTTTGCCTATCAGCAAATCAAAATACAATGTGAGAAAATCTTGCCTCTATACTGGATTTTGAGACCGAATACTAAAAATATGCTACAGTTTTTGATAGACGCTGATCTTGGGTATGACAATCAACAAAAGCTTAAGCATAACTCAAAAAAGAATCAAGAAATTCGCATCTGGATCGTAGCCGCATTCTTGCAAGCCATTTCCGCATTTGACACTCATGCCAGTCTTCGTTATGAATGGCCATTATTTCTGCCTCCGATCAGCCACAAGTCACCCCTCAGTCTAGAGATCCGATATATGACTCAGAGGAATCTTTTGGTGAAGGTCTACAAGCAGTCAGGTTTTCGATGCATGAATCAGATAATAATCCTGCCTGACCATTTGAAAGATGAGAACGGACAACCGTTGGTTGAACCTTTTGCAAGCAACAAGCTCTTGTCAACAGACTATCCTCAACGGGTGGTGGAGATCTTCAAGGAGCACGGTGCAGAGACCATGTGGGACGAGACTTTTTGGGGACACCTGGAGGTTGATATGAGGTTTAAAAACCCCAAGATGCATCGGGAATACACTACTGAAGAGTGGCATGCGAGAATGGCGCGCTGCCTTCTCCAGTTCTCGGAAACGTCAAGCTTAAATGCTTCGAGGGTCAAGTCCATTGCAGTTGTGCCTCTGCAAGGAGGAACATGGACGTCTATACTATCTGGTCCGATCTATTTTCCACGTACGGGAGACATTTCCATCCCGGACACCAAATATTTAAGGATGGTAGCACCACACGCTACTCAAGATCCAGATCGGTATGCTCTATTCAAATACCTTGGGGTTACTGAGCCCTCCCTCGACGATGCCAGGGAGTCAGTTCGGGAAAGCCTTATCACACCAGATACTATCCCACTCGAACTTGTCAACGAATATCTACAATACCTCTACCTGACGCATGAAGCAAGCGACTGGGAGCGGCATCATTACGAAGAAGTTCGAGTTCTCACAACAAGCTCAACACTTGAGAGGCCACAATATAACCCTAAGGCAATTTACCTACCAGGCAAGGATCACCCATTCAGTCCTGAAAGCCTTCTGGGGCCTGTGAAGCCAGAATCCTCTCTTCCTTGCCTTTTCTTACATCATGAAACTTTGAGCTACGTGCCAACTCAGGGTAACTCTTCACCCATCGGCTGGAAGAGATGGCTTTGCGACTACGTTGGTTTAAGGGAAGACATATGCCTCGAATTAGATGGGACTGGAAAACTATCGGCTGATTTCCTTCATATCGTAAGTCAAAGTCCAGACAAGCTTCTGGGCCTGCTTGAATATCTCCTGTTTAAAGATGAGGTGGAGTTATCAAGCGAGTCTACCATCATATCCGAGATTCGACAGCTGTCTGTAAGCAACGTTTGCGATGTTGAAATCACGTTCAAGTTACAAGATACTTGGCTTCCTCTCAAAGCTCTCACGGATATAGTTGACACCTATATGGAACAACCCGGACTGTTCCCGTTTCTGAAATCCATTCAAGACGGTACTGGAGGCATTGGCACCAAGTGGAACTTTCTATCCGAATATCGTCTGGTCGGTAAGGAAGATAATCTCGAGTTTCGTCTCGAGATCCTGCGTTCAATCCGTCGCTCAGACCCCAAGAAGGATCCGAATCGTCAACTCCAGAAAGTCTTGGACTTATATGCTTCCATATATGGCCAGCTCTCTACTTCCGGGGAAACGGCAACGGACAGAGAGAAGCTCAGGTAAGCTGTTCTACGTTGTTTGACTTGGTTAGCGCTGACACTAAACAAGAAACTTCTTCGATGAATCCGGTGTTGTGTACTTCAATGGAGAACAACTTGAGTGGATAAATTCTTCATCTTGTTTGTGGGACGCACCACTAGACATGGCCACCATGCGCTCGCTCAACTCCTGTTACGATCTGCAAAGCTCAAGCGCTGAAGCTGGAAGCGCCCTACATAGTCTTTTCTTCGACACGCTCGGTATAGAGAACGCTAAGCTTGAACATTTGGTGGCAGAACTGAATGAGCTGCGCATCAGGAATGACGAGGATCCTGCAAAAGTTCTCACGGTGTATGGCTTCTTGAACACGAAGGTTTCCTCATCTCAAGATATGAGGTATGTATTATTTTGTCACAACCTGGTTCGACATGTAACTCTGATATCAAAGTAGGACTGCATTTGAGAGCTCACCTCTTATCTTCATCCCCGACGGCCCATACACAGGATGGCACACATCTACTGAAGTCCTATGGTCTAGCAACACGGACCTATGCGGTATGGGAACCCTAGACGAGACATACAAACCACTTCGTGATTTCTTCGTCGATAAACTTGGCATTGAGTCATTATCGCTACGAATACTTTACGACCGCTTGATCAAGTCTCCTAAATGCGAGCCGCAGCAGATGAAAGAGGCCATTCTCATCCTGAATGACTTTCTACGAAGCGAACCAGCATTCCTAGATCCGCAGCCTGTCAGGGATGCTGAAATATTCCCTGTCAGAGATCCCGATGGGAGGGTCTGCCTGAGATCTGTAGAAACAGACTTTGCCATCGGAGATAATGACAATCTGAGGGTCAATTTCGAAAATTACATCCGCCTTCTTGACTTCGACCTTGGGGAATTCTATCGTCTAAAGCCGTTCTTCCAATGGCTGAAAATTGAAAGTCGATACATGTCTAGATGTGTCCGAGAGGATGTAACGGTTGTTGCTAAGGAGAAAGGAGGTCTATTCGGAGCATCTGAAGTTCCAATCCCTCACAAGAAGCGAAGCCTGAATGCCAAGGCCCGCTATATTACTCGGTAAGCTCCTCAGTACTCTCGATAGAAACGAGCCATTAATCTCTTTAATGTTGCGGCGAATTTCGGTAGCCCGTACTGTCGATCTGGGATCAAGGCGTTTCACAAGCGACTATCCAGCATTGAATGTGTACTAGTATGGAGTATAAAGACTTCCTTCATTCTGCAACAGAATGGTGAGACTGTTGTAGCCGAGAGTCAGCTGTCCAAGGGACATATTGCCGAGCCTGACGGGAGACTCACGATCTATGTTCCCATGGACCCAGTATCACAAGATGTCTGTTTCGGCTCAGTATTGCCCAGAAAATTGGCAACATGGATCATGCAGGATCCCAAATGTAGCGGCCGACCTCACGTTGACATAGAGATGGTCAGTGCACTGACTGCCATTTTGACCAGCGAGACATCTCTCGACGAGATCCTTGATGAACTAGGTATTGCCAAAATTTCGTATGATGGTCTCAGCGACGTTGGAGATGAAGCCACGAGACAGAAAGTATCATTCAAAAATGTCGTCGAACGGCCACGAAAGGTAGACTCGCTGTCGTTTAGTATGCCTGTCAGCAACTTGAGCGAAAGTCTATGTGAAGGCGCTTGATCTGACCGAAACCAACGTTGGGACTGGATGATAGAGATAGGCTACCGAACGAGTATGCATCCTAGCGAAGGAATTGCCGCAGAGTGCCATATGCTGATTCGGGCTGCGGAAGCCAGTTAAGTTCTTCTTGATGTTGTGGGAACTGCGAAAGGGCTGAGAGGTCGAGAGACACCCCAGCCCCAATACAAAGGGAACAACATAAATCAATAAATACAGGTCATCATTAATCAGCGAAGACTTGCAAATAGGGAATGACAGCCTTGGATATATATAATGCCGCAGAAATAGATTCACAAACTCGAACAAGGTAAACCTAGACTATTTATTGCTGTGCTTCCTGTGGAGGAATCAACGAACGGTACTAAAACAGATCTCCTTGCGAATTCAGGCCTTGTTGTCAAGTGTTAACTCGATATGCATGCCTCCAGGCAAATCGTCCATGTTGTAGGGTCGAGGCGTCACCCAATATACTGACCATTCGCCATTGCCTTCTGGGTCTCTCCATGCCATCCAGTGTCCGTCATTTATGTCCTCGTCGGCGATCCCCAGAGTATGTACTCCAGTCCCCTGATCAAGAGTCTTTATTGAAAAGTCAAGGTAAACCATTGAACCAATGCCAAATGGTTTGGTTTCAGGAGAGGTTCGCAGCTCGTACGGCCCTCGGCCGCTTGGGCCGATGACGGATAGAAACTCTGACATGGAATCGTCCTTGAGAACGAAATTTGTTTCATTCGTTTTGCATTGTTGGCAAAAAGTCAGACCCGCGACGTCGGTAGGGGCTAAAACTAGATTCTTGTCCAGGCTACGCGCAAGATGCATGCCATTGACTTCATGGAGGCCGCTAGAGCGCGTCAGTATGTTTCAGTCAAGTCGAAGACCAAGAGAATGCTGCAAGAAATAACGAACCTTGAAACTCGGATACCATATGTTTCAGAGATACTCATCGTGGTGCTGTTTGCAAATTATTAAGAAAAGGACAGCTTGTACAGAGTATAAATACTTGGCCTCGGCCCGGATTCGCGGTTTGGCCGAGAGCCGACGGCATAATCCGTTGGGCTAGCTCCAGGTGGTTCATGATTAGCTGGCCAAAGGATGGCTTTTGGGTATTTGGTTGGTGGTTCAGTCTAACAAATGAGCGTGTAGCTTATTTTTAGTACTGTACTATTATTACACTAACGGAAGAACCCATATCAACGGGCGGCGACACTATCACGGACGCGCGTACTCCGTATTGCCTAACTACCGCATTAACTCATAAAATTCGGTAGTCCCTGTGGGTACACGCTAGGCAAAGCCACTTCGTTCATTTGACCAATAAGGCTATTTAACTAGCTATCAGATCCTAATTGATATCCTGACCAATCAGATAGCTTATAACGGGCTAGTGAGTACCCACAGGGACTACCGAATTTCATGAGTTGATGCGGTATATCGTGTCTAAGAATCGTCCATTCCAGTTCGTATCGTAAATGCGGTAAAAGGGTGGCTGAGTTTCTCTGACTTGGAGATACAGTCGCCCTAGTAAAGGTTAGTAACGATTCGGAGATCAGAAAGTCAAGGCTCGTACCTTTTTGAGATACCATTCCATCTGGTTGTCTGCGCGATATTCACCCTGATCTTCGTCCCAGAATCTATCCTTCTTGAGGTGTTTTCCCTCCTCAAATGGTGTGTGATACATAACTCCGTAGTGGGCTCTGGAAATTGTGGATGTTACTGTGATGGGTTTGTGGGCTAGGTTCTGGCCATTTTCATCGCCGCCATCCATAAATGCTTTGCAGACAGCGCCTTGACAAATTGCCGTTCGCCTGATATATCAGTCACTGGATCGTAGTTCTGGAAAGATGAGCTCTTACGGTTTCATGCCGTTCGGCTGGAGGACGTCGATCCCGTCATCCGAGAAGATTTCCTGCAGATGACTGTATAAGTAAGGACTCCCGCCGAGACCTCCAACGAGTATGATTCCCTAGGTATTTCTTTCAGTAATGACACTGGCTTATGAATTATTCCAACTTACCGTCACTTGAAGATGATGATCCTCTGCCTTCTCAATCTGAGAGTTGATAAGGGCCACAATGTCATCAAAGACCATGGTGAACGTCTCTTTGATATCCGCCCTACGGACATTGTTAGTCGACCAACCAATATCTTCTTGCGGAAGCTTACTCTTTAAAGTGAATTTTACCTCTCTTGATGAAAGGTTCCTTCGTGGTATCGTCAAAGCGCTGCTTTGGTTTGTTCGAGAACATTTCGTTCGGAAGCGTGACCGTGTACACTTTGTCCGGGTTTCCGGTTTTGAACTATGGCTTGATGGAATACTCCCAGGACTCTTTGATGATTTCGTTCTTTCCTCCGCGACTCATAGATTTCCAGGTCGAGCCCAGACGTTCTCTGCACTTTTTCTCAAAGGCTTCATCGATGAAGACACCTCCACAAAGCTCTCCTAAGAAGGATATTAGTCGACGCTAGTAGTTGTTTATTAAGTTTGCAAACCTTGTCCTAAAACCGCCTCGCGCATGCGGATGGGATCAATAGACTCGATCTCGTAGGTAATCGGGTCCTAAACCAAACATATATTAGCGCAGTTACCAATACCATATTTCGAATGAGGAGCTGCTTACCACAGTGCCTCCGCCAGCATCACACACAACATATACGTTGCCTTGCTCCACAGAGTCGTAGCGATCTAGTATAGTTGACAACGCTGCAGCTTCAGGCTCGGTCACCACATTGAGCTCAGTCGGCCCAGCCGATCGACGCGATAGCATGCCTGCCTTCCGGATAGCTTGTTCAGTGCTTTGCTGGGCATAGCCTTTCCAGATGGCCGGAATGGTCACAACAATATGCAAAGTCAAAGCGTTAAACACTGCATTGCCGAGTTCCTGCTTGATCTTGGTCTGGGCATGATCCCAGAGCAGTCTGAGGTAGTCGGCGACCACGTCGACAGGATCCTTACCAGACTGTCTTGTGATGTCGCGAGCGCGTTGCAGGAAGGGTGATGCTCGCATCTCAGGGCTCAGGTCATCAGGTTTCAGCAACAAAAGCTTGAACCATTGGAGGCGTGATACCTCGCCAGGGATGTCATATCCCCACTTCATCCCACCGTCATCATCCTAGTAGATCTCGGTAGGGACCTTTCCTTCCTCCCGGCCTAGGCCAGGCCAGGAGGAGATGAAATTGATGTTGTGTCTTTCGAAAACAGCGGCGGTAGCCCAAGCAACTCCACTGTTACTATTGTCCAATCTGTTCAGTCTCTAGTAAGCGTACGAAGGAAAAGCAATACTCACGTGGTTCCAAAATCAATGCCAACAGCTAAGACACCCCTCTTTGTTGTTTTGAAGTGAGTTGGAAGACGGGTATTTAGATACATTGTGATTCTTGCTGACAGGTTCAATAGTGATGGAATTGGAAGTTGCTTTATCTTGTAGAAGAATAAACTCTCAAGCTGTTCGAGATAGTCTCTGAGTTAATGCTGATAGTGGATTACAGTTGGGCTCTTAAATAGGCATTTTATCGATGTTGAGAAGATCTGCTTTAGGTTCAGCTCAGCAGGTCAGGGTCGTGTAGTACAACAGCGGCCATCATGAACGGCCAACCCAACTGGGACCAGGTGGCTTAGGGGGATAAAATCAGGCTGCCGATCAGCATTTCCAACTTTCATCAGTATGCATTGAAATAGCCGCTTTGTACAAAAATAACAACAACGGCGACTACCCGTCTTTGGAAACATTTCTATGGTCAAGGTAATCTTCCTTGCAGATTGATGTTACCTTCATCTTGGCAATTGCTGTGGCGCAAAGCTGAAAGTCGCCAAGTGCATTTTCAACCCTCCAGCGGCTACGGCTGTAGATTGAAGTAATAAAGGTCTATATTTGGGAACACTTTTACGTCATGATAAAAAATAAAGGCATATGTAGTGGCGTAAAGCTGAAAGATGCCAAGGGTGTTTTCAACCCACCAGCGGTTAAGGGTGCCAATGATAGGCAGGCTGGCAAAATCAGGCTGAGGGGTTTGCACAAAATTATCGCAAAGTGCAAAGAGGCTGAAACAACTGGACTTCCGTGAACTGCGAGCCGACAGACTTAGCTGCTCAAACGGGCCAGAAGCGGATTGTGTATCTGTTGATTGGCGTTTAGGGAAGCGCTCTGTTCTGGTCTCAGCCAAGGGATAAAGCAAGTGGCATGACCGCGTCAAGGTTCTTGAACGTGCATAGTGGTGTACAGTGCATCGCCCCCAAGTTAATGTTCCAATCCCTCTCGCATTGTATACCTGATTCTGTGTTCTATTTTTGTCACAACTTGCTTTGGCCAGAAACACTGTTTACTGACAGACATGGGTTACTCGATCCCGGTCCTACTTAGGTCTATGGAAGATTATAAGAGTCTTCCGGTGTCGGTTCTTATCGAAGAAAACATGTTCTAGCACATTCTTTTCTTTCATCTTTCCAAGAACCTGTTCTCAAACAAAATAACCCTTAGTTCTGTTCTTTCTAATCAATCCAACTATCATGGGATCCTCGATGAAGTCTCAAAGACAAGACCGAGAAGCCGTCCACTATAACGAAGATCCTCTACCTCCAAGTCCTACAAATGCCACCCAGGTCAGAGCGAATGAAGAGCCCCAGTCCGACCTATCTCCAACAGAGATGACAGAAACCTTCTCCGAAGACAGAGAGGAGAGCCATGAGTCATCTGAAGACATGGAAGGAGTTGTCCTATCCGAAGAGTCTACCCAAAGCATGGCGAGAGAATCAACTACTGCCCAAATTTCCGAAAGAGATCCCGAAAAGGAATTGAAAAGTCTTTTTTCTAACATGGAAAGCATTCAGGACCAGCTTGAGGAAACAAGACTAGAGCTAGCCAACTCGTGTGCGGAACGTAAGGAGTTAGTTGAAGTGCTTAACGATCTTCGGACCAGAGTCCAGCCAGCTGGCCGCTTCACGGACCGTGAAATCATGGGGTTTGTAAAGCAATTAAAATACAGCATTTCCAATCTCGCCGAGCAGTGGCCTGAGACTGTGCCTCCAAAGAGCACGTCGATGCATCACAAGTATCTGCGCCACCTCCAGTCAATCACCCCAGAGAGCTCAGACTACCGCCGACTACTGCAGAATGAAGATAGGCGACCGCAACTAGTGGAAAGTTTCATCTGGAAGGTGTTGACCACTGAAGTCTTTGGGCTATTCCACTGGGCTGGTGAGTCCGTGGCTCCTCATATTAGAGGCCTCCAGTTGTTCTTGACGAGTAAGTGTTCAATAATTAAAAGCCCAGAACATGATACTAATGCAGGAGAACAGCCGATCTAGGCTCGCCTAGACCCAGTGACGTCCAGATGTGGACTTCGAAGACAACTCAGTTATTCTCTGAAGCCCTCAATTCCCGAGGAGGTGATGAGAAGGAACAGAACAAGCTCTATCTCGAGCGCATCAGGAACCAAATTACTTCACTTATCATTGAGACTCTGGGGTTATCAGTGAACTCTAGTGACAGTGTCGCTGAGCAGCTCGATGATATCCTGCAGGGCGCCATTGACTTGGACAAAAGGTTCTGTCAACAGGCTGCTGGATGGGAATGGAAGTATTTATATAAGAGTCATCATGAGGAAGGGTTGGTTTTCGACGGCGACTGCATGGTCTTGGATCAAGCCGAGCGCTTTTGTTCTGATAAAAAGACTGAGACTCAGGCGGTGGTGAAGTTCGTCATTTCGCCGGCCCTAGTAAAGCGAGGTGATGGCGATGGCGTTAATGAGGGGCTGGAAACTACTGTGATAAAGATGGGAGTTTCATGTCAGGACATTTAGACAATCAACGCCAAAGGAATGGTTTAAGATCTCAGGTAAAGCAATGTCACATCAGGTAAGTGTATTCATGTTAGGGATAAGAACCTACCCTCGGGGGGGAAGAAAACTTAGACCTGAACATAGGGTATTAAAAATAAACTCAGCAAAAGATATCCTAAACTTATCTTAAATTACCTAAATCTTTTTGTTATTTAGGATCAAGGTCCTGACTTTTCTTTCCTCTCCTAGCCTACATCCACGCTAATTAGGGCATTGATTCTTCTTGGCATGAAATAAACCTTGAAAACGTCTAAATGAAGTGGCATGAAGGTATTGGTAACTGCCCTCGAGCAGGAGGTCAGGGCCAAAAGGCAAAGTCAAAAGTGCCCACTACAGGGCGAAGAAATAACATATCGTAGACATATTTTTGGCTCTGCAGTGCCCGAGCCAGTAACTGAACTCTGGCCTTAAGATTTTAAATGGTGCGAAGACCAGAATAGACCGTCGTTTCTCACCAACGTACGCATTCTTTCCACCTTTCTGCTCAAAGATCGCTAAACAAGACGGCAGTTGCAGACTCCCAATATTCTGTAAAGATCATCAATACCTTTTATGGCCTCGCGTCTCTCAGACAAGGGCGGGCAAATCATTGGCATCGGCATCAGCGGAGGTCCAGGATCCTACCCCGACAACGCCGCGAACCCAGCATTAACGAAGTTTAGCCATGTGGGCAGTATGCATGATCAACTGTCCTCAAGATAGTCCCTAGGACGTTGCGACACGAATAAGACATGGGTCAGTGATTGGATCATGTTATCAGGGGGGAGGTGATTCCTCGTAGTGCCGCGTATGCCCCTGAAGTACGCGTGACGGAACCCAATTTCCGGGTATCATTTTATGGTTCTGACCATCATGAACAGTTTCTGTCGGTCAAGAATAATGTCAGCCCTGTTAGATCTTCAATGGGCTCTACGAGGTTAAGGGTGCGCCAGCACGGGATGGACGGATGCCCTCGAGGTACGGTAAAACAGCAGAATGGCTTACAACAAAAACCACTGATCTCCCATCAGTGTCTATCTGCTGAGTTTCTCATCCCTAGGACTAATTAAGGTTTAAATGATCCATTCATCAAGCGCATGTAGTGGGAAGCGAATCTTTGTGCTTAGATATATAGCTAATAGTTCTAGTCTAAAATATAGTTCAAATACAAATCAACACGCCTGCGTCTTTCAAAGAAACAATGAAGTGGTTCCCAAATCAACAAGATCTAAAATCCCGACTACTCAACGGCGTTGAGCTTGAAGTCCTTGGGGCCCTTGTAGGCCTGGATCTCAGCATTGGGCTCCTTGGACTGCCAGAGCTGCTTGTTGGGAATGAAGTGCTTTCCAACTGTGTTGCTGATGGGGCTGACAGGTTGAGAGATGGAGAAAGTCAAGCCCTTCTTGCTGCGCTTGACGGAGAAGGTGCGAGAAGAGTCATCACACTTGGCGTCCTTGACATCAGGGAGGAGATAGTTGGCGGACTGGACGTGGGCGGAGCAGTGGACGGGAGTCTTCCAGGTCTCCATGGTTCCGGGCTGGATCACCTTGAACTCGTAGCTGGAAATATTATATCAGCACTTGTTTTATGAGGAGGAGAAGGGATTGTACTGACTTGCAGAAGGTGCTGTGAGGAACGCAGCTGGCGGTGAAGTCCTTGACCTCGTAGACGGCATAACCAGAGACGGCGGCAGCGGAGAGAAGAGCGGTGGTGAAGAACTTCATTTTGGTGGTTTTAAAGAAAAGGTTGGTGATTTGTTTAGGTTGAGAGAGGAATTACAGTATTGAATGGTAGTGAGATTGAGTTGTTGTTGAGACGAAGAGTGAGCTTCTAGAGAGGAATCCCTCCCTTTTTGTATTGCGATAGTCCCCAGAAAAAGCTGGAGCGCATGTCGATCGCCTCATTCGCCGATCCCTCACATTTCCGCCCTCGAGTGCTACTGTTTGTGGGGAACTTGAGGGTCACGATCCCCAAATCTCGTATTCTATGTGCCGTCCGGAACTCGGCATTTGGCATGCATGGGCCTTCCTCTAGATCATCCCCTTATTCAGGCTAATTTTCGATGGCCATGTCTCAATTGAACACAGCGTCTCAATAGCCTCGATTTGCGTCCAGATTTCAGGGTCCTGTGATATAAATATACTATTTTTATCGCGCTCGACTTAGCCATTTTGGGTGAAGAAATCGCGGGCCGAGGTTCTAGAGTGTTCAGTGATGTCATGGAGAAGACGCGCTGACAGGAATGCAATGACGTCGAGAATGTCTCTCGACTGAGCTATGGATAATTTTGGTTTGCATTGAATGTCATCTCAGGCGAGTATGCCTGCACAACGGAACTCGGATGATCGTCATTTCAATACGAGGTTCCGTCTCCAATGCGCGTCACGAATTGGCTTGGCAATGGAAATGTTTCATTGCGACGTTGCAGTTACTACGAAAACAAACGATCAAATCGCGTCAGTGGCTCGAAACTCTGCTATTTCCAGAATCCACTCCAAAACATTCGGCGATGTCTTCAGCTGTCTGATGTCATAAACATATTCTAGTTATGGCTCCCGGCAAATGTAGATGCATATATTCCACCAATTCTGCAGATTTCTTATGATCTCACTCTTAGTGTATCAGAAACGGCATTGAAATACTTCCAGCTCTGCTTCTACCAAAACTTCCAGTAACAGATGATCATGTCGCAGGATAGCTACCCTGGAGCTCGCTCAAGAAAAAGGTAAACGAGGGGCACAATCCAATCCACTTTCCATATTGATTCTGCACTAGCCGTATTGAGGCTAAGCCTCCATAGCTGACCTTGGCCGTACTCCGGACACTCATTGGATCAGTGGTTCGATTCCCCTCTCTTCCAAATGGTTGGGTTGTATTATCACGCCAGAATAGAAGTCTCAATTGCAGTCAGTATTTTAGTCACAAAAACATATGCATATAAAATTCTTGATTGACGCCAACGTCACCGTTAAATGGTTTTTGGTCTTGCCATTCCATCTAGGCTTTGCGCATTGGCTTACGGTGACTCAGACGGTGAACACCTTGTCCAGAGGAGTTAAGTGAGCGGGGGAGCGTAAAGAGGCTAGCGTACACATTTTGTATAAGTTGGTCTCCAGCCATTTACTGATTGAACTTGGATCATTTCTTGTCCTGTATCTGTGTATATTCAACACTTTATAACTTCCCTCAACTCATTGTTCACCATGACGCCGGCACCTCTTACCGGGCCGCTATGCACCAGGCCATCTCTTACTCAGGACCTCCAAAACCTCGGCCTGAAACAACAGGACACAGTTCTGGTCCACTGCTCCCTCAAAAGCATAGGTTGGATCAACGGCGGAGCTGAAGCTTTTACCCTAGCTCTTCTCGACATCCTTACACCTAAAGGAACTCTTGTTGTTCCAACACACACCAGCAGCAACTCAGATCCATCGAATTGGGTAAATCCACCCGTCCCTGCAGAATGGTGGCAGACTATCCGCGATACCAGGCCTGCATTCGACACTATAACAACTCGAAGCGAACACATGGGTGCATTGGCCGAGACAGTGAGAACATGGCCAGGTACAGTAAGGAGTACACACCCTCACACTTCCTTTGCTGCAATTGGTGCAAAGGCGGAGTTTATCACAGCCGGACATGAACTGGATAGCATGCTGGGAGAAAAGAGTCCCCTAGCTCGTCTGGAAGAGCTGAATGCCAAGGTCCTACTTATCGGCGTTGGATTCGATCGCTGTACTTGCTTTCATCTTGCAGAGTACAGAGTCAACTCACCAAAGGCTGATATCTCATTCGCAGTTTCAGTCAACGGAACTAGAGAATGGGCGACTGTGTCAGACGTCAGTGTGAATGAGGAAGACTTTTTGGAACTAGGAAAGGAGTTCGTCGAGCAAAAAAGTGTGACGAAGGGTCAAATAGGTGCAGCAAACTGCCATTTGTTTTCTCTACCTGAGGCTGTCAAATTCGCTGAACAGTGGTTTCTTTCCCATCGAAAATCAACTACCTAGAAGACTTCCCGGTAGAGCGTCTTCTTCCAAAGAGCCGTTATTGGTAATCTGGGGCACAGCTCTAGGAGCCTAGTTAGGAATTGAAGTCCAAGTTTGTCGTTTGCTCTAGACTCCAGTAGTCGCTGTTCTCTTATGCCCTGATCGATACAATGTGTACGGATTAATCGCTACGGATACACTTTACTTATTTAATGTATCTTTGTCGCGCTAAATGGCCTACAGGGCAGCCTCCTATAATTACAGTGGTTAGGCACTATAAATGCAGGGGGTAGCCACTGTAGCTTTGGTGCCCCTTTCAACTAAAAATCCGTCTGTAGCTTTACACCCGGCCCCAGGGTGCAAGAAGACTGCTGACGTTAAATTAGGTTGTCAAAATTACTTAGTCTAAGATTCTCTAAATCTATGATAAATTATATAAAATTAATCTAAGCTTACCTAAGGATTTTTATAACCTAAGATAGAAGTCCTAAGTTTTATTGCACCCCCTTGCCCCGGGTAGTAAAGCTACCTACCTTACATGTGGACAAAGCTACTTTGGTTGTATTTTTACCCTACTTGGATCCGTAGCAATTGATCCGTACGTATCGTATTGATCAGGGCATTAATCAACGATCGGGATACTCGCCAGTCTAACTAAATTCGGGGTTCTCATCCGATGATGCATTTATCAGTCCGCCTAAAAACACAGCCCCAGGCGCTTCAATACGGTAGTAAGCGGGCATGTCGTGTCAGCATGCATCACGTGGCTAGCGTGGGCAGGCTCTTTAGAGGGGTATTTCAAGCCGGGCAGTTGAAATCTGAGCCTTGGTTGCTCCAAACAATGTCTCAGTTCCTACCATCTATTGCGCAAAATGACTGAGTCTTTGTGCGATACATGCAAGCAGTTTGCCAAAGACTTTGCTGAGATTGATGCTGAAGAGTCGATTCCCCGCCGGACAATTGCACCGAATGTCTACAAACTCAAAGAAGCAGCGCAGAACGGCTGTGCTCTGTGCCAAATAATATACCAGTCCTTTTGTTACCAAACTTCAAAATGTAATTGGACAGAGACATTGGCTATTCATCTTTCGTCATACAAGCTTCTCCGCTCTTACAGAAAATCTAAAGCTGAAGGACAAGATCCGAAAGAGCCAAAGATTTGGTGCGGTATTGGATTAGACATAGACCGCAGTCGGTGGCACCCCCTGCCACTTGTCACGGATGAGGAGGATGAAGATGAAGCAAGCATTAGGGAACAGATCTCGCGCAATGCAAGAACAGTAGCAGATTTATCATCAGCAGAGGGTGTTGAAAAGGCTGTTGCATTGGCCAACAGGTGGATACATAGCTGTTCAACGAGCCATGAAAAATGTGGTATGCAGCCTGAGGGTTTAGACCAAACCAAGACGATACCGACAAGACTCATCGATGTTGGCCCCAAAGATGGAGCAGCTCCCCCAAAGATAGTGATCACAAACTCCTCACCCGAGATCGAGTATCTTGCATTGAGCTATGCATGGGGTTCAGGCCACGAATTCGCCAAAACGACAGCATCTAATCTGAAAGAGATGACGAAACATCTGCCATGGGGTCATCTTGCAAAGACCGTACAAGACGCGATTATCTTTACGAGAAAGTTAGGATATAGGTATCTGTGGGTGGATGCTCTCTGCATATTACAGAGCGAAGGACCAGATGACCAGAGGCACAAAGACGACTGGTCTTACGAGGCGGCGAGGTTCGGACAATACTACGAAAACGCCGCCTTGACGATCGCCGCAAGCGGTGCCATATCATCCCAGCAAGGACTGTTCCTCGATAGGCCCGCACTTGAGCTCGATCCGCAACCAGTGACGCTCACAATCAATAAGATCTCTGGGGACACCACACACCTTGAAGTTCATCCAGCGTCCCCTTCATGGGAACTAAGTATCCAGAATGCCCCCCTTCTTACCAGAGGATGGGCAATACAAGAACGGGTCTTATCAAGAAGAATACTCCATTTTGGCGCCAACTGTTTGCTGTGGGAATGCTCTGAACTCAAAACTACAGAAGCGAACCCCAATGGCCCAGAACCTAAGATTTACGGTTACAGAAACGAAGAATTTGTATCTGTTTTTGGAAACTTGCAGGGCCAGAAGCAAGACGATCTTATAACGCTGTGGTACCAATTTGTCGAGGTTTATTCTGGCACAAACTTCTCTTTCTATAGAGATAAGCTACCTGCGCTGTCCGGCGTCGCCAAGAGAATCCAAAGTTGTTTCCCACAAGATTACATAGCAGGCATATGGGAGTCTTCTATCCCTCAGGGGCTGCTTTGGATAGGCTGGGGAGGGCAAGAGCCTGAAGCTGACCCATTTCGTGGAACCAATCGACCCTCATGGTGCTGGGCCTCTCCTATTCATCCGATCACGTTTCTGCCAATCATGACCAACTTCAAAGAAAATTATTTAACCCTTCAAGTGAAATCGTGGTCAGTAAGGACGAACGGGTCTCAGACATCAGGCCAGATACTCGAGGGGAGTGTGACTATTTGCGGCCCTGTCAAGCGATTCAACCTCTACGACCTGAACTTGGATTTCGTTTTTGTTCCGAATGCTTACGACAGGGAAGGGAATACAATCAAGACCGAAGCTATCCTTGGAATTCGAAAGCCCGAGGACCGCATCGCATACTTGGATTATACCAACTTCTTAGGAACAATCAAGCGGAGTTATACTTGCATGTTGGTAGCGAAGCTCCTCCCGTCAATGTGGACTAAACATGAAAAGAAAGTGATCGGGGCTGCGCTGATCCTGGAGGCCACAGACCATGATGTAGCTGTCGATCAGTATAAGCGAATTGGCGTGCTTTGTCTTGCATATGAACAATATTGGGCCAGTGTTCAGGCGAGCAAAACTGTTGAACTCGTCTAGTGGTACAGGAGAGACATGATTAGAAAAAGAGACTGAAGAATAATGGAAGCCTAGTTGTGCTTATTTCACAACCTGTCTAACGAGCAGAGGACCGAAGGAGTATCCCAAACAGGAGCATGTCAGAATCTGGAATGTAGTCTCATCAAGAGGGAGAAATAACTCTGTAAACACTTTATACATAAGGCCGAAAGAAACAATGCGCAAAAAGGGACCCCCGCCTTTGAAGCTATGTCATGGTCCAATGATTAAATGAATGTATGATTTTGGTACCACTAATCTATCTACAGACTGCATTGTGCGGCAGCTCGCTTGATTCTGTCTCAAAGTTGTTTCTCTATGAGGCTGGGACAATCCTTTTAAATAACAAAAGTGAGAAAAACAGCCTTCCCTTTCAATGAAACCTCTTGTCTATTCTCCCAGCCCTTCAAGAAACGCTTCGTGTCTATTACGAAGATGCTTCTCGTATAAAGGGCGCTGCCCAAGGCTCCTTCGGTGACTTAGACGAGCCTCACAGTGGGCTCTTAACAAACGCCCTGGCAGTTTGGGTTGCTGACGTAGTTAACGGTCAGAATACCGTGGTCTCCATCATTGTTGTCATCAGGGAAGAAGACAGGGACACTGCCGCAGTACTTGCAGCCATGGTCGCGGAGATCTCCGAGGAGGCGCTTGATATCACGACCAGGCAAACCACCGTTGTTTTGGAGAAAGGCACAGAGTGAACCTCCGCAGACAATGTGCTGCCCGTTCTGGTACCAACGGTCGTCGTTGAGGCCACCGGCATAGTTGATGAGGTTGGAAAGGGGCTCGGTGCCTTGGCCGCACAGCACACTGCCCTTGCAATTAATTCCAGCGGCTACGTTGCTAGCCGTCAAGAGGGCAGTGGCAAGGATAGCGGTGATATGCATTCTGGAAGGAATTAGCGTTTGGCGATGCTTGAACGTTCAGCATAGCATATACTGACTTGAGTTAGGTGAAGAAGATTCGGATGAAAGGTTGATTTCTTTTCCTGTTGACTGATCGACAAAAGCCAACTAAATAGCTTGAAATAGAAGGCCATTTATTAGGAGAAGTAGCGAGCTTTATATGTGATTTGGGCATGGAGAACCTGTACCAGTAGACTGGAGTTCAAAATGGGTCGCTTAACCATATCTCAACTCGGAATCATCCTGTCTTGGAACGACCCGGAATTCGGCATCGCGGACGCTGATTTCAACTAGAAAACATCTACTAACACCTTCCTTTTGTGTCTCCATGTCACATATCATTCTTACTCAGACGTCATTACGAACCTGTTGAATTTGGGTCCTCCTAATTCTCTTTGGTCGGTAAGGCCCTGCATGGTTTTCCTGAAAGAGACCGCCTAGGAAGGCCAATCAAAGCAAAGACCGACACTCAATGAAATATCAATCCCACTGAGTGACTCATCGGGTAATTGATTCTACTGGTTGAGTAGCAAATTCCTATTCGGGCGTCTTGTTAGGGTATAGTAAGCGGCTTTGTACACCATGCATGTAACGCCGGCTGTTATGCCGAAATGATACAACAGTCATTGTCCCTGGATTTAGGATACCTGGATTGATGAAAGTGCACACCAAAGCACACAGTCAGTAGCTATATCGTCCTGGGACCTCAAAACTGCTGGCTCCCTTCTAGTTAGCATGCCCCGAAACCCCGAGTGCTCGGCAAATATACGGCGAATATTTTGAGCCTCGGCATAAAAAGTCGGTGGGTCTACACCGCGATTGTTATCCGATCCAACCGTGAGAAAGGTTTATTTTTGGTAGTGAATGAGATATCAATAAGCCCAAAGTCTTGAGGTCATACAAATACATTCCTCTGTAGTTCCACCGGCATTTCCAGACAGGAGACGAAGACGCCACGCCTGTACCACTGAAATCGACCTACTTGCAGCACTACCAGATGAACAACAACGCCTCCGACCTGCACCACTTTCTCGAGGTGCCATGGTGCGCCGAAACCCTTACAGCTCCGGATATCAAGTTGCTTCACGATATCCAGAACCCGTTAGAGACCGTCATGAACAGGGGAGCATTCGCAAACGGCATTCTGGCAATCCCCGACGGCGTCAGAGCGCAACTGGCCTACTTCCATCAGAATCCCCAAGAAAGACGTCCGATCGGGGCACCATTTCCAGAACTGTGCGTCATGTACGATATCGGGCCTGGAGTAGCTGGATGGGCTGGCCGTGGCCATGGGGGCTTTCTCTCCTATCTGTTTGACACAGTCGCTGGCTGGCTAGCACTTCTCAACACACACCATGCTGGAAAGGTGCAAGGTAGCCCGCAGATGGGTGAGCCAACCACTATGACGGCGCGGCTCGAGGTCAACTATCGTAAACCAATGGTTCTGGGTGGGGTCTTCATAGTCACGGCGACGATCAAACAACTAAAGGGCAAAAAGATGTATGTTGACCTCAAGATGGAAAATGAATCCCGGCAGGTAGTAGGTGATGGAACATGTCTATACTACCTAGTTTCCCCTGTATCCAAGATATAAGTAGATAACTACATACGCTACCGACCTGAATCCAAGGGGTATGAGCTCACTTTGCCTCTGTCAGTACTGCAGGTGAAACCTGGTACATCTAATGACATTGAGATGCAATGCCACGCGTACCCAGACGCTTCCAGTCGTGTCAGCTCCCTCACTGGTGGCATTCATAGACAAAACTAATGTCTCGCACGAGAATATACAGAAATATTCGTGGAAGATACTGGCCAGTGCTACTTCAGCTGCATACTGCCAGTCTCGCCACCCTTTGGTAATTGTGCTGAACCTCGCACCCAAAGACTGTCTGACAACACAATTGTCAACGTCAACACCTAACGAGCAACCGACGATATCATGACCATCATAGATAGGCCCGAAGAAGCAGTCGACGAGTGGCGGATACGACCGGTGAAGACTTCTTGGTCAGGCTGATGCTTGGTGGCTTGGAGCATGCTGTACAAAACCTCCATGTCACTCTGGCTTTGAACAAGGTCCGGCTTCTGGACGAGATCTGCTCCAATTAATGCAGGGAGGCGGAACCTCTAGCTATCATCTGGCCACTGAACATCCCAAGCTCACGCGTCGGCGCTGACTGGCTGGTGCCAGATAACAAGAGGTCGTGTCAGCCACTTTTGAATGCCTGCACACCGATAGACTTCGCAGACCAAGACAAGGACTCCACAGCCACAGCGTTGACTACATTACCTATTAAGTATGTGTGTAGCCTTTAACAAGTGCTATCACTAAGACATTAGCTATAAGCTGGCCGTCCAAGAACGCCCCATTGCGTCGGAGCACATGTACTGGCGGCACGTATTCCGGTATCACCGGGTCAAGTGAAAGGGTAGGTAGAGGGAAGAGGCCCAGGAGACCACCTGGCTCCAGAATATGGCTATGGACTTTGTCATTATGGTGATATTACTAGGGCGACCGCTGGTTGGAACCCTATGACGGTCATTGTGGTAAAAATTATTATGTATTAATCTTATAAGCTTAATTAGCTTGTATTCTCTTAACTTTTAAAGCTTTTACCTGGATATAACTTACCTTAGTAAAAGTATTAACACTTTAACTTTTTTAGCCTAGATAACTTAGTTAATAGAACCATTAATAGTTTAACCTTTTTACTATATATATAATCCTTTTTAAAGTTATTTAATAACTTTAATTAATAACTTTTTAATTATCTATATTACTGCCTTTATAGCCTTTTATAATACTATAATTTATAGTAACTAGGTAATATTCTTTTATAGCCTTTTAATTATATTTTTATTTTCCTTTTTTATAAGCTTTTTTAACTTCTTAGCTTTATAGTAAGTAAAGTTTTTAAAGTTACTAATACTTAGGTAATTAGTAATTATAGTAAATACTTTATAGCTAAAAAAGGTAATTTTAATATAGTTTTTACTAAAAATATTAATATAATTAAAAAGCTATTTTTTTATAAAGATAATAACCTTAAAAAGTATTATAAAACCTATTTACTTAAATATATACTTAATAACCTAAATATTAAGGGTAATAAAGATAATA